TATATATACATAAATATTTGAATAATTAACCTTATTAGTACTTTAATTTTATTTTTTTGTTATCACAATCAAAATTTTGAATTTTATGGGAAAATACTCTTTATAGATAAGGGAGGCAAATCAATATTGAAGAGTAATTTAAATTATGAACTCTAAATTTGGATCATTTTGTAATCCGCTATTATAATTGTATAAATTATTAAAGATAAAATTATATAATTATAAATGCAATAAGAGGATAATAAAAGAAAGGTTAGATTTGAAGGCGAGGAAGAAGAAGAGAGAAGAGATGATGATGATATTAAAAGGAATCCAAATAATTAGAGATGCCCAATAATTGGGGTAAATGATTAATTTCTTGACCCTTGTATTTAATAAAATTTATGAAAGACGCTGTGAAAACATCATTAAAAGAAGAAGAAGCGTTAGAATAAGAAAATGAGATAATTCAATTTACAATATCTGAAGGAATAACTGCTGAGGAATTGATATAAAATTTAGATATTAGATTATATCCAGAAAGAGATCCAATTAAGAATAATAAATGTATTAACAGGGTTATATTTTCTAGTTGTTCCAGCTGTTCTTTCTTTAAAGACTAAAAAAGTTTCTAATAAATTAGATAGGCCCCCAATAGATTTAGTATGCGTAGTTGATGTTAGTGGGAGTATGATTGGTAGAAAAATTAATCTAGTGAAGGATTCTTTAAGATATTTAATGAAAATATTAGGTCCTGAAGATAGAATCTGTATTATTGTTTTTACCACTGTCGCACATATAGTTACTTCATTTATTAGAAATACTCAAGAGAATAAACCACTATTAAAAAAAGCAATACTTGAATTAAAAGGATTGGCATCTACAAATATTAGTGATGGAATGAATAAGGCTTTATGGATGTTAAAGAATAGGAAATATAAAAACCCTATTTCTTGCATATTTTTATTATCGGATGGCTAAGATGATTATAAAGGAGCCGAATTGAGAGTTTTCGATTAACTAGAATTGTTGAAAATAGAGGAGAAATTTGTGATTCATACTTTTGGGTATGGGTAGGATCATGACGCCTATGTAATGAATCAAATAGCAAAATATAGAGAAGGAAACTTTTATTATATAGATAACATAAATAAAGTAAAATGAATTGATGATTATAAGGCTAGCGATTATTTTATACTTGCAATGAGCGGAATGTTATCTATATATGCCTAAAATGTTAGTATTAATTTGAAATCTAATGAGTGCGAAATAGTTAAAGCTTTTGGCGAGGGATAAGTGTGGTATAAATAAGACTAGAACAATTATAAGATATAATTAAATTATTTATTAGAAGGAGAAAGCAAGGATTTTGTATTTGAATTATTTGTAAAAGAAGATTATGTCTTAAATCATGTAAATCTGTAAATAGAAATAAATGGATAATTGCTTAAATAAAATTTAGAATTTAGAAAGGATTCTAATTTTTAAATTAATGTATCCTAGGAAATAGAAGGCTAACTTAATGAACATGTGGAAATCAATTATTAGAGAGCCAAAGCCGGACACGCAATTGGAGAAGCATGCCATTAAGCATAGCAAAAGCAGTATTAACAGGCTTAAGAGTTGATAGAACATCAAATTTAATAAATTAAACAATCTCCTCATCTTGATAATCTAGCATTGAAGATAGCTTTAGAGGACTTAGAAAAATGTAAAATGTATTGTAAACCAAAAATATTTGAGATGGAGGGGGAAGCATTTCTAATGAAAAAAGAAAGAAACCATATTGTTAGATAATCTTCTTTAAGTAAGTGTGATAATTTATGCAATTAGCTAATCTTTGTGATTGGAATGATGATTAATAATAAAATATGGAGCATTTATAAAATGGAGATTTGCAGTTAAGTGCTGCTGGAAGTTTAAAGGGTTCAGACTCTGAAGTTTCCTCATAGCCAGACATTTAGAGGGATATAGATTTTGAAAATTTTGATCCAAAATTCATCATAAAATAATTGCTAAGAATGAAACAATTTAAAAAAGAATAATTAGAGTAGGAAGATGAAGAAGAGGATAAAAAAATTGAATTATTAAAAGAATAATTTATTTTAGAGTAATAAGAAGAATTCGAAGAATAGGAAGGGGCGAATTAGAGTTAATGAAATTTTAAGCATTAAAAATAAATAATTATAATACACATTATGTCTGATTAAATATAAGAATATAAAGCTTGTTGGAAATAAGCAGTTGATGCTGCTGAAAAAGAATTAATTTAGCTTTACTCTTAATATCTTTAGAGTGATTAAGAATTATTAAAAGAGAATTTGTAAAAATACAATCAATAAGAGTAACCATCTTTAAATTATAATAAGTAAACGTAATGAGGTTTAAAATGAGTCATGCCCTTAGGATAATATTAATAATGATGAAGAAGAAGACTAATAAGATTAGATGGGTCATCAATCAAACATAGCAACTTCAACAACAAAAGAAGACTTTGTAGTGAATTAAGAAATTAAAAGGGAACTGATTAGAGAAGTGCCATTTAAAGATGAAATACTTTATATTTATAGAATTACATATTAGAATGGAGATGTCTATGAAGGAGAATTATTGAATGATTTAAAGGATGGATTAGGAACATATTACTATGAAAATGGGGAAAAATATGACGGGTTATTTTCAGAAGATCTTATTCATGGCTATGGAAAATATTTCTTTATAGGAGGTCATAAATACGAAGGAGATTGGTATTAGGGAGAAAAATTTGGGATGGGTATTTTAGATTTCAGTACAGGAGACAGATATATTGGAGGTTTTTATAAAGATGCATTTGATGGAGAAGGTAAATTAATGGCTAATCAATAGGTACGTTTGAGTACAAGAATGGAGATGTTTTCAAAGGCTAATGGAAAAAAGGAAAGAAGAATGGTCCTGGAGAAATGAGATACAAAGACAAAAGGGTTGTTATAGGGGAATGGATTGATGATGAATTATAGCCCTTTTGATATTAAATACTATCAATTCTGGAATAGATTGAAGTTTGATTTTTGGTTTCTTTTCTTTTCTTTATTTCCGATTCTCATTGTTAATCATTTAGGTTTTTAATTTTAGTCCCTCTGTAAAGCAAATCTGAAGGAACCAAACACTCAATTAATAGCGAAAATTCTTCACTGTATATTTTTATGAAATTTTTAGGTATTCAAAGAATTATTTTTTAAATTTGATGATATAAAGATTATAAAAATTGCAATTAATAATTAATTAAGTTCAGCCTAAAATTGATGCTTCCTAAACTTCCAATTATTTGTTTACATTTTTTTAAACTTTCAAAATTTGGTTTATAGTCTAAATTTTATGGAAAATTATTACTTTTCTACATAAATAACACTCATTTGATTTTTATATCACATCTTCAGCACACTGTTAACAAATGCCTCCATGACGACAGGGGACAAATACTATATTAGGAATATTTTCATAGCAAACCAGACATTTGTCTTGATTTACACTTGATTCACCATCTGATTTAATTGATTTTATTGAACGAACGGGTTCCTCTTCTTATTCTTACTTTGAAACTGTAGCCGGAATTTCTTCTCTTTTAACTTTTACTTAAATAAATAATAAATTTAATACCATTATCAGTAATAGCAGGTTTTTATATATCTAAATCAAGTTCATCTTTTTTTTTATTTATAATCATGGAATTACTGGCTGCAGGTTTTTAGAGTATTTTTTTCCAAGTTTCTCTCATCGTTGAACCCTATATATTTGATCTACCTGATTCTAATTCTTAATGAGATTTTTGTCTTTTTTTGAAATCAAAAGAGGCTTTGTCAAGAACAGCAAAGTAAGTACAAGATAATTTTATCAAATATAAAGGTATTCCTAACTTTACAAATTCCAGCTTTTTGGATTAATGGGGAGAATTAAGTTACCTAGAATTTGGAGATTATACAGTTTGTTATTAATCAATATCATTTTAATCTTAGATACCTTAAACATCTTTTAAGTAAGCTCTTATAATACAATGATTAGTATTACTTAATTTATCTGTAGAAACATAGAGTAAAGATGAGAAGAAATAAGGAAAACAAAGTGATCACAACTATATATTTAGCAGTTTCAGTAAGGCTAATTAATTGGTTTCCCTCATAAAATTCAGAAGTTCTTAGTATGAACAAAAAAGGAAACAATGTAAATCCTATTAGCATTATGAATATCCATAGGTTGCCTGCCACTAAAGAATACATAATAATATACAGTAATGACATTGTTATTTTTTTTTGATGATGTTAACCAATGTTTCAATGCAACTGACAAATGAGATAAATAACAATAATGCGCAAACTACAAGAAATACCCATAGCAAGAGAAAGATCTAGATCCACGACCAAGATATTCTTGATTCCCATTTGAGTGTAATTAACAAGAGTTAAAGACAACACATAGTTTTTAGGAATTATAAAATCTCAATTTATATAATTAAGTTACTAAAGCAGTACTAGTCTTTGTTGGAGTTTTGATTTTTTAAACTAGTTTCATAATTAGGAGTAAAGATGAAACTGCTAACATCATAATAGTGATGAAATAAATCTTAAATTCTTACACCTCATAATAGAACACAATAAAGATCTAATAAACATTGATGCATACTTTAAAGAAGAATAGAAACATAGTTTCTATAAGTTGCCAAATGCAATCATCTCCTTTTCTATAGTTATAGTATATCAGAATAAAAATTGTTATTAAGTCCTAAATCCACAATTATAAGAGCACGTATCGATGACTGTATTTCCAATGCATATAGGTAAAATAATTAACGAAAAACGCTTGTAGGAATAGATTGAACATTAGAGACTTGATCATTTAAGCATGACAAGAGATTACCTAATTTGTATTTTGAATACCTTGTCATCTGTAAGCGTAATGATGCTGTTTGAATAATCTTGTTCCCTATTTTAAACTTATCTTGATTGTCTATTTTCATTTATATATTTCATACAATTCTCTAAAAAGGGGTAGATTTTAACTAAATGTTGGAGATAAAAAATTTCTTCTTCTAGTTGACGCCTGTTAATCGTCTTCTATTTGAATTTATGAAGGTCTCATTCTAACCGATCCCAATTATGATTCTGGCATTTAGCTAAAATATAAAGAAGGTTTTACATCATAGTTTTTGAGATAATATAGTTTATTATCAATAATAATTCAAAAACACTAAAAATTTATTTTTTCATTTTCATAGTTAATAAACTCTGTATATCACATAATCACAACTTTTGTTTAAGTCTCGTTTCCAACATTTCCTACGACTTCTAAATATCTAATTTGCATTGCAGCCCTACTATTTAACATTTCAGCAGCTTCCTTCATCATTCTTGCTGATTAAACGTTCGATTATGCCATCAGAATTTTGGCTTATGCTGCTCTAAATAATATGAATTTTATTAACCTTGTTTCTGTGGCTACTTATGCCAATGTATTCTATGTCTGTTAATCCATTTAAATATTATTTATCATGATTGCTTCTATTTCGATACCCCAATCTATTGCGTGTGTTTCCACAAACTCTTTTATGCAGATCTAGATTTCATTTCTTTTTGAAAGTAAATCTTAAAATGTAAAAGCTCCTATGACACTTCTAATAGACGTTTAGGTTAACCCAACAATTGCTTATTCAAAACCATATATGTTGAAAATCATTCTTTTTGGCTCTATAACTCTCATATATAAAGAGACACTGACTTCAATTTAAATGTTGTCTTTAGTTATTACTGATTAATTTTCGTAATTCAACAGTTAAGTTCTGCAATCAACAATAAATAAAGTATCAGTACACGGATTTAACTGAAGTATTCCAGCAGAAGCTACTAATATAAACAATTTAACTTGTTTTATTATATTTCCCAAAACGCAAAAGTACCCCAGCAAATCCTTGCTGAATTTAACGAAAGGTTTTTCCTACAATAATGTTATATGGGCAATAAGTTCCGTAACACTTCAAGCATTCTCCACATTTAAATAAACACTTTTAATATTTCCCATCAAATTCTTTTTCATCTTCAAGTTCCTCAATTTCTTCTCTTGCATTTTTGACATTTTAACGATTATCTTCATTTTTGAATTCTTCTTAATTAGCTTGAGGATAGACTAAGTTGATTTATATATGGTACTTTATTTTTAATGATACATATATATAAATAATTCACTTAGTTATTTTTATATGTGTATTTTTAGAATAGTTTTAATTGGTCCTCATGAATAATTATATAATTAATGATTAATAAGAAAAATCAGGGTTATCATTTGCCTTTGAGTAAAAGTGATGATCTATTGTTTGTACATGATATTGAATAAGAAAAATAATAAAATCTTCATGAATCATAATTAAGAAAAAGCAGTTTACATGACTTTGTACTATAGATACCAAAGGAATAAAATCATAAAAGGAACTCACATAATTCGATAACATTTAATGAAGAGTATAAAAAAGTGAAATTGGTGTATGTATTTATTGTTTAAATTGCAGTCATACTAAGAAAAAAATTCTAACTCAAATTGCATAATATGGGTATAATGTTTATATGGCAGAGTACATAATTTAGAAGCAGAAAATTTCATTGGAATTAGATTATTAAGTTATATTGGATTAAGTAATTGACAAAATTCATCAGTTTGAGGAATAATACAAATCTTATTCTGGATTGAAGTTTCACAAAAAAAGTTACAAACAGATTGTTCCTGTGTTGATTGATGAGCAATAATAAATTGACTAATTTGTAATAGAGGAGATAAGATAAAAACAAGAAAAAGAATCTAAAGATTATAATGAAAATTGTGGTATATGTTTAGGTGAGTACATAAATAAGTAGAAAGCTTTGAACTGTAAACATGAGTTTTGTTATGAATGCTTACAGAATTATTTAGACAATAAAATTAAGATAGGGTAGGTGCTGGAAATTGAATGTCCTCAATAAGGATGTGACAATTATTTTAATGATGAGGCTATAAAGAGCTTAGTTAATGATGATTAATATCAAAAATATGATAAATTCAAAAATTAAAAATTGTTAGACAGAGATGAAACAGTTAGGTGGTGTATTAAACCTGGATGTGACAAATATATTAAGGGGAAAAGTATGTTTAGCAATACTATACAATGCGAATGTGGATAGGAGATGTGCTATGAGTGTAGAAGAGAAGATCATCCAGGAATGACATGTGAAGTATAGATTTTTATTTAGCTATAGGAAGCATTAGACAAATATTATGAATAAACATTGAAANATATTTCCCAAAACGCAAAAGTACCCCAGCAAATCCTTGCTGAATTTAACGAAAGGTTTTTCCTACAATAATGTTATATGGGCAATAAGTTCCGTAACACTTCAAGCATTCTCCACATTTAAATAAACACTTTTAATATTTCCCATCAAATTCTTTTTCATCTTCAAGTTCCTCAATTTCTTCTCTTGCATTTTTGACATTTTAACGATTATCTTCATTTTTGAATTCTTCTTAATTAGCTTGAGGATAGACTAAGTTGATTTATATATGGTACTTTATTTTTAATGATACATATATATAAATAATTCACTTAGTTATTTTTATATGTGTATTTTTAGAATAGTTTTAATTGGTCCTCATGAATAATTATATAATTAATGATTAATAAGAAAAATCAGGGTTATCATTTGCCTTTGAGTAAAAGTGATGATCTATTGTTTGTACATGATATTGAATAAGAAAAATAATAAAATCTTCATGAATCATAATTAAGAAAAAGCAGTTTACATGACTTTGTACTATAGATACCAAAGGAATAAAATCATAAAAGGAACTCACATAATTCGATAACATTTAATGAAGAGTATAAAAAAGTGAAATTGGTGTATGTATTTATTGTTTAAATTGCAGTCATACTAAGAAAAAAATTCTAACTCAAATTGCATAATATGGGTATAATGTTTATATGGCAGAGTACATAATTTAGAAGCAGAAAATTTCATTGGAATTAGATTATTAAGTTATATTGGATTAAGTAATTGACAAAATTCATCAGTTTGAGGAATAATACAAATCTTATTCTGGATTGAAGTTTCACAAAAAAAGTTACAAACAGATTGTTCCTGTGTTGATTGATGAGCAATAATAAATTGACTAATTTGTAATAGAGGAGATAAGATAAAAACAAGAAAAAGAATCTAAAGATTATAATGAAAATTGTGGTATATGTTTAGGTGAGTACATAAATAAGTAGAAAGCTTTGAACTGTAAACATGAGTTTTGTTATGAATGCTTACAGAATTATTTAGACAATAAAATTAAGATAGGGTAGGTGCTGGAAATTGAATGTCCTCAATAAGGATGTGACAATTATTTTAATGATGAGGCTATAAAGAGCTTAGTTAATGATGATTAATATCAAAAATATGATAAATTCAAAAATTAAAAATTGTTAGACAGAGATGAAACAGTTAGGTGGTGTATTAAACCTGGATGTGACAAATATATTAAGGGGAAAAGTATGTTTAGCAATACTATACAATGCGAATGTGGATAGGAGATGTGCTATGAGTGTAGAAGAGAAGATCATCCAGGAATGACATGTGAAGTATAGATTTTTATTTAGCTATAGGAAGCATTAGACAAATATTATGAATAAACATTGAAATAATTAGTTATTCAACGATGTCCTAAATGCAAAGCACCTATTCAAAAGAAAGAAGGATGCAATCATATGACGTGTTATCAATGCCGTTTTTAGTTTTGTTGGTTATGCAGAGCAAGATACACAAGAATGCATTTTGATTCAGACAATTGCTTTGGATGCCCAGGTAATAGAGTTAAAGTTATAGAGAGATAAGCAATTTTCTAGTGATGAACCTTATTCTCGACCAAGATGGAAGAAATACGGAGGAATCATTTTCGAATTATTTGCGACCTTACTAATTCTACCCATAATTCCATTCATTTTAATTTATTATAGCGTGATGACCCCATTGAAATTAGTTAAGCATTTTAATCGACTATATTACAGACAAATGGATGATGGGGATAAAATGTGCTTACTCTTACTTGGAATAATGTTTTTCCCTGTAATCATGGTGTTCTTGATCTGTCCAGGACTACTTCTGCTCATGGCGTATAAGATTAAATATGATTGATTATAATTAAATCGTACTCACATCAAACATCGCTTGTTTAGTATTGATCTTATAATTATCTAAAGGAAAATGTTAAAATTAACAGAAATTATGGATTCGACTTGCAATTTTTGTGAGTATCAATATGTACATAAAACACTAAATTAGGACTTTGCAGTCATAATCAAAAAAGCACTCTATGAAAAGTATTCGTCTTCGCAGAATTATACTTACATTCGAATTATCAACGATCTAATATTTGCTCGTAGAAGTCGAATCACCAATACATTCAAAGACTATCTCTTTTGGGATTACCATGATGAGTACATGGAGGACTACTTCCGTTCTCCAAATGATTTACTCTACGATACCATCAAATCGAATGTATTGGTTGTAACTTAAAATAGACGAGCAGTCCCAAAAATTTGTACCCCGCATATTTCATACTCCTATTGCCAAAACCATGGATAATTACTATAATCCCAAAATTCGATAATCTCTAAAATACTCCAATGGCAATTCCATTAGCGTTTCAAAAATACTACAAAGCAGTCTTATCAAAAAGTAACCTAATCATATATTACTTTAAGACTATAACAATATAGTTCATAAGGGTCCATCTTTTATATCAAAAATCAGCTCAATGATATTGTCACCAATAGTTCATTATCTTTTCAAACGATAAACAAGTATTTTTCAACTTAATTATAGTAAGTAGGAGGTTGGAGTTCAACTAAGAGTAATTTATCAGAAATTCTGTGATCGCAGACAGGAAATCAAAAAATAAAAGTAGAAAAAGAGAAGCTAAGCTCATTCCATAGATAGAGAAACTCAAACTTAAGGATTTCAATTCATACCTATCATATATCACAAAGACAAACAATTTCTATAAAAGATCATCAAATAATAAAAGGAGAAAGATTCTACGTAAATCTAGTTTCAAAAATTGAACAAACAAAATAAAGCGTAGAGATACAGAAATAGTGTAGAAATTAATAATAACAGATATGGTTCTGCATCTAAAATCTCTTAGTAATCAACTGCCAGAGTCTATGAGTCTAATGCTTCAAGTAGATATAATTCTACTGCTACATAACAAAAACTCATTCGTTCATAACGTACTAAATCTTAAACTCAAGATTCAAATAACATTACAAAGGCTTTAGAAAGTTAATTCAATAATTAAGTTGATGTTAGGTAAACATTAAAGAAGTTTGATAGTGGATCAAAATAAAAAAAAGTTAAATGAACTTCCTTTTATATTTTTATTATATCTATTCATAACAATATATCATCATTGAATCTAATTATGTATAATCTACGTCTAAGTCCCTTATTATCTTTATTAAATTGCAATTAAGATCATTTTATAGTATACTATTATTTCAATATTAAAAATACAAAATGTAATAACCATCTTAACTATAATAATCCTCATGGTCAAATAATGACGAAGTAACTGTACTATAATTTAGAATGACTTAGAATAAAATGCAGATAGCAACTAAAGCAAGCATCAAGAAGGATCACGAAAAAAGAAGAAACAAGATGAGCATAAGCAATTTGAAGAAAGATTGAAAAATATTCCGGTTGGGTAAAAGCCTGATCCTAAAGCATATCCAGAAGAATGGATTAACAAGTGGAGATAACTGTTGCTAAAATAACAAAATAAGAAATGACATATATAAAATTATATAAATATGGGTTGTTGCTAAAGTAATCCTAATGGTATTAAAGTTTTAACACTTCTTAGACATGAACTCTGCAAGCGAAATGGGCAAGGAGTTAACTGATATTCAATTAGCAGAATATGAACCAAACATTATCAGTTTAGAAAAGAAAATCAAAACCCCTGACTAAATCATTAGAGCAGAGCCAGAAAAAGAAAGAGCCTTAATAAAAGAATCTAGTTATCATAAGGACACTAAAAGTGAAAAATAGGAAGAGGAGTCAAAACGAATAACTGAGTAACCAAGCGATATCAAATGGAGCATTAAACAAAGCATGTTTGTCAAAATCAATTCTCGGAAAAATGTTGGTGAATACTATGTAATCAAGGAGTTAATTGGACAAGGTGGATTCGGGAAGGTTTACAAAGTGACACATCGCTAAACTGGTTACATTTTATACTCATAACAGGCATGGTTAGAGCCATGAAGTAGATTCTAAAGCAGCGCATGAAGAAAGAAGACTAGCAAAAACTACTTCAAGAAACCCAAATCTTAATGGATATTGACCATCCTAATATTGTAAAGCTATATGAAATGTACCAAGACGATCATTCTTATTATCTTATTAGCGAATACTGTGAGGGTTAATCATTATATATATAATAAGGTGGAGAATTATTTGAGAAAATTAAAATTGCCTAATTTCTGACTGAGAAAGAAATTGCCTCTTATATAAAATAAATTCTTTCTGCAGTCTCTTATTGTCATTCAATGAATATAGTACATAGAGATTTAAAACCTGAAAATGTTGTTTTCGACGCTAAGCATTAGGGAGCCAATCTAAAAATTATTGACTTTGGAGCTAGTGTCAAAATTGAAAACTCTGAAAAACTAAACAAAAAAATTGGAACCGTATTAATTGATATTAAATTAATATTAGCCTTTTTATGTTGCTCCAGAAGTCTTATATGGTTCATATGATGAAAAATGTGATATTTGGTCAATTGGGGTAATCTTGTACGTTCTTTTATGTGGATATCCCCCATTCTTTGCTCAAAATGAAGCTTAAGTTCTTGCAAAAGTGAAAAAAGGAACTTATTAATTTGATTCTCAAGATTGGGCTAAAGTTTCATTATAGGCCAAAGATTTAATAAGAAGGATGCTCTTTTTTAATCCATCTCAAAGAATAAGCGCAAATGATGCTCTACAACATTAATGGATCACTAATAATAAGTCAAAAGGCTAACTAAATAACTTAAGTTTGAAAAAGCTTCAAGATTTTGATTCAAAAAATAAACTAAAATATGCAATACTCTAATTTATTACAGTATAAGTAATTACAAGTTAAGAGAAAGATGAATTAATGAAAAACTTTTAAGAAATAGATAAAAATGGGGATGGCACTGTAAGTAAGGAAGAATTATTGAATGGTATTAGTTTTCACTATTTAGCTTATATTAAATTATATAAAGGTGATTAACTAGCTGCATAATAGATTGTAGATGACTTATTTCCTCATTTAGATGCTAATGGATCTGGCAAAGTAGATTTTAGTGAATTTATTACTGCTTCAATAAATAAGGATAGGTCTCTGAGCAAAAGGAAAATTGAATAATCTTTCAAATTATTTGATTTAGTAAAAATAAGATTATATGGTTAGGATGGAAATGGACTTATAACAAAGACAGAAATCAATTAATTGTTTGGGGATGAGATAGATGACAACATGTGGAAGGAGATACTAAATGAATGTGACGCAAATTAAGATGGGATGGTATAAAACGAAATTATATAGTAGATATCATTAGGTGAATTTATCAATTTATTGGAGAGCAAATTTAAAGGAAAACTTTGATTATAAAATAATATTGTGAATACATTTAGGTAGTTTATAAGTTAATTGCATGAATAAGGCAATTGGAGATATTTTATTTAAAAAGAAATTCAAACTTATTATTATATATAAATTTTTATTGTTGCTATTTATAGAGAAATATTGAATGAATATTATTTAGAAATATTCAGATTTATAAAATTCTTTGGAGCTCTTGAATAGTGAACCATAATAGTTGAATTCAAATGATGTTTATGAATATGTTGCAATTGATATTTCACCAAATTTAGAATGGTTGGCAGTTGGCGGTCTATATATTGATAATATCGTTCTGTGGAAGATAAGTTATTAAAATCAGACAAAGGTGATAGGAACTTAAATGAATGAAGACTTAGGATAATTAGAATTTTCAAACGATTCAGTATTTCTGGCAGCGTGTGGATCTAGCACAAAGATAATCATTTGGAATATGAAAGATTTAGATGAAAATCCTGCAATTCTAGATGGGCACTAATCAAGAATTTGGAGAATTCAATTCTTCAATAAACCTCAATTTGATATTTTGTGTTCTGGAAGTTCGGATTCATCAGTGAAGATATGGAATGTTACAAACAGATAATTATTGTAAAGTTTTAATATGAATGAAGATAATTAAATATATAGTATAGGAGTATCTCCTAAGAATGAGTGGATTGTAACGACAGGAAATGATTCAAGAGCTTTGATTTTAGACAGTAAAAGGTTGAAGTTGCTATCATAATATAAAGTCTGCGACAATTAATTATACTAAGTAGGATTTCCTTATCATACTACACAATATTATGCTTGCTCTGGTATGGATGAATATGTTAGAATATTATCGAAAAATAAATTAATAAGAAAGATGAAGTTCCCAGAAAATTGGAAATGGCAAATTGAATTCACTTGTTAATCCCTCTTAGCTATATCTAGTATAAACTCTATATGGTTTTGGGATATTAGCAGAGGAACTCTATTGAAAGTGGTAGAAAACTTATTTTATACTTATCCTTCATTTCGATTCAAGTATTTGGAAAAGGGAATCTGTGCAACAGCCAGCAAAACTATGATAAAATTGTGGATAAAGTGATTATAATGTTGTATATCACTAATTCAAAATTAATGAGGCTCTCCTTAAGTAGGTAGCAATCCAAATCTCTTTTTAAGTTCAACTCTATATTTCTAATTGACATCATCAGGACTAAATCTAGCTAATTAATAGATCATTTGTTGTACCAGGATGAGCATTAAATGTATATGAACCATCTTCAAGAGTATTCTTCAAAGTATAGACTCGCTTGCCTTCCTCATTCAAATAATACCTCAAATGCATTTTTATTAATAGTTTATTATAAATTGGGGTTTTTTATTATGTATTTTTAAATATAAATAGGGATACATAAAAGATATTAATTAATAATAAATGGATTAGACGAAGGAACAGATCTAAGAATACTTTAATGCTTTTGATAAGGATGGAAGTGGTTTCATAGATAAGGAAGAAATTAAGGAATTGGCAAAAAATGTAGGACTTGATTGGAGTGATCATAAGTTGGAGAAAGTGATACTTTATAATATTATAGATTATTTCAGCTCTTGATACAAATGGAGATGGAAAGATTTCATTTGAAGAATTTTACGAATACTTTTTATATGGTGAATAGAAAGACATGGATAAATTGATGGAGATGAAGTTTTAACATATAAAAAATGTTAAAACTCTTCAAAAATAAATAAGTTAAGATTATGGTATGATAATTTAATTTATAATCCTAGCACACATCCTTAACAAGAATAAAGAAGAAGGAAAACAATAATATTCTGTATCCTTGAATGTTGGAGATAAATCTAATTTAATTTACTCTGTAGAATTAGCACTTAGGATTGGTGAAGAGAATGTGAACTTTTCAGAGTCTCTTCTGAAATTCTTCGAAAAATTAGATGATAATGTAGAATATCTTTCTAATTTAGACTATTTAATTAGTTATTAGATACTAATGTTATAATCCTGAGGCAGTGAAAGAAAAGTTTGAAGAACTTTTCGAAGGATTAATTGAAGTTGGTCTGAATATGTTGCCTCCTTAAATCTATGAGTATTTCATGCTATTCAGAAATGATTTAAAAATCGAATACGCCATGCCACCAGAGGAATTATTGATACGAATCTATTTGGATAATTAAATTATAGATTAACTTTTTTTAGTTTATAGATAACTATCAGGAATGTTCATTTAGGAGGATACTTCAATATTAGCCAGATTGAAGATTTGTAAAAGATTTATAGATAATTAGAAACTGTTGAAAAGCTTGGAGGTTCCGATGCGGATCTACTAAATAAGTTTGGCAGAGGACTTTAAGCTGACTTTGATGTCACAACTTCAAGCTATCTTGTAAAATTGTTTTATTTATCATGACAGGTCGAATATGCCAGATAAATTTATTCTACTCTTTTGGAAAAATATCATGGCACTTAAAAGATGAAGTTGTTAGAACATCTAACACCATTCACTATGATTAACAACGCTAGATTAAAATTCCATTTCGAGACATTTTAAGATTTTGTCGAGGAATTAGCTTCTCCTTTTTTATATCATTTCCAGTCATAAATGATGATAAATGCAGTTAAAAAAAAAACAGATAATGATTACGCTGAAAGGATTGAATAATTACCATTTGCTAATAGTCTCACAGAATTGTTAAAATCAGAAAAAAGAGGTATAATAAATATCTAAAATCAAGGACCAATTGATTTTTCACTTATATCGAAAGAAGCCTCAATAACCCTTACAGATGCATCTAAGGTGGTTTGATTAATATAAATTGTAAAAATCAAGCACAACATTTATAAAAAATTATATCATTCCAAAGACATGTAAATAGATAAAATTACAATAATTAAAATATATCAAGGCCCTTCAGTTGGAGTTTCTGCACCTCCTGATCTTAGTTTGCTGAAAATATGTAAGAGCACAACAATTCCCATATATACAAGACTGATTATTAATACAGTATTAGGTTAAACTTTTAGAGATGAGACATCGCCTGAATAAAAGTTTAATCCCGATTAACCTCCTGTTTCAGATGATTTTGATGCTAGATGATATTTAGCCAATTATCTTACGACTCTTGCCACCTCCTTGTCTTCTTTTTAATGCCTCCTTTATTAAATCCTTCTTTTCCGACATTTTTTATTTTTATTAATATCAATAATGTGCACGTCGTTTAATTAATAAATGTATTAGAATTGATCATTATAAAAATTAATATATTAATATATTTGTGAGCTAAGATTAATTATAAAAATCATTATCATTTAGATGCAATTACAAAACAAGATTATTTTTCAATTTGTGGATAACACTATATGAAAATAAGATCTTTATTATACTTCTTCACAAACACTTTTTCTTAAAGCATCATTTTCATAGTAACATTCATTATTTGCAATATCAACATCAATGATCTCGAATTATACATTTGATAATCACATTTTGGAGAAATTAGAACATAAAAATTTTATAAAAGTTTATTTTTAATTTATTCAAAAACATATTTTAACTATTACATAATCACATTAATCAGCCTATTCATAAACTTAAAGAACATAAGAATCAAAACATTAAAAATGTCATACCAGAATTTTGAAGTATATTTAAATGAAATTCTAAATAAAGATGGGTATTTTATTAACTTCTAACTTTTCTATTTTGAAGTTATTAGAAGCCTCATCAAAAGATATTTTGAAATAGTTTGTTAAATTTATCAGATTAAATGGGAAATATTATTAAAATAAAACTCTAAAGAAGGAGATTGAAAACAAAGAATATTATACAGGGTGAGAAGAAACAGAAAATTTGTTTTATTGGATAATTGATTAAAACAAGAGCAGTTGAATTTATAAAAGGAATTATAGAGCGCAGTCAAACTAAAGATTAAAAAAAGAAGACTTCTTTAATACGAAAATTTCAAGACTGTTCTTTATTGTAATTTAAAGAAATTTGACATTATAACAAATGTGATTTCGCACATGCATAGGTCTTAAATAATGGATTCTAGAACAAGAAAAATCAATTCAAAGTGTCCCTTATTGAGTAAATAGATAAGAGTGATTTAAAGAAGGCAGAAATTCCAGAACATTATTTGAATAAAGGCAGCAAAGGATAGTATGGATTATTTGTGGAGCTGATTGATAAATAAAATAATGAAATTGTAAAATTGATAATAAAGTCATTTTTTAATTAAAATTTTATGAATTCCTTTAGTGAGGTCTTGATGGAGTGTTTTCGGTATCAGTTTTTTATCCCTTGATGCCTTTTTTTGATTTTCTATAATATTACTTTGAAATGTTTATAAGTAATTTATATCGTCCACTTATATCAACTTATAAACATCTCCATTAAGTTCTTCGATAGGTTCATTACAATTATCCTTATTATTCCTTTATTCTTGCTCAGAATCCTTTTGGTTTTAGTGGTCATTTTGGTATATATCAGTTTGAATGTAGGTGATTTCTGGTTATTATTAGATAGTATGGTTCAACTGAATTTGGACTCTAGCAAAATTAGGTAATTCATTAGCTAAAGGGTTTTGAAGAAATTGTGGATTATATTCTTCTTCTATAGAAAAATTAGTTCCTCTTTTACAGAAGTTTGAGATGGCTTCTGAGTCAAGGCAGGTTTCCAAACTTAAGTAAAATTCGTCAGAGTTTTAAGATTTGGATTGACATTTTCGTTAAAGAGGTTTAATAAATTTTCTTTGGGTATATTCTATCACCTGTTTTTTTTATAATTAAAAGGTTTCTTCCTACATTTAAAATATTACTAATCTAACTATTTAATTTATATATAATATATATTTTATGCGGTAAGAGAAAAAATAATAAAAATGCAGTAATAATCATACAACAGGAATATTTTTTAAACTTTTAGAAAATTTCTTAACAGCCTTGAGTACTAAAATGGCTGTTTTAATCTAGAAAGATTAAGATCAATATAAATACTCTGGCAGGTTTACGAATGTAATTTTACATTTTTTTAGTTCTTCTGTCCAACCTAAAAATTCTTTGTTGTTCAAAAGTTAACACATTTCTATTTTAGGTTTTAGTGAAGAAATTAGAGATTTCTGCCACTCCTAATTCATAACAATAATATTAAGCATAAGCAATAAGTTCTTCTTCACCAAAAGTTTAAGAATTTAAAGAAACATCAGTCATAATTTTGGCTTTCTATTTTTAATATTGAGGTATAATTTTAGATATATTGCTTTCTGGATAATAGATATGATATTCATGATATTTTTCAAAATTAGGGATGGATGAGAATTCCTTCCATTCTTTTTTACGTGACAATGATATTTTCTTATGGAAATCTTCTAAATATTTATTAATCCTATCCAGAGCAACTTTATCGAATTGATCATCTTCTGATCCGCATGAAATTGTTAGTTTTCCCATGGGATCACGACGGATGATAGTAGTAACTTTATTTACGGTTCTGATTTTACGTCCAATAGATTCAGTACTACGACCGATAAAGTCAATTTTACGATGTTTCAGTCTCACTGAAGATTTGAATCTGCGATCAAAATTGTCTAATCTATTGATTTGATTAATGGCATTTTGATCGTCTCCTTCAGTTTATATACTTTGAACTTCTGATTACTCAATGCTTATTAACATGTGAGATTTGTGTTCTTAATAATATTGTATCTTCTTTTCAGTGTTCATAAACTTATCCTAAACACGAGATATTAGATTGTGATGAAATCGAGCATTAAAATCTAATCGATCCTTTCTTACAAAGGAAGACTATTAAACATGCTTTACTTATTATAAGAATGCCAAATAGTGTGATGCCTATCTAATATCAATCAATTAATTTACACTTAGAAGTGCAAAGACGGGCAATCTCTGGCAATATGATCATCCATCTAACACATATAACATCTTATGCTTATGGCACTATAATCTTTATCAAAAACTATTTTGTGTCTGATTTTAAAGTAAGTTTAAACATCATTACTATGAGATCTTGCTAACTTGAGAAAATCACTTGAGTTTATAATGAAGATATTAGAGAAATCAACACTCTTAGTGCTGGCAGTTCGTTTTTATCCAGAATAGAAACTGATTTCTCCAAAGAATTCATTCTTGCCTTTTTTATCTACTGAGATATTTGTTTTCTGAAAGTAGATGTCCACTTCTCCAGATTAGATCATAAATATGTCATATGATTCTTATTAAGATTCATCAAATATGATTTCCTAAGGACAGAACACCTTCTCTTTCATTATTGGCATCACTTACAATACCAAAAAGTCATAGGAATGATTTGACCAAAAGATATCCAAATACCCAAATAATTTACCATTCACTTATTCTTACAACTCTTTTGATAAATCCACTGACAAGGCTCCAGTTATCTATTATAAAACTACTCCTCCATTCCTATCCCACACATATTCCAAATATTTTCTAATTTTGTTCTGAAGTGTCTCAGGAATCTTGGCTTTTTTCATATATTTATTTACTTAACTCAGCTTATCTTTAGTTTGACTTGACTTCTCACTTATTTTTTATAATGCAAACCCAATTGAATTCATTGTGAAAGCAAAACCACCACAAGCAATTAATAATAAAAAAATACCAAGAAACCTTTCAGTTGGATTCAATGGACTTATGTCTCCATATCCAACTGTTGTCATTGTTGTCACTCCCCAATACAATGAATTTATATATCTGATATACCAATCAGCATCGTATAAATCTCCCAACCATGAAATATTCTTATCCTCCTATTATGCAGTAAAGTGGAATATGCAACCTAAAAGATGTGCAAAAAATAACACAAACAAAAACAACTTGCCAAATGTTAATATTGCTGCCAATATTGAATTCAATTAGAGTATCTCATTAAATTTATCCATAATTTTCTTCAATTTGGCCAATCTCAGTAATTTTAATATCTTTATGAATCTCAAAAACTTCAGTAATCTCAATAGTTTTGCACTCTGGATAAAATTTGATGATTCATCCAATATTATATCATATGGGAATGTTGTTGTGAAATCTACCCAAAACCAAAATTAAACATAATCCTTTATTATTGCATTCCTATTCATCTTTAATAATCCATCTTCAAAAATACCAGTATTGAAATTCAATAGGATATCAAAAGCAAAGATTCCTGTAGACACTCTTGAAAATTCTACACTCACATCAATCTCAAAACTTATTTATAAAGGAATGCTTATCATCTCATACATCACTAATCCAAGACATAATAAATCCCACATCATTTTCAATGACCCATCAGGACTTAAAATATATGGTTTTTCTATAGTAAATCCTTTAATTATTTTTTTCAATAATCCTCTTAGACGCAATTAAAATTTCTCCCAATTAAACTCCACATATGATATTGCACTTGATCTTCTCTAAACAAAAATCATTCCCATACTCTTTCTCCAATTAAGTTTTTTCTTTGTTTTCTAAAGTACTTTAAATTCCTTCTTCTATTCCTTAATTTCCTCTTCATCTGAGTTCTCACTCAACACCAATTTGTCTCCTAAGAAATGATACTCTTTGCCTTCCAATACCTAGAGACTTTGATTGTTTGCCTGCTCTATATACTATCTATGAAGCATTAGTATTTAATTATAAATATATATATATACATGACAATATTTTCAAATAATTTAGCTTATCAAAACTTAAAAGTAATTTGACGTCTTTTTAATTAAAAAATAAATCAATACATAATAATTATTTAAAAATCTTTGTACTTGAATAACATAATTATTTTTTCATTTAATCAATCAAAAGTCATTCTTATTGATTCTAATTCATTTATTGAAAGCATTATAATTAATAATAATAGTTTTGTGCTTATTAATTTCCTTAATCTTGAGGCTACAAAGATTTTTAAAAAGCAAACTACTACTATTAATGCTAGGATGACTATTACAATTAAGGAGAAATGATCTACTATTGCAATTAATACATCATCATAGTTTATTATAAAAGCATTGCTTAGTATTATTGAAATTCAATAGGAGATTTAAATTATTACTATTATTATTATTATTATTATGAAAACCATTAATTTTATTATGCCATCAGCTGTTATTACTACAAATATTATTGATATTGCATTTAATTTGAATTCATTTTTTATTTTTATTCATATATTTATTAAAGCTATTTATTCTTTTCTTATAATTTGGTAGGTTTAGTAGTTTCATTCGAATTGACCTTTTAAGCAAACCTTTTGACATTGTAATTCGATAGAGAAAACTTTAATACTATCTAGCCATGGTGATTGAGAAAATGACTATCATGCAATCTGTTCAGTAATGCTATAAATTCATTTCTATATTCAATGGATAAATATTCATAGAGTCTTTATATAGGATAATTAGCATATTGATCATTAACCAATTTTCGAAATGAACTATGAATATTAAGTATATGTTATACCTTTCTGAAACCGAAACCTCTTCTTCCCATAACTTCTATCTCCATTATTATCCAGCATAGACTATTGCCTTTTCTGCCACATTACTACCATACTTATCCATTGACATGGACACAAAGTCCTTAATTAGGAAATCATCTAATAAGATTCTTTTGTGAATTTCTTAACCTCTCTCCAAAATTTACTGAATGATGTAATTAGCATATTATCTTCTTATGAGACATGAGGAGTTTTGTATGGTTCTCATAATTATTTAATTAGCCTTCGATTTTGTATTTTAATCAATCAATTTGGGAAAAATATCGATAATTTTATTAACAAGCAAACAGCCATATTAATCAGTTGATAATTCTAAAGAATATTCATTTTGATTTAAAATCTAGTAATTATTAATTAATTTACATATTTATCAAAGATTCTTAAAAGTTAGTCTAAATTGTGTTCTTCGAAAACGTCTAAACTTTTTTAATATAATTGATTTCCAATTTTATCTGTGTATAATCGTCTTGTAAAATTGTTCTCCTCCAGAATGAAATTGATATATTTTTAATATTGAGATCTAGATTCTGTTGAATACAAGGACATAATCTCAAATCCCTTCTAAATAACCTTGCAAGCATGAAGATCAGTGACTAATTTCTTGATGAAAGCAAACATTTAATCTAAGATAATGTTTCTAAAATTAATTGGTCCTTATCATGATATTAATCGATACCTATTTCTATTATTTTCTCCAATATGTAATGCTAATACTTGTCTAAACTGAGATTTATAATGTTATTTTTTATATAAGTGTTAAAGACATATTCCCTTTCTTTATTATTGGCTTACTCGTATTCTTATTACATTCTCCTTGAATTCTTTGTGAGCTTTTCGTGGCTCAAATATGAGGACCTAAGATTTTTAAATTTGATAACGTCTACATGTCTGTCTAGAAAGCTTGGATCAATTAGGGTCGATAATTGTCAGTCAGTAAAACACCCTAGAGTTGCTTATTCAAAGATTCGAATTCATCATCTTGTATAAGATTATTATTATTCTACCATCTTAATTGAGATGATCCTCAAAAAGTTAAGAACAAAGGACTTTAGATGAAATAGTGTTATCGAATAGACTTGGGGTTGCTGTGGAATCACTTTTGCTTGGATTACACTGATGAAATTCGTCTAAGTCTGAATTAAATTCGATTGGGATTTGATTTAACATTTAATTAATAATAAAATAACATCATCTCATTGATTATTAATTTGACACTATATTTTAATAACATTTCTTTGGTTAATCTAATTTTAAATGTTCTTTCTAACATTACGCATCATGCCTATTTTAACAATATCTAGTGCTTCACTTTTATAGTTTAATAAATAATTAATAATGAATCTTGAGCAATTCATATCAACTGAAGATGATTGGGCTCATTAATCATATCATGAAAATGATGACTTCGAATTTTCATGTTCCCCTATCATGTTTGGTCGTCCATCTAACAAAAATAAAAATGAGTTTGAATTAGACAAAGAGGACTACTTTATAGATGCTCCCAAACTTGAAGAACAAACAGATGAACCTGATTTTAATCAACTTTTAAATACACCATCTGTTCCGATAAAAAAGAGGTAAATTAGGAAGAATAGAAAACTTAAAAATAACTCAATCGCTACTCTCTACAAAAGGATACTCTCCGAAATTATTAATGATTCTTCATCTTAAGCTGAAATTCAGAAATAATTAGAACATTGCTAAAGAATGAAATCTCTTATTGATGGATTAGAAAAGACATTGGTAAATGTGAAATCCTTGCTTGTTCACAAACTTAAATAGAAAAACTAATGATCTAGTTTAATTACCTAGTTTTCAATCTGAGTTATCAATATAACTAATTCAAATAAGTAAAATAAACTTTTGTTTGTTCTCTTTTTCAAACCCAATTATTAATGAAAAAAACTCTATTTCTAAATTAGATATCCCTAATCTCATTCTATTTATATTATCCCCCTTGTTCTCAACCTTTTTTTTATTAATTGCTTTTGTTAGTCGTTATTCATTCATTTTAATTTATCACACATATGAACCCAATTCAATTTTGGACTTCATAAGAATAGAACTGAAAATATGAGTCTGATAAGAGACAATTCCAAAACCATTGATTTTAAGACCCTTCTCATTTCAAGGAATAAAAATGAATTTCTTTAAAAAAATAAAGTTATAAAGTTTTAACAAATATTAAAGTAAGAGTATATATTCATTAATAATTATATGAGTTTAGAAACCATCCATCTGGAATGAGTTGATAATCTAATTCTTCTGAACTGTTAATCAATTACCCATCTTACCAATTTCCAAATTTCTTTTTCCCATCCTTACTTATCATCAATCCTTTTCCATGCTATTTACCATCTAACCAATATCCCTAATATTGTCGACCATCTGGCCAATAAAATATTCCAAATCCACTTTTTTTATCATATTTATACTCACCATCGTAATACTTCCCATCCTTCCATTTATACAGACCTCTGCCATGCATTTAATTTTTAGACCATTAACCTAAATAACACTAATTGCAAATAAAATTCATAAATTACCCTACCATCTAACCATTCATACTTTCCAACTCCTGAAATCATATTATCTACCCATTACCCTTCATAAACACTTTATTAAATCCATTTATAATAACCACGCCCATTCTTCTTTCCATTTTTGAATTCTCCTTCATATACTGATCCATCTAACCACAGTTCTTTGCCTTTCCCATCAGGTTTTCCTGCTTTGAAATCTCCTGTATATGTTGGACCTCGTTTGTAGATGCACTTTCCTTAACCTTCCAAAAGATTGTCTATAAAGTTTCCCTCATAAACATCGCCATTGAGAGCAGTCAATTGACCATGACCATTTGCTTTACCATTTACAATAGGTCCTATGTAGGTTGAACCATCTTGGAGATTCAATTAAGTCTAGACGTTGTCGACTTCATCCTTTCCTTAATTTGAAAACAATGTATTATATTGTTCTTTGTAAAAAGTGGATGAGTTAGATTTGTTGTCTAATGAAGGAGGCTTTTCTAAGAATAAAAACTAAATTACATGGTTTTTTTTCATCAACTTCATCATATTCTGGATCAGAATCTGAACTAAATTAATCATTTCTATTGACTTCATCACTTTTTATTCCATTGGTTAATTAACATTTATCACATTGTTATCCCATTTTTAATTATGATCTAATTCTCAAATGACTAGATTTACTTAATTTATAATAATTAAATGGGGAATGCAAGTACTTGTTGTTCACATCCTGTTATACAAAACAAAGAAGCTATAAATACTTAATAAAAGATTATGATAGTGAATGAAGAGTGTGATGTTCGTGAATGGGAAGCAGATGATTTTGTAAAGATTGGTCTTTGTAAATCAATTAAATATTTTTGATTCAGAAAGTCATCCAGTAAAAGAGCACAAGCTTTTTGATTAACCATCAGTCATTAGAAGAATGGAAAGTGTTGAAGGACCTAAATTAGGAGAACGTTTGGAAGTATTTCCAGAAATCGAAAATCAAATTGTGCGAACTGTTTTAGCTTAATTAACTCCCTTGTTAATACCACAAGATATGGAAAGAGGTGAAGAAAATCCTCCAATCAAATTTGACAATAATTTCATTTATCATGGAGAATGGAAAGATAGTCAAAAGCATGGATATGGGAAATTGTTGTGGCCAGATGGAAGTTATTATGAAGGAGGATTTGCAAATGATGAAACATCTGGGTTTGGAAGATTAATTCATTCTTTTGGTGATTATTATGAAGGAAGTTGGAAACATGACTAAGCCAATGGTTATGGCAAATATCACAGGTACAGAAACTAAGCAACATATGAAGGCAATTGGGTCAATGATAAACAGTAAGGTTAAGGCAAAGAAACATGGCAAGATGGATCTTCATATGAAGGAGAATATTGTAATGGAAAAAAATAAGGAAGGGGGATCTTTAAATGGGGCAATGGCAATATGTATATAGGAGATTTCAAAAATAACAAAATGGATGGATAAGGAGTTTATTATTGGAAGAGTGGTAAAGTATATGATGGGGAATGGAAAGAAAATAGAATGGATGGAGAAGGAGTAATTTAATTAATTCTACATATAATAGTAATTCAATTGGCCAGATGGTAGGAAATACAAAGGAGGATATAAGAATGATCTTAAAGAAGGTTATGGAGTATTCGAATGGTCAGATGGACGCTACTACAAGGGAGAATGGAAATAAGGCAAATAACATGGCAAGGGAGTACTCAGAATGGATTAAACTAAGGAAATTGCTGCTGAATGGTCAAATGGCAAAATGCTTACTGAAAAATAAATGGAATAATAAAATACAGGGTCATGATACTTTTTTATATATAAAATCATTCGTATACAAGAAATTCTATAACTCCTGGATTCTCAACTTTTACATCTGAATAATGAAATAGTTTTTTTAATAATTTTATTATTGCTTCTTTTTTTTAAGCTACTTCATTGAAAAAAGAGTGTGTTAATGATTCAGTAATTAATCCCATCTAAATAAATCCTAAAATTTTTGGATTTTAGAACAAATTTATACTGTGAAAGATATTGCAAGAGTTGAGTAAAGAGCTATTAATTTGTTAAATTACTATTTTTCCATTTTCTAATTTATTTCTAAATGGTTTAACATGGTAAACATATAATCCATATCCAAAATCTATTATAAACAAACCCACAGAAGTCAAGGTGGGATTGGTGTGACAGTAAACTAAACATAATGGATAAAGTAATTTTTTTAGACATTATACATATAAATGAGAATCAATTCTGTACTTCTCTGGAGATTTATAAATTGGATTTAGTTTGTTATCCTTGTTTCTTAGAATTATTAAAGTAGGCATTTTCACTGTATTTAAGATATATAAAAAGTATGTAATTGAACTAATGTTACTAATAGAGAATTCAACAATTTATGCTATATTTGATATTCCCAAAGATGAACAAATTATGGCATTCATGCAGATCTCTAATCCACAAAACACAGTTAAATTTTGTAATTTCCCAGAGAGATTGTTTTTATTCAAATTATGAATAAACTTATTACCAAATATATGAAATTTTAATAGTAATTTGTTTTATGTTCTTAGATCCAATGTTGATTATCTCATTATTTTGGACAAAGATTTTAAACCATAATGAGTCATTATAGTGAATGCATAAACCTAAGTTATTGGTATTGATGTAGTTATAAAACTACCATTTCTTTCAAATTAGGTTGGAATGAAAAATGGATTATAAAGTGAAAAAGATGATAGTATTTTATTAAATGATGTATTTTTGAATACTTAAAGAAATTCTTCCATATTTGGAGCTTAAGTGATGTTGAGATATTACTAATATTGGATGAATTATAGAAGATCAACAAAATTTAAGAAATTACTAATTTATCCCATTAGTAGTAAAGCAGGTAGACTGATAATAATAATATATTGAATAGTGTTTGCAATATTTTAGAGAATATCAGTTGCCAATTATTCTGATTCAGTAAGTAAAATAATTGATTGAGTTCTTAATTAAATAATGGTATCTTATAAGGTTTGATTAAATTGATTCTTGATGCAATTCCGATCATTTATTTTTATTTGGATTGTTGGATTATAAAGAGTTTATAGGTATTTAATGTGAAGAATCAAATTCTATGATTAATTAATAATACTTGAATTAATAAGGCTATTATCATCATCAATTAATTGGATTTTAATTATATCTTGTATGTTTTTGCAAGCAATTTTGATTTCTTGATCAAAGGAGAGATTTAAAAACTGAATATTATTGGTTTGATTAATTTACTCTAATTACATAATCGGCTGAGACTGATAATAACAGTATTCATAAAAACATAAGGTATTATTAACTTCAAAAACTTATAAGTTCTGAATTTACTGAGAGTATTATATTAAATGACATTAATTATGTTCATTTAATGCGTATTCATCTTCGCAAGTGTAACATACTCTATCTACACAATATTTACAATTAGATGAACAAACTAAGGTGCAATTCTCACATAGAATACGAGAATCACACTCTTCATCTTCAGTTTTGATGTAATCTCCACATTTACTATAACAAAGATTATCATAATCACTAGCATAGTATCCTTTATCACATTTTTCTGGATCATAACATTGCATTTTTGATATGATCAACTTTTCTGGTGCTTCACATTCAAAGCATTGACCAAATTAACAATTTAAGCAACTACCAAAGCAATAAAATTAACAATCATAGCATCCATCATCATAAATATTATTGTTATCATCACATTCTTCATCCAAGGTCTTTATTTGATCTCCACATACAGGTTAACATGTATCAAGTACTGGATAATATCCTTTACTACATTAAAGACAGACGTCATTAAGACAATGTTTACAACTTTATTGGCAAGTTGGAACATTATTAATAAATTACTGATCCTCAATGCATATGGAATTAATCAAAATATAATTATGTTGACAAACTATACATGAGTCTGAATTGCAATAAAGACAATTTTATTCACAATCAAAATGAATGAGCTAACATTATTAATTAAATGAATTCCACTTAAAATTTAATTCGCACTCTAAACAATCAGTATGAATTTGAAATTTGCAATATTTAATAGGTGAACTTGTTTTGAGATTCTCTATTGATTGTTATTGATATAATTATTAAGAATTAACGATAGTTATGCTTTCACATTATTGAGTATATGGATTCAAGTTGTAATTCAATGAACATCTGTAACATAATCCATACATGCAACTGATACATCCGTAATCACACAAATATCTACATTTATTGCAATGTTAATGGACCAAATCATCACATTCTTCATTACCATTTACATAACCATCTCCACAAACTGATGTACATTTATTATTAAAAAGATTTAAGGTATAGCCAGTATCACATTAAGTACAACCATTAGCAGTACAAGTGGCACATTGTTATTAACACATTAGTTGACATTTATGACACCCATCAAAATATCTATTATTAGCATCATCACATATTTCACCAGATTTGACTATACCATCTCCACATGTTGGAACACATTAATTCTTTGTTGAAATCAATGTATAACCAGATCCACATAATGTGCATAAATTGCTTGAACAGGTTGTGCAGATTGGAGAAGGTTGACACTGCCATTAGCAAGTAGAACTACAACCATCATTTGCAACAAGATTGCCATCATCACATTATTCAGTATCAAATGAATTAGATATTTTTAAACCATCACCACAAATTGGAACACATTTATAAGATCCAGCTACTGTTTTATAACCAGAATTCCAACAAGTATTACACACTTTCCCATTGGCTGAACATTCCAAACAATCTGATCTACATTTGAATTTGCAATTATCACATCCATCATTTGGATTAGAATTAGAATCTTCACATTCTTCAGTACCAATTATTACTCCATCTCCACAATGTTCTATGCATTTATTATTGATGATATCCAAAATGTATCCACTTACATTACATTCAAAACATTCTCCCTTTTAGCAATCTGAGCATTGAGATTGGCATTGAAATGTACAACCACTGCATCCAATTGATTTTATAGCATCATCGCATTACTCTGTTCCTGTTACGTAACCATCTCCACATACATTAGTACAACTACCACTATTACAATTAGGACAACTCAAAGGACATTAATATTAACAATTATAACATCCATCATTCATAACGCTATTTAAATCTTCACATTATTCATCACTCATTATAATATTATCACCACATACAGATTAACATTTATAATTAATTATCGACTGACCAGTTGAACATACAGGAGTGTAAGCGCAATTCACATTAAACCATTAAGTTGTACCATTACAATCAAAATAGCAATCAAGCAATGATGGAGTTTCAATGGCAGGACAACTATTGCAATATGTAGAAATTCCACTATCAAAATATCCAAGATTACACTTGCATTACAATTAATATAAAGATCTGGTGGAGTCACATTCTAGGCAATTGTTGTAATTAGGCCCAAAGCATTCCTTACAAGATAAATGGCACTCTAATTGCAAATATATATTTTAATATACCTAAACAGTTCCCATAAGTTAGATAATAATGACTTTTACAAAGGCATTTACCGTTACTCTTCAAATCGTAGTTTTTTAAAGTATTACAATTTGTACAATCAGTGTTTAGAGGCCCATTACAAGTTAAACAACTATTATCACACTTGATACAAACATCACTTCCAGCTTATGCATAAAAGGACTCTTCACAATCACATACTCCATTATTTGAAATTCTTTTGTTGATTTATAAACAAACTATACAAAAATTATATTGTAAACAATGTTGACATAATGGATCGCATTAATGACATTATTGATCTCCAGAATCCAAATAATAACCTTATGAACATGTACATTAGTCAGATATTAAAACTAAGTTATTAATACAGGTATCACAAAGGTAATAGTTTCTGCAACTGCTGCATAAAGTATTACAAGGATTGCAATTGTAAGTTTGATAGTATTCATTTGATAAGCAATCTACCTAACTGAATTTTGCAGTATAATAACTAGCATCCCATGAAGAGCATCCTAATTATGTGGAATCTGTGCAGACCAAACAGAAGGGAAAGCATTAGTGTACAACAACGTAGTAATCTGAAATACCACAATAATGGTGCAATAAATCTCCATTGCCTTAGCATTCGACTGTAGTCATCAATGAACTAAGGGAATGAGAAATGTACCAATATTTATCAATAGAATATTCTGTTGGACTTCTACCAAATATATTAATTGATGATGGCCCTATAGTAATTGTTTCTTAACCATTTGTATCAAACTCAATTATAAATTATTCACTAAATTAATCTCCTAGAATTATCTTCATTCTAATTGATATTGCATAGTGAGCATTAGCAATTGAATAAATATTGTTAAATTTAGCATTTGTCCAAACATAAGGTCCTCCAAAGACTTTTTTAGTATATATGCCAAATGTTTGAAAACCTGTGAGAAAATTTTAATAATTTTGTGATATCAATGTGAAATATGTTTCAGGATCTTGCTTAATATTATAATTGCTAAAATCAGATGCTAGATAAGTGGAATAAGGGTATTCTGTATCATAAGTAATAACGTGAGTAACATTCAGACTTAGTCTGTCACTTTGCATAGTATTGGTGCATAATCCCTAATAAATATAGTAACCGGGTGAGCATTAGGTACAAGTAAAGTCTGATGTGCAAGTGACACACTCTTATTAACAATATCCAGCCACTAACTAGACTTAAGTAACTCCCCAAAGTGTTGTAGTTATTTACATATTTCCTTAGATACGCATGGTGAAATCACCTGTTGGAATAGGACAGATAATAATCAATGTATACTATTATCCAGAACCAACTCCAGTGCATGATGATGGTGTCTTCTTTATGATATACCCATTGTGCATTGTGATAATACTATTCGAATTGTATAACTATGCTATGTAAACATTATTAATAGTAAAGACAATGCCTTAATTTAAAGGGATAGCATTGTAAAGATACAGTATTACTTTGATTCTTAATTTATGTTTATATTAAGTGGGTTGAGGGATACTCTTTTCCATGCCTTCACTTCCAGTTAGTAAACCAAAATACTGAGAACATTTTAGTGAGGTTGTTAATCCTGCAGGATCATACAATCTAATCCACTAGACATTTGGGGGAGCATTTTTGAACTAATCATTGAGAATTGCTTGTTCTGTTATATCTACACAATATTTATCAGAGTTAGGGTATTTATTGATATCACATATAGGAACACAACCTAATGTGGGATCTATATAGTCTGCACATTGAGTACACAATCCTAATCCATTGAGTGATGATCCAGTGAAGCATGATGAGCAACTAATTAAATTTGAACAGGTTTTACAACTCCAATGACATTTCTCAACTGCAAATATCAAATTCCTTATGACCACTTTACCATTGGCAGACATATTTGTTATTACTAAATTTCCACTTGATTAGCCTGTAATTAACACTTTCTTTGATTTAACTTCATATTACTTATTATCACAAAATTCAGTTGAGTAGGGATATGTGGTTGGACTAGTATATGTAATAGTAGCAAATACGACACTATTATAATTGACTTAAATGGCTTCATTGTTCCAGGTACCCATATAAAAGAGATCAAACCACACGACAAATTTCACTTTCGGATACCCATAAGATAAACTGCGATACATTTGCTTATTTATTTAATCTAAGTAATTCATTGCAAATCCTTCATTTGCACACGTATAATAATTCGGAGAAGCTTATTGAGTCCAACCATCTAGATTACAACCTGCTGATCCACAACTAGGTGTTTTCGCATATAAACTAGAATGAAGTACTAAAAGTTCGCATTAAGCATTTAGTAATAAAAGCCAAAATATCATTATATAATAAACTGATTTAAATTATCCTAATTAATAATGCATATGATGCATATTATATGCAATAGAATAAAGAGGCTAAAATTAAAGTTTTCATTCGCCATAATACTTATAGAAATATTAGGATCATTAAGGGATATATAAACTAAATGATACTATATTATTACAATTCCATGAAGAAGTTATCAACAAAAATAACTGCTATTTAAAGAGAGAAACAGATCAAAATATTTTATTCATTGATAAGAGAATTCATAATTAACACATCTAAATATAGCAACAAATGTTATTGGAATCGAAATACTAACCAATTGATTAAAGATTAGAAGTTTATTCAGAACAAAATCAATTCTAGATTTGTACTTCCTATATTAAATTGGTCTGATGTGGCATATACAAGCATTCTGATGTTCAATACGCCATGATTTCTTGTTTTAAACTCACTTAGTTTATACAAATTTTTGTTTATAATTTTTAGTGAAATTTTAGTAATTATTATATAACTTAACTAATTTTCAGTTAACAAAGGAAGACTTCAGAAATATGTATAATATCATTATTAATATATCATTCAATCAACATTTAAAAAAATGTATTTTTATTTTGATTAATTTTGATAAACTTTATTCCATTTTGCAAAATTAATCATGTTTACTTAACTATTCTAAGACAACACGAAGATTTTGATCATCCATTAGTTAACATAAAAGCACGGTTTATTGATATATATTAGAGAAGTATCGGATTCTACATTGGATTTTTAAATTACACTAGTACTATTTTTTCATATACATGCAAGCATTTTAAAGAAATAAATTTCTAGTGAGAATATTTATACCATTATATCATCTGTGGTCAAGTAATCAATATTCAGATATGAAAAGCGGCAACTGACCTTTGACTTTCAAATTTCCAAAAATAAGATTAACAGATTATTTAATTTATCTAACTTTATGAATAGAAATTTACACTTTTAATCAACAGATGGACCAGCTGGTTGTACTTATACATCATCCTTTAATAAATCAAAACTAATAATAATAATAATAATCTCTACTGATTTGAAAATATCAATATTAAAGAATTAAACAAGCTCTTAGATTGCAGATTAGAAAATCTGAGTTGAAATTTTAATTCTATCAACTTTTGGCTGCATCTCTCTTAGAATATTCTTATAGTCAACTATATTGATTTTTCATAATATAAGGATTAAATTGAAAAGAAAAGAAAATGTTTAAAATGATAACATTCCTATCCATTAATAGCTTCAAATTTTAGTGAAGATTGATAATTGTAGTTTGGTATCTTCCTACTACAATTATCTGTCTAATCTACTCTAGTTCTTAATGTTAATATCCAAAAATAGTAATTGTTCTTCATTTAGAAATAGATCTAATAATGCATAGAATAAAATGATAAATTTAATTCTAAACTACATTCCTCTAAGCATATAGCTTTAAATAAAATTTAATTCGAATAATTAGTTTGTGTAATAACTCTAAAACATTTATAAGTTTCATTTCGTCACATTATCAATTTTTTTTAATAGTTTATCTGCTTATTATTTTTTAACATCTCTTGCTTTGATTATTTTCTTCATTTTGGTATTTTCATTACTTTTTCCTGAAAACATCAACCTATCTACAACCATACTCAACGCAAATATTAACCAATATGATATAAAGGAGTAAAACATTATCCCTGGTATGCTAGAAACATCTGGTAATTTTTCTTTAATTTATTCCATCAAATAATTTAATTAATATAAATATGGATTAAGATTAACGAGGCCTTTCACCATAAACTTCAAAATCATCATCCCATCAAAATCAAGTATCAAGGTCTAAAGAATTTCCACTTGATTTCTTTATCCAAAAGAAATTTATGACTGATGATTTCAAATCAATTTTAGAGGAGGCGCAAGTATATTATCAAAACTAAATAAGCAAAAATACTCAATCAAATCTATCCATATCAGTCCTAAGAATTAAATCCCAGAATTAGAAGGTTAAGCTTTTACAATTGAGGATTCTGGAGAAAATAAAATGAATACTAAATGTGATGCTGCTCTTCATATAATTCAACTATTATAGGAGAAGTGCAAATAATAGATAAATATCATTCTCTTAATACCAGAAGGTATTTATGTTGTAAATTCTAGGAATTGTATCCTTTTTGATTGGCTCCAAAGGATCCTAGCTTGCTAAAATTATTGAAGAAACTAATGCCAAAATCACAGTAAATCAACCAATAGTCAATTACTCTCCTAGAACTGTTAAAATTGTTGGTGATCATAGCACAATTCATTCTGCAATTAGGGCAATAACCAAGAAAATGTAAGAGAGAGGAATATCATCTGAAGATTACAAGAAGGTTCCTGAAACATTGAATCCATAGAAAGTGAGTGTCAAAGTAAAATCAATATATATATATATTAACAGACAAAACTCATTTTTTAATCCTCTGTTGTTGATTACATATTGAAAAACAAAAATGAAATCGAGAATAAATATGATGTTGAAATCAAAACTAAAGAAAGCAATGAAATTAGACTCACTGTAATAATTTTATTTTTATTATTGTATAGCAAAAGTGTAAGTTAAAAAGAGATGATAAAATCATTTAATTGTAAGGTTCTTTATCCAATGTTTAAGATGCTTTGTCATCACTTATCAGAAGAGTCTCAGAATATTTAAAAAAATAAGAATTAGAAATCAAAATTGTTATGCCAGCTAGTTTTGCATCAAAATTAATTGGAGCAAGTATATCTATCTATTTATACCTTAAGAGGGCTGTTAAATTAGGGAATTGGCTACTAAATCAAAAGGAGCATAAATCAAAGTCTTATCTGATAAGGATGAAACTGATCATGATTATTGTATGCTATTCCATATATTATCTTTAGATTGCATTGTTTAAATAGCAGGAAATCTATAAAACAAACAAGATGCTAGCAAATTGATTCTTTAATAAATAGAATGTTTCAAGAATGGAGGACCAGTATATTTTTATATTTAATGTAGATCATGGACAGTGGTAAATTTCTAAATGAGGACAATCTGAATCAAATATCTTAATTATCAAACAATTATGAAGATCATAAAATTAAGCGGTTTTCAATAGTTCAATCTTATTTAGATAAAAATCCAGTTCTTAATCTGAAAGAAATTCACGTTCAAGATCAATATCGAGAAGAAAACATAAACATCAAAGGAAAAGATCTGTTGAAAGAAGATCGGCATCATCAAGGTATTTCAAATTAAAATAATCTCTACTTTTTAGTTATTCTAAAAGAAGAGAAAGAGCGAATGTCTTATCTACAAAAATGATTGTTTCTAATGAAGTAATGCATATTTTAGAAAAATATCATAAATTAAGTGAATATAAGGAGAGATATAATGTAGACATATAAGCTGATGACTCGGTACTAATCCAATCTAAATAATTAGAGAAGAAATTCTGAATCTTACTTGAGATTAAAAGGCAAATTAAAAGATTGTTTAATTGTTATTGAAGAAATTTTGAATGAGCAACAAAAAATCCTAAGAAAATGAATATTAAATATAACAAAAAATTAATAATAATAAAAATAACCTAAGAACTTCATAATAATTATTAATAAACAGATTAATAATTAATAATACAAACTCTTTATGTCATAAATCTATATACCCATGTGATTTGATAAATTATTATGTTACCAATTTTATGTAAATTATTTCTCTAATTTTTGGCGCATCTTTTAAATCTCTATATGTAAAATTCAATTTTAATTTTTCATAATTTTTATTCACTTTGCTATTCAGAATCTTCTCCAAAATTTTTAATAGGTTATAAATCAAATAATAATTCTATATTAATACTGAATGCCAATAAGAAATTATTTGATCTTACTTAAATCTACACATTAATCACGTATCAACTTCCCTTTCTTTTTCTATTACTTCTATTTACTAAGTTTTAAAAACTATGTTCATACTAAGATTATCTAACTTTTATTTGAATTTATTTTTAATTGAAAAAAGATTGTAGTTTAATAATTATTAAAATATGTTTTCAGAGAGCATTTATCCTTTCAGCGATTTGATCGACTCAATACTACTAATATATCAGATAAATAACATTGTATTTATTTAAATATCCATTTTAAGATAAATATATATATATAAAAATGTTTTCATTTCACCTTAGATTTAAGTTGATATCAAATTATTGATCGAGTACTTATCTTTTATTACTATTTTATTCTCCTCCTCATCACAATAGGATTTTTTTCAATTGAATATTCTTTCTTACTTGATAGAGGACTAATGTGATTTGGACCTTTATCTTCTTATTATTGCTAGAAATTCTCTAGGCTATCAAGTTATTGATTGAGTCTTTTTGCATTTTTAGTAGCATAACACCCCATTAATTTATATTTATATTAATGATAGTGCTTCTATGAATTGACTGGTTATCTATAATAACAAATTATATATAATATAAAACATATATCTCGCAGAATAAAAGTGTTGAAATTTCTCCTCTACTGCTACAACTTCAAAATTATTATTTGCTGATGAATTTTTAATCAAATGCTATTAAAATCTCCATAAATTCAATATATACTAAGCAATTATAGAATATTAAAGTATGTTTTAGATAGAACACCTTGTCTTGTATATGGTTCCTGGCGCGCTCTACAAATAATAAAAATTGCATTCAAAAACGAAATTTATCAAAATTTTTAACTTTTTAATTGAAAACTGAAGAAAATAATATCCAAGGTACAATTTATTTACTTTTCTTTAGATCATAAGGAACTCATTTTTCTTTGATTTGGCTCATAATTTTTATAACAATAAACAAATATGTATCTTAGTTGAGGCGTAGGTATATAAATATTTATGGTGATAATTTAATTTATATAATTCTAGAATAATATCAAAATTATTAAATTAATCAAATATAACATTTGCTTAAGAGTATTGTTAGGTAAAAAGTATCACAAATAGTTTAAAAACTATAGATTAATCATTTAAGAAATAATATAAATTTTTAAATTGTAATCCAAAAAAATATTCTTCTATTAATCCTGGAGTGTAATCATAGAAAATAATCACACCAAAATCGTCAGCCAAAATTAGTATAAAAATAAATTGTATTTGTATTATTGTCTTTGAGTCATTAAAAACTAGCAAATTCAAATGAAAATTAATTTATCATATTATCTACATAATAAATTATACTGCTATTAGAAAATTTATTCTTTTCTCTCCGTAAACATTATTTCATCAATATGAGAACTGAAAAACAAACATACTAAAATCAAAATTTTTGTTCTTCGTTAAAAATTAGCTTAATATTCTTTCAGAAAACATTTATCAAATCCTATTTAAATTATATTAAAATAAAAAATTTTATTCTTCGATGGCTTAAGAGGATAGAATTCAATTTTTATATTTTCATAGTTTTATAATTATGATAAATAGTTAGTCATTATTATTACAGACAACCAAATAATATCAAATACCTATAATGTATTATCAAACTTAGAGTTTAAGTCTAATTATGCAAAGTTTAATGGCAGAATATAATTATGGAAATAAGTCATAATTATAAAGTGAGATTGTGTCTTAGATAATTGTAACAAAAATTACAAAATTTATAATTTTCATAATAATAACTTTTTTGAATTAATAATGGATGAGACATAGAAAATGGAAATCGACTAAATATTTCATAATTGTCGAAGTTTTATTTTAGGTGAACCAGAATAATTAATCAAGTATTCTATTATAAATCGATTTATTTTATTTGAATTACAAAATATTAAGATGATATTTTAAAAGCATAAAATATGGCTTTGATGAAAGAGTAAAATTAATAAATGAATAACTAGTTTCATGCCTATGGTAAAAATAGCATAAGGAAACAGAATTTAGAGAAAAGAATGTTATAAACAATATTTTTTCCAAACAAATGGAATTTTCATTACTTTTTTAATATGATGAAGGATTGCCAACAATTTATCATAGCTTGTATATCAGAAATAGATCATTCTTGGATAATAAAATTGCTAGTTTTATTAGCTAATGCAGGGCGAAAAATTTATTTGATTATGGATTGCAAGGAAGATCAAAAAAATGATGAATTATTTTAAGCAGTGATTTGCGAATTGTTAATAGAAAGTCAATTCAAAATCAAGATTGTTGTAAATACAACAAAATACGAAAGTCTGCCTACTAATTTTTGTGTAATAGATGGAAAAGTCTTAATCACAACTTCTGCTAATTGGACAATTAATTCTTTCAATAAGTCTCATGAATGGATGATGCTCGATAAAAAATATGACAACATCGTTTAAATGATTGAAATATTCGAATAAATGTGGAATTAATTTAAGTTTGTTACATTTATTAATGAAGATATTGCTTTGTTAGATTATGATGATTCCCAATTTCAACCAGTGTTTACATATTCATAGGATTGTGTTGTGGATACATTATGATTTGATATTAAAATAATTATTGTAAATTATTTATGTAATAGTGGCAGTATTAAGAATTATGAGAATAAATATAATCTCCAAATATAAAAATATTCAAAGAAGATATATATAATTAAATTTTTCACACATTCGTACACCAGTAAAATCTTGACTAAAATTATAGACTTTAGGATATCTCCTACTCTTATATCCCTTCACTCTTGTCTCACATTTGTATCATCAGGAACTAAACTAATGTAAATGAATAATTAGGGATTTATTTGGAAATATTATATATATTATCAAAATCTATTTCCTTGATATTAGATATTTGTGTAACCCATTCCAGACAAGTATTATAACCAGACATTGGTATTGTACCATTGTTAGTAGTTATAATATTATTGAGCATAAGAGTTAAATTAAGAATAACTATTTTAGCCATTTTAAACCTCATGGCCTTGTTTTACATTCTAAAGGGTTTCTTCTTTTATATTCTTAACGGTGTCTCTTTGCTCCTACTCATTAGATTTCTTCATTTTTCTAATTCTCTTTTGTTTTTTACCAACACGACCTTCATGTTTATATAATGATAAAATGGCTTTGCCAGTGGAAAATTTAATTCCAAATTACTTGGCTGCCTACTTAATTGTACAGACTCCTTATTATACTTTATTAATAAAGGCTAATCTTGTTTCATCTGAGATTTTTGAATACTTCATTAAATCTAAATTTTTTCTTTTATTTTTCTTCAATTATAGGGAAATATTTAGAATTTAAATAATATACAGATCCAATTTAATTGATATAAAGTATTAGGAATTTGTTGTAAGAAATTTTAAATTAAATTTAATTGAGATATTTCAAGGTTAAAATGTTAAGATGCCTAGTTGTAGGGCTTATTATATATATTATTATACTAATATATACTTAAGGTAGCTGCATAATAATTATTTTACAATTTGTTGTTAAATTAGTTGGAAAAAATTTACTTTCAAATACTAAAAAAAATGAATTTACATCAATTTAATTTATACTTATTATTCAAAAAACTACTTCCTTCCTTTAATCTGGATAAACTATTATTCCATGCATTTTTCCTTTAAAATTGAGTCTTACTTCCAGAAGAATTTTTAGAAAATTCATTATATTTTTCTGTAGTTCTTTTTTTTGATAATCATCTAGATTTGCCTAAACATTCTATCATTAACATCAAATTTACTGTATTCTCATTTAAGAATGAAATCAGATAGATATCACTGATTTGATAATTCATACTCATGATTTAAATGAATTTTGATAGACATTCTTCCAGAAATAAATGCTTCTTAAGGCCAAAAATACCTCCAGGCACAGTAAATATATCAAAATTTTAAGATGTCCCATATTAATCTCTTGTAAAGTTTTTTGCTATATAATCTCTGGCTGCTTTGCTAGTACTAGTAATGTAAACAACTTTTTTATCGTTTTGAGACTTGTCTTATACCTATGTATTCCCCCCAAAAGTAGGTTTTCCTTTATTGATTTAAAATTTTGAATTATTACCTTTATTTTGGTGCTCTCCTATCGCCTGAGAACTAAGTCGGTAATTCTAATTTTTCGTAGGAAAAAAAGATGATTATGATATTAGTGTATAACCTTATGGATCTTTTAAAATAAGTAAATATTCTACTCTTTAAGGCAGTAGTAAGTTATGCAGTCTAATGATTAGTAGGGTAATTATCTTTGGGTGCAAGTTGTTATTAATATTCATCACCTGTTCTATCGGATTGAACTACTTAGATAAATATTAGCGTTGTTACTTTATTGAAGTAGTTTTGATTTGGGTAGTTAACCCCCAGGTCCCGTTGCCTAAGTTAAGTGGTTTAGATTTGTTTAACTCATTTACTATTATTATATAAATAATTATGTAAAATTTTTCATTAGCATTTTAGACAGTTGACTGCCTGATTTGTAGGATAAATGACTAAGTAGATTTCCAAGCACTTCATGCAATATCGATAGCTGGGTACTGATATTTTTGGAGGATGCTATTTATAACCATGACATTAAGCACAAGGGTAAGCCTTATTACAGCAAGCAAAGATAGGAATAGTATTACATGGTTATCTATGTTCACAATCTTGTGTATAGATGATATGAGGGAATGTATTGACATTTTCCTGTATTTTCTATTGAGACTCATCCAAATCCTAATCAGTCTGTCCATCTGTATGCATGGAATCAAAGTGATTGTTGAATTCATTCTTTATCTCAGGAAGACTGGCGACTTTGTCTAGAGCCTAACTAACAATACTATTCATCATCTATATGTCTTCCTATTTAAATCCAGGTATTTTCTGTTAGATGTTATTATTTTGTATTTGCTCCTTAATTTATTAGGATAATCCATCCAATCTTTATTGTTTCATTTCAATCTTTTGCAGTCTAATGAGATTAAGATCTTGATCTTGGATAAACATTTCTTTATTGTCATCTAGAGCATACATGATATCGGATTCTAATTGAGGGAAGTATGTCTACCAAGTTAAATCTAATTGTATTGTTCTTTTCTTGACAGCCAAATTGGTTTAGGTGGCAATTTGAGTGATTTCCCTGATATGTTTACCTTTGATAAATTCAATGCTCTCAAACAACTCGTCTTAAGTCATATCATAAATATTCTTTTTTATTAGTTACTCCACTTATTCAGTCAATCCATTTTCTTTAGTTTCCCAAAACAAAAAGCCATTAACTGCACATATTATGCCTTATTCTATTAGTTTAAGTTTTTACAAGATGTCTTTAGTTAATTACTCAAACTTTTATTTGACTTCTGAAACTCTTTCTGGCATTTTCTGAATAGAACTACATTACTCTTAGAACTCTCTATATTTTTCATCAAAGAGTTTACAAAATTGTTGGACTTCCATTGTCTCATGATTATTATGTTCTTCCAGTAAACAATAAGCACAACCCAATCGTTTTTAAGCCTTACACAAAGGATTTTAACAGATGTAAATTAATTTATTTTTTTCATGATTCTTTTTATCACACACAGCTTCTAGATTTAAACCTAAATATTTGATAACTGATCTTTAATGCATCTCTGTTCCTTTGGCCACAATTGATGAATGTCTCTTTTGCATTCTAATATTCTAGGGTATCTAAACTGCTGAAGATGACATTCTTTTTGTTGTTGGACTGATACCTGAAGGACTGTGTTGAGATGGACTCTGAGAACTACGATATGATTGCTTAGCCCAATCTCTTCCACTCTATAGCATAGATTCTTATTGAATTTCTGTTGTCTTTTTGGTTGGAGATTTTACATTCTGCTTTTGAGTGTTTGTTACTTATGTTTTAGTACTCTTCTTCATACTCCTATCTCAAATTAGAATTTAATATATAAATAAAAATTAATAACTCATAAAATCAATAGGCAATACTTTATGTCTAAATCAATTATGCAAACAATTTAGATGCTGATACATTCATCATTATAGTGTTCTCATCATAATCATGATGACCCTCCACTTTTCCAAATTATGCTATTTAGAAATCCTCTTCTAATCTTGACAATCTCACTGCTTCCTCAACTTCTAAATGATTATTCCAAATTAGCAATGCCAAAATGCAAGATTTTAGGTTTTCTACTTAGATATATCAATCATACCAACTTTTGCATCCAAACTCACCAATTGCCAATTATTTAATTCACCCACTATTGTTTCAATTCTAATCTGATCGTATTATTTCAATGGCTCTATGTTCAATCCAAAATTGGTTTTCAAATGCAATCCAAATTTCTCATTAAATATTTACAATTGTGGATCCAATTTCTCCTTCTATATTTTATATAATTTAGTATCTGGATTCTCTCTAAACAACACAGTATCCCTCTCCAAATAACTAATGACAGACTATTCCATAAATTATCTGATTCTATCATCTGCCTCAATATCAATTGCATTTCTGGCTAAAGTCAATAGTGGCATTGTAGTAGGCCTTATGAATTCTGTTTGCATATTAAATTCATGTGCAATAAACGATGCCAATTAAGGAGAAGGCACCGCCAATGTATTTTTAGAAGGAGTTTTGACTGTCTTTCCATCCAACTAATTGATAATCTATTACTTATATACCTTCACCAACCATTAATGATATGGGTTAGTTGGATTTGTGGCCATTTCAATGGTTGCTTCCTTATAGAATCTTTTCAATTAAATTGGCTATTGGACTGAAGCCTATTCAGAAAATCGGAATCTAACTATTAACCCTCTCATTTAATATTATATTTGAGATCATTAACAAAATGTTATTTGCTTTATATCAATATTACAAAAGAAACTCAAAAGAACTGAGATACTTTGAACTAGAAGTATTCGACCTTTGTAATCATTCTGCTGAATCTCTTAAAAGGATCAAAAATATTATAATCCATTTTCTCAAAACAAGTACGGGCAACCATGATAAAAGATGAATTAATATATAGACATTGTTATATATATATGTTATGATTGTAATAATGCAATCATAAATCCTATTTGGTTGTAATTGAATAATCAATTACAGTTTTTCCAGGCTGGCTCATTCGAACACCATTGTTCAGGAAATTATGTGTAAAACAACATAACTTCATTTTTGAATCTTAGGTATTCTTTGAAGTTATTGGCTTCTCCATTCAGAATGAAGAGAGATGCTCTTTAATTCAAGAACCAAACCAGATAAGACTGAAAGGCACGTTTCCACAATTTTTATTCAGACGTGTCCTTTTAGTTTATGATTAGTTAGTTTTTGAGGCTTCTGAATCCATTTATGTTATGTAAGTTACTTTAGTAATAATCTATAAAACGAGAGGTTTCTTGCTGCAGTTCCATTTATAGAAATTCTAACTATCTTCCTCTTCTCATAGATTTCACAGCTTATCTTAGTATGTTTCTACAGATGTTTTTTTTGTAGTCTCTTTAAGAAGGAGATGATTTTGATATTTTTATTAGGTCTTCCTCCCAATCCACAAACTTATCAGTATCCTAATGACTACCATCTGTCTCTTCATAAAAGATTAAAGCTGCTTAATTTACATAGTTATAACTTGCCTCAAATTCTTGCATTTCAAATAAGTATGATGTCATCTTGACACCTATTTTTTAATATTTTAATATTTTCTTTTATTAAGCGCTGGGTTAGAATAAATACTGAGTTTTTTGTTTAAATTTTACAAATAGATTAAAATCTGTTTAATCCTTAATCCATATCTTTACAAATATTGTTTCATCTTATACTTCCATCATTAAATTTATAAATAAATTTGAAGTATGTACTTTTAGAGGCTTTTGGATATTCATCATTAAGTAATTTCACTTTGGTTTACAAACTATTAATTTAATCGTTTTTACAAACTCCTAAGTCTCATTATCAAAAATGAATAAATCCTAGAAACAAAGATAGAAGCATTATCTGTATCTATCTATTTTCATGTCCTTAATCCTACTTATTTTCATTAATAACTGTGAATTCTTATCAGAGACAAAATTAAATTAAGAATTTCTTAAGACATCTTTTCACTTATTAAATTTTTATATAAATATCCCTTTAAAATCTTAAATTTAATATAATATCCGAAATGGCTACATGAATAATTTATAATACTATTTAATTTCACTGCTTTTTAATAACATATTAAGAGTCTTATTAAATATTCACGAATATTTGTTTTTATTATTTTAAGAACTACATACATCCAAGATTGGATATTATCTCCTTAGAGAAGTTAATTTAATTGGTTTTATTAATGCTTTCTTCACATACATTAGATAAATAAATTTGATTTGTAATATAATTAATGATTTATAATGTTTTAATGGGATATGATCTAGGTAGTTTAACAGCATGAATTTATTTATGTGGGAGTAACGAATTTGAGTCATGATAAGTTCAATAATGAGGGGTATATTACATTTAAATGAAAAGATATAAATATAATAATTTGATTATTCGATAATATATGATTGATAGTATGAATATTGATTTGATTATGACTTTTGCATGGTTGATCAATTAATAATTATAAATCATGAGGAGGTATAGTTTCCCACTTAATGCTCGAGTTCTGCGACTTTTTGTGTGGCAGCAATTATTAATTGTTGGATTTGGCTTTTTTCCTTTTTGATTTCAGTGATTTAGGACTGTAATTTAGAGTTTTCATCTTTTTATGTGTTGATGGCCTAAAAAAGTTTCATAGTTTTTTTACTTGTCTTAAGTCTCTTAACATAGCATCTAATGTAGGTTAGGTTGTATTTTTGATTTCTTCATTGTTATTAGTGATTCTCTATTTCATTAAATGCAATTCCTATTTCAATTGGTCAATCTCATGTTTATAACTTTAGAGTAGTTCATTGGATAATTCGGTGATGTTCTATTAGAGTATGAAAATTGAATGTACATTGACTAAGAGTAAATGATTTTTAGCATTAGTGGCTGATTCTTGATCGAGTTTGGAACTGTGAGGTTGTTGCACATCCTACATTTTTATTAAATAAAAATATATAAATAATATTAGATTGACAAATTGATAATGGGAAATAATTAATCTTGTTGTTCAGTTCGAATACGACAGCCCACAAATACGTTAGATAAGAAAGAAGTGTTTCTCTTATGCGATGTCCTCAAGCATTCCTAGGAGGACAATCACACCACCTACTTGGATAAACAATGTTTCGAAAGAATATTCTAAGACAATCCTTTATTTGGAGAGCAAGTGTTTGAATACTGTTCGCACATATTATAATCAACTCAGTTGCCACTTGAAGGCTGCATTAATATACGTAAGAGTTCACATCACATTCTAGTTTAGGGTATATTGAGTACATCTGACATAACACCAATATTACTTTAGATTTGTATGGAAAACTATGACGGAACAATTCAAGTTATAACAGTTTAACAAGCATTCCAATTCATAGGAGTAAGGATAAATATTTGATAATTTAAGTTAATAACATCTATTTTCCTAACATTTTGCATTAGGAAATAACAGATCGATGCTCAAGTCTTAGAAATCCTGATCCATTCACTATTCAAAGAAAAGTAAATGAAAATCAATGAGTTCTTGTCAATACTAGAAGCCAATTTTCCATACATTTAAAAATTGATACGACTCTACTTATCTTATCGATTGTTGTAAAAACCATTTAATCAAATGAGAGTTGCAAAGATAGATAAAGATTCATTTAGTTTGAAATACGAATGGTTAGCAATAATGGGTTTGGCAACATCCGAATTGCATCGTCATGGATAAGTATCATTATTATATCAATCCGCTTTGTAATCAATCAATTTACAAGAGATTTTGATTTCAATGCAACAAACTTAAACTTTATTGGTAGTCACTTTTCAAGATGAATAAACCAATAAAAAATAAACTTTGGCTATTTATAACAAACGTTAATGGTAAGTAGATTGCAAAGACACAGAAAGCATTATTGCATTTCAAATATCTCCAATTTTCTATATCTACAGAAGTTAATCCAAAAATTATTTCAATAATAATGGTTTTGGATTCTCACTTGATTAAAAGTCCAATAGATATTTACTTTGGTTAGGAATTTAAAATAGTTACTTTTAGAATTCACAACGAGTAAAATCATATATTAAATTTAGTTATTAACAGTTGAGGTTTGGAGATGTGAAGAACTATAATCAAAGTTAAGAAAGAGTGTGATGGATGAAGATAGGACTTCCACTTTGAGTCCTAAAGAATAAAAGAAGAGGGTTTCCTTTCGCTTATTGGATGAAAATCAACCTACAAGGAAGAGCAATTCAGTTACACCAATTACTAAGAAATTGAATTTTATTGAAAATGTTCCACCCTAATCTTAACCACCCACTCCTTTGCAAAAGTTGTAAATCTTAACTTATTCTAGTCAAATACAAATTACTTAAGATGATTAGGAGAGTCCGAGATCTCCTCATTTTAATAGTGACAATCCTCCTACATTCAATAATCCCTAAGCTCAGGTATTGAAATCATACCCGAATTCATAAAATTTAGTTAATACTCAATCTTAAAGTAAGCAATAATAAAATAGACCATCATAATCTATTATTGAAAAATATGGCAATGGATAAAGACAAACTAGAAGTTATTCCAATAATAATGAAGTACGAAAGAGTGTGGATGATATTCTTAAAAGATATGATAAGAAATAATGAATCTATATATATCTATGTATATTTTATATATTATCATAATGAAATTTCAAATTCATCTTGACTTTCTTAATTTTAATTATCATCTCCTTGATCTTAATTATCCAGTGTACAAACATTGTTAATTTCACTTTTGCTGATTTTAGAATGTTCACTATTAGTTCTTTCATTTAAATCTATTTCAAATTATTTTGATTATTGTTATGTTCTTAGTTTTTTGATTAATTATCGACTTTTTTTAGTTTTTTAGTTGTTTTTTTAAGTATGCTTATATTTTTTACTTTTCTTCCTTACTTTAACTTCATAGACTTGACTGCAATCTGAACATTAACTCTATACTTTTTTATGATTTTGAGTTTTGAGTTTTTTAATGTTGGATTTAAGATTATCTTTTGTTTTAGTTGCTTAGGATTTAGGAGAATAATTTTGGATTTCATCGATTTCAATACTTTCCGAATTTTGTGTGTTCTCATTTGTACTTTTAGCATCTTGATCAGTTTTAAAGTTTTACTCATGCAATTATTCAGAAAGTTGAGCGCATTTCTCATACAATTCTGCAATTGTTTAAAGATGAATTGCAAGTGGCACAAACTTCATAATGTAAGTAATTATTTGTCAATATTATATAAAATGTCTCCCTGAGATTTATATTCTATGAAATTCCTTATATTATTTAAAATTCCTGTTAAATTTTTACTATTTGTTAAATTATGAATTTAATTACGAAATATATATAGCCATTTCCCTCCATCGATTATGGAGAACAACAAAAGGACATGGATGAGGAATCCACCCAATTTTGGATATATTCACTTCTGAACGAGTTCCGATTATACTAATTTACAATAGTTTAGTCCACATTCTACTACAATACTTTGGTGTGCTTACCTACAGGCTTAGGCAAGACATTCATAGCTTCTATGGCAATAATTAATTTCAGTAGATGGTTTCCAAAGGGAAAAATCTTCTTTTTGGCACCAACACGACCTTTAGTTGCTCAACAACACGAGGCAATGAAAAAATTTGGAATTGACGGCAAATTATCTAAAAATGATAGAACTTATTAATCTCAAATCTATTTTTCAACTCCTCAAACCCTTGATAATGATTTGAATGAAGAATTAATTCAAAACATAGTTCTGGTCGTATTGGATGAGGCTCACAAGGGAGTAGGGGATTATGCCTATACCAATATAGTGAAAAGACTCCTTTATAATACGAGAATTATCGCATTGAGTGCAACTCCTGGCAATAACCTAGAATAAATTCAATAAGTGGTGGCAAATCTAAGAATTGCAAAGATAGAAGTATTTAAATGAATGTATTGCTTAATTAGTTGAGAGATGAGAATGATCCAGAAGTCGTACCTTATCTCAAATTTAAAGCAGTTGAAAAGGTTGTGGTCTCATTTGATAATTGTCAAATCTTGGATGATCTTAACAAGTAGATGCAGCCCTTGCTTAATATCATATTAGGTTTTGGAATTCTACCAGTTGAGTTAATTAGAGTTTGCTCTAGAGCAGACATATTTAGTTATGGTGCTTGTTTCAAACTTCGTGAATTTCTGACCAATTCACATTTATAATTTCAAATTGGACAATAAAATTCAAATAAAGTATTTGAACACCTATCTCATTTACATAAATTATCATATGCCAAAAAGATATTATTAGAACAAGGAATCCAACCCTATGTTAAATATATGGAATTAGATGATGTCGAAGAAGTTCATCCAAAAATATACAAATTAAAAGAGATATTTAAGAATCATTTTGCAAACAATCAATCCAAAGTCATTGTATTTACAAATAGCAGAGATAATGCTTAATTGTTATGTAATCATATTAATTAAGTTGAAAATGTCAAAGCTTCTATCTTTGTTGGCTAGGCAAGTTCCAAAAATCAAGCAGGAATGAAACAAAAAGAACAACTCCAAGTCATCGATGTATATTCTCTATACTAAGTAGAAATTTAAAAATGAGTTGAATGTTTTAGTGGCTACATGTATTGCTGAAGAAGGACTAGATATAGGAGAAGTGGATCTAATTATCTGCTATGATAGTGGATTCAGTCCAATAAGAATGATATAGAGGATGGGAAGAACGGGAAGAAAAAGAGATGGAAGAATCATTGTCTTATTAACTGAGGGTAAGGAAGCTGCTGATTATGAAAAGTCTGTCAATAAATACTCTAAACTAATTAAAGAACTCAAAGACTTTAACATCAATTTATATTCCAGTAACCCCAGGATCTTGTAATCTCAACCATAAATTAAATTTATTGATGGAGATATTGATTAAATAGATATTAAAATTAAATAGGATCCTATTAAAACTAAAAACAAAGATATAAAAAAATAAAAAAGAAGCCACAAAAATACTGATTAGCAAGAAACTAAACAAATTAAAATAGAAAAATTCTTTACTAAAAATTTGAAGGATATCTCTGAAGAAACTGAAGAAAAATAACAAACTTAATCCCAATATAAACCTATGTTATTGGCATCAAATTCTTTTACAAAACCAAAAAAAGTCTAAGCAAAAAAAATTTAACTTGGTAATATTGATAAATTCATAAAACAGAAAGAACAAGTAGAAGTGGTTTAAAATAAAAAATTACAAATAAAGGTATAACCTAAGCAGCCTGTTGTCTAGGATAAGTTTGTTATTTAAATCAAGCCAAAACCTTAGTTTTAAGAAGAAGATTTAACAGTCTCAAGTTTAGAATAGTTTAATGAACTCTTGAGAAAGTAATAGAATTTTTCTTCCGATTAAGATTCGAATACTATGTTTCAATTCTTAGATAAATTAGATTTAGAAAAAATCAATTTGAGTAGTTAAGACTTACATGAAACTGATTTGGATCTATCTAAAATAGCAGAAGATTATATATCGGATTGATTACTTTACAAATAAGGAATTTATATTTTCAATATTTTTATATCTGATAATAATTAACATTTCTCAATACGTTAGTATTTATTTGCTCTTCATTTAGAATATTTTTCATCTATAACAATTATTATTTGCATAGTTTTTCAACTTCGAATTAATTTCATTTTTTTATTTATATATCATAGAATAACAAATAATTTAGATATAATATTGATCAAATAAAAGATTTTAAATATAAATTCAATTATTTTCTTTTATCTTGAGTAAATTAGAGAATAGTCAATTCAAAATTTTGTCTTTTTAATTTAATTATCTCTGCATGTTTACTAATTTGCAAATGCTTTATGAATTAAATATTTCTTTTCCAAATTGCATAGCTCTCTGGTTTAAGGTGATTAGGAAGGAGATTTTTTTGCAGAGTTCTCTTGATTTTCAAAACTTTTCATATTTGAAGGCCTCGTGTTACCTGACGCAACCATATTTTGACTAATTTCTATTTAATTTCGACTATTACTAGATAATCTTTCACATTTATGAATAGAACCTAAAATATTGCTGTATAGAGAAAATTGTTAAGCTTTATTAATTTTTGAGAAATAAAATTGTTCTCCTCTATTTTTCTTTTTATTTGATCTTCGATTACTATATTGAAATTCTTGTAAATTAAAGTCTTCTTCTTTTTCATTAAACTAACGTTCAAATAAAATCCTTTTCTGTTCAAAATCCTGTTTATAATCATACAATTCTTCCAATTATAAAGAATTCCCTTCTTCAATTTTATATTTGTCATTGCTACAAGGGGAATAACATTTGTATGTATTTGTTCTTCTTGATATTTTTGGAAATTGGAGAGGTGAATTGTCTTCTTACTTTTTCGTGCTTTCTGATTTTAATTTAATTTAATGTGGCTATATTATGTTTTTCCTTTAGTACAATTTTTCTTAAGTTATGATTTCGCTTTATTCCTTTGTATGAAATGGTTTTCCAACCAATGTCATTTTTTTTCTATAAACTATTGGATTCTTAAGATCTAATAATTCATAGAGTAAATAATTTTATTAAGGGAAAAGCAAATCTGCAAGTTTTTAAATTAAGATGATGAAATTATCAAGATTTAATTCCATGTTTTTATCAGCATTTTGTTTATACATTTAAACGAGATAAAATTTGGTTAATATGAAATTAGATCTATTATTATTTTTATAATTGTAATTGATTTGCTTTTTTCGAAGATTGTTAATTTTACCACCTAAGAATGATATCAGATCGCTTGAGATTTCTAGATCAATCAATTTGAAATCTTTACAAAAAATCATAAACTTTTATAATATCATGGTGTTGGAGAGTTGTTATAGTTTTTCGAATGTTTAATATTTATTTGTTGTAATTGGCTATTTACAATAAAAATTATAGATTTCCTTGAAATTTTTGAGCTAATCTCTGTCTAAATTCTAATATTCTTATCTAATTTCATTCAGTTATATTTGATTGGTTGGGCTTGAAGATTAGAACTAATTTTGATTCACATATGTATTGAATGAGTTAGCAAATTTCAAGTGTTAATTTTTCCTGAGAATAATTTATTTATGTTTTTCAATCTATTGTTGTTGGAATTCTGATATGCTAGCTTGATGTTTACTTTGCTTTATTTCACTTTCCTTACATATTTAAGATTCTTTTAGATTACATTAGTAAGAACAATCAGGATCATTAATTTCTGTCAAGACTTGTTTTAATTCCAGATCGGATTCCATCTGTCTTTAATTATCAGAGGACAACTCGCTTTAACTGCTCATTGGATTTACAATGTTGTCAGAGTTTTTGTCATCAACAATTTTAGGATTCTCCATATCAAGCAAATTGAGTACACTACTGTGGTTACTTTGGGGAATAGACTAATGTTTATAGTAAGGTTTCAAGTTGGAGGGCCTTTAATTTGGATTATTAAAATTTTGAGGAGAAGTAAGACGATTAATAATCATTGATTCTTCTATAAAGTTAGTCATAATTAATATTTTTGTTCGTTAAAATAAATGTAGTCGATTATTACTCAATGTCAAGATTTAGATGAGGAGTATAGATAGCTCGTTTATGTAGTAAATAACATGTTGGACAATCTGAGTATAGTAAGTCTTGAGTTTGTCAATTCAAAATTAGAAGTTTTAGAAAAATACTCAAACACTCTGAAGTCAAGTTAAATTGATGCTAGAATCCATAGAAACTCGTAAATGAAGAACTTAATCGAATACATTAAAATGCATACGAAATCACAGGTGAAATCCCTTGCATAATCTCCCCCAGCAAAGATGGCACATCATCGTCCAAAATATTCATTTAATGAGAAGGCTTTTTCAAGCATGCTTTATCGTAGTATAAATCAGGTGACTCAACAAAAAACTCAATATAACGATGAACTTGACTAGTCTGAATAGAAGCCCACACTTAAATAAAAAAACTTAAATATTTTATAAAATTTAATTGGGAAATAAAAGTTTGATTAAAAGAGGGGGAGTGAAGATATGTTCAATTTACTATAAAAATGCATGCAACTAATTTCTTAGAAGTAGGAGTTTTATGAGGAGTATGAAAATTTGTAAAAGGAATATAAAGAAATAGTTAAGAGCAACCAGAGTTTGTAATACAAAGTGAATCTTAATTAAAAATCATCAAAATTGAAGGAGAATTTATATTAATTAATGGGGAGTCATTAATAATTTAAATCATACCTCAATTCAGTTATTTGATTAATTATATACTAATATCCTTTTAATTATAATTATCTTATATTTTTGTAATAATTAAATTTAATTAATATTTCAATTTATACTCATTTTAAAATTGAATGAGCAATAATCAATACAATAATAAAAAGTTGGCTCCATTTAGAAGATAGAGAGATGTTCTAAAAGAAGAATTAAAAAGACTTTAATAGGAGTAGACAGAAGAGGAAAAATTAAACGACTTCTACTTTGACGAGATTGGTCGTGTTGAAAAAGTATTTAATGAAAATATTTTAGGAATATGAATTTTTAATCAAATCTATCGAAAAATATAGCAAACAGAATCAGTCATTAAAAACCATATGTCAAACTGAACAAAATCAAGGTTTAGATGAAACAATAGAAAAAAATGTGATTGATACCTTAAATCTATTTCTTCTCAGCACGAGCAAAAAGGAGTATTTAGAAAGCATTTAAGAACAAGAAATATCGAAGAAACAGTTATAAGTTGGAAATCTAATGATGACCTAAAATTAGAAAATTGAAGACAAAGAGAAAGAATAGGAAAAAGAAAATGTAATTCTCGACAATGGCTACTATCTAAAATTGAAATAGGGCAGCAGCTAATTAATAATTAAAGTACCAGGATCAATAAGGACATTCAAGGAGTTAAAACAAATTGTAAAGTCATGTTGTATGGCAGAGGAATAAGAGATATTTTATACAGATTTAATGGGAAATGTCCTTCAACCTGAAATGAATGTGTTAGATCAATTATATCCACCAATTTATGAGCTGCTTAAAAACTATCAACCAGTTGTTTGCATACAAATCATTAAATAAAAAAAAGTAAAAGAAGATACTAAATAAACAGAAGCAGATTTTGCTTTTGAAGGAGGTATCTAAGAATTGATGACTAAATAACTTAGATCAATGAGGAGAATTGAAAAATCTATTAATTGGTCTAAATATATGGATTATTTAACTAGTTTCAAATATGTATTAGAATCTATATTGTTTCTATCCCTCTTAATTCTCTATGCTATTGTAGAAATCAACGAAATGGATTTTTTTACTAACTCTCAACTTTTAATGAACTTGAACATTGATATGGCCATCCAAAAATCTTATTTATCTCCAATAACTAACATATCCTAAATTATATCTTTAACTATCCCCAATGGATCGAACCATGGTTTGAGTCCAACATATCCTCTTCAATCAGGACTGCTCGTTTAAACTCTTGTTGGTATAGTAAATATTTAATGATAATTAGGATGACATTAACAACTGTGATATATTAAATTAAAATTAAAAGCAAATTTATGTTGATAAAAATTAATCATGTTTGATGTTTGACATAACATAAACCAGTGATTTAAATGACAATTACTCCAAATTAGGTTTTGACCCAAAGGTATACAATGAATAATTTGGAGGCTATGTTTGGGAGTTCAACATGAGTACAAGGTAATCTTTTTAAGAAAGTTATGATCTCATGATCTCTGAAAATTGGTTTCAGTTTAATGTAAAACAAAGTCAATTCCTTTTGAATTATTATAACAGTCCAACTTAGAGAGTCATTTCAGTCACTATCACTACTCTATATCTTTTTAATGATGTACATATGTATAAAAGATTCCTAGCGACTCTTAAATTATAATAGTTTTTAAGCAGAAGGCTTTAATATAAGTGAACTTCCATCACAAGTTCTAGTTAGCAAAGACATAATATTCTATTGTTCTATTGTCTTGTTAATCTCCTCGTTTTTTGGTAAGTATAAATTAAATTGATTTAGATTTCTTTGGCTTGTATTTTGAAGGGACTAAAAATAATTTGATTGTGATTTACTTGCAATATTTAGAATTGTTGAATAGGAAGAAAAAGATGGAGGCTAAGAGGAAAATGATCAGTGAAAGTGATTAGAAAAATATATAGTAAAAAGAATTGATTGTAGGAGAATATGTAATAATTAACTTAAAGGTTATCTATATTACAATTAGAATTCCTCTAGTTTTCGATTATATTTGTAAATTAAATATCTGATTGTAGATATCTTATGCCAATTTGGAATGGTTATGAAGAACACTGTTGACTCTTATTATGAGGAGGCTTTAAAAGAAATAGTTTTGAATTCAGACTAATATTAAGATACAAATGGTTTAATGGAACCCTTATTTGTGGGTAGAGTATTTTCAGCTATTTTGGTGATATTTTTAATGATTTCTATAGTGAGATTTATGGGAAATTGGAGTCCATATCTTAAGTGTTATGGATTGGTTATGATAAGGGTATTTGATATTAATTCTAATTTCATAGTTTAATAAAGAGTCTTGGTTCTTGTTACTAGTTTTAATTTATATAATCAGTGTTTGTGCTATGTCATGGATTGTAACAATTCAAGGCAAGCTAGTAAATCATGATAATTTCTTCTATACTTTTTTGGGATTGCTTAGGTGTACTTTAAGGTTTGGATTGGATAATGATCTTGAGCAATAAGGGTTTTATAATACATATGCCAAAGATGTTATCTATTCTTTTGAAACAAAATACGTAAAATCACTATTAAAATATTAGTTGCAATACATTATAATAATAACCATCACAATGATTATGATTCCTATATTTATTTCTCTAATGACTGACTTAGTTCAAAATACAAAAGTAGAAGCAAAACAGAAGATGATGGAAATGAAAAAGCAGAGTTAAGATTGATTTTAGTATGCACAGAGTCAGTTTATATTAATTTGAACTCTATTTCAAGAATATTCATTTTACCTAGATAGAATATCTAGCTAAAAGTTGATTAACATAGATTCTCTCTACATGGATAATTGTTATTATTATTTATAAATATCGTTAATGAAAAATTATTAATCTTAACCCATGTAATCTAGTGGAAGAGGTAGTTTACAAGAGAATCCATAATCAATGGATTTTAAGCCAAAAAAGAGCAATAGCAAAATTATGAAGACTGAGAGCACAACTACTACTGCCAAAAATCCAAAATAAGATTTATTAGAGTACTTTAAAAAGGAGAGGAATACTATTACTTAGGTTACTAATAATATCAAGACGTAATTGTAATAAAGCAGAAGCATCGACAATTTAAATAGCCAGAAAAGTGAACGCTTAAAAATATCAAATGTACTTCTTTTCTATATTTTAGCGACTCCAAACAGAGGAAGGCAACTTAAATAAGAAATCCCTTTTAAAAGGGAAGAATCTCTCTCTTGCCACTCTACAAATTGATACTAAACTTTAAAAAAATACTATCAAATATAATAAACTGATTCAGATGCCATAAACCACCAATAAATAACCAAAATCTACTGTAGACCAATACTTTCAAGATCTTTAAATTAAAAGTGCAAAGGATTAGAATAATTTTTAACCAATTGATTATTAGCAATACTTTACGATGAGATAAAATAAGTAATCTTTACTGTAAGATTCTTAAACATTGAAGTACTCAATTGAATAGATTCTAAATAAAAATAAGAACTAATTCCATAGAAATAATACTGAAGTGAGATCCACAAATCAATCAACATAACAAAGAAGTGATTCATTGAAAAAGAATCTTAGAGAAGAATCAAATCATTATGATCCACAAAAGTAATTAAAAATCATTTTAGTTTACAAAGGATAAAAGTAATAACTTATTTAATTCATTAGATATCATTATCACTATAATTTCATAGGTTAGACTACTGACAACTTATACAATTATTTGATTTAATAAATTGCCTGTATTGAAAAGTCATTCATGAAACAAGGAGGAGGAACAGGATCAACTGAAGAATTCCAGATTTAAGAAGGTTTAAATATAAATTATTCATAGAAATCAATAAAATATGTCAATTCTACACAACCTAAAAAAATATCCCTTATGACTATTATCTAAGTTTGCCAAATCTATCTTTGAATGTCTTCTAGGGTATTACTCTCTAATTACAACCCTTGATTTCATAGTCTCTTTATGGCAAGAAGGTATCATTGAGAGACTTCACTTTGGTTAAGTGTATTGGGGTCGGAGGATTTTCAAGAGTATATTTAGTAAGGAAAAGAGACAATGGCAAATTTTATGCTTTAAAATTGATTGACAAAAGTTTCATTATGGAAAACTAAAAAGAAGTGATAGTTTAAAATGAAAGAGATATTATGGTCAATATGAGTAACGAATTTATTACTCCTTTACATTTTGCATTCGAAACTAAGTATTATATCGCATTTGTATTGGATTATTGTGCTGGAGGGGAACTCTTCTACCATTTAAGAAAATTGAAACGCTTAACTGAAGTAGATGCAAAATATTACTTTGTTGAAATATGCATAGGAATGGCATATTTGCATTCAAAGGATATAGTCTACAGAGATATCAAACCAGAAAACATACTCTTAGATTTAAATGGACATCTTTTGTTGAGTGATTTTGGGTTAAGCAAACCAAATATGACCAATCAAGATTTAGCCTATTCTTTTTGTGGGTCTCCAGAGTACATGGCTCCAGAGATGCTCATGAAAACTGGTCACAATTATTTAGTTGATTGTTATTGCCTAGGTGCTCTTCTATATGAGTTAGTAACAGGTTTGCCACCCTTCTACTCGCATAATACTCAGGAAATCTACACTTCCATCTTATCTGAATAAGTGGAATTCCCTCCTTATGTTTAAGTTTCAGACCTTTTAAAAGATTTAATTTACTAGCTCTTGGAGAAGGATCCACAAGAGAGATTGGGATAATCTTAGGGGATAGTTGAGATCTTGAGTCATCCTTGGTTTGCTGATATCAACTTTGAAGCTATTGTTAATAGAAAAATCAACCCTCCTTACAGACCGGAACCTCTGAAATACAATTTCGATGAAGAGGAATTTAACAAAGGTGATTCAGAATTTAGGAAATAATATGCAAATAATCTTTAAAAAGAATATGTGGTATGATTCTCAATCATTTAGAATATTGATAATAACCCAAATTTTATACTAAGAAACTTTTACTTCTCCAGAGAAGACCTTCCTCAAAAACCTGAACACAAGCCAAATAGATCTAATCATGTGAATTTAGCATAACTTAATGTGGACAATATTCCTAATTCCGATATCAATTCCCCTGAAAGATAAAGAGTATTATTAATCTTCCTAAAATCATTAGTAAATATCTCCTCAGGAGGCTAGAAGAGTGCCCAAATATTCTGGTAAATCTGAAGTTTCAGATCTCTTAAAGAGAAATGAATTTTCAAATAAATCAGCTTCTTTAATCCAATCCTCCAAAATTACTCACGCATATTCAAAGACTATGTAATAATAGAATTAAAATCAGGATATCAAAGTAATACTCAAACTTATGTTTTAGATACTCAAACAAATTCTAGAATCAACCAAAGGTTAAACCAGTTCAGAAAGAACTGCTACCTTGCCTGATTAAAACACTCATAAAAGTGAGAACAATCGAATCAAAACTGAATAGTTTGCTTAAATAGTCTATCCTAAAACTACTACGAATTATTAGTTTAATAAAAATTCAAATATGTAAAAATTATTTGGGTCTGAAAAGAGATAAAAATGAATATCATTCTTATTATTACAAATAACAGATCATTTAATTCGAAGAGTTAGAGTTAAACCTATCTTGTATATTTTTTTAAATAACACAATACAATATCATCTTCTTATTGTTTTCATTATTAATAAATGAAAATTGTAGATACCAAATATATATATAAAACTGAATTAGTTGATTTTTATATAAAAATTAGACTTTGCCTAAGTGTTACAGATAATTTTTTCTAGGAAATTTTTTGGGCTTGAAAGAATAATTTTAGTTTTTATTTTATGATATAACATAAATGAAAGATTTAAATCAGAAACAAACTGTTGAATGAACATGCCAATTACTTTTATAAATCAATTAGCAATTTGATATTACTTGTAGACCAGAAAGTCTATTTTATTAATCTTCTACCACAACTCTATGTCGTCCAGTAGTGATATTCCATGCTACAATTCCGTAGGAACTTAGATGGAAATAAACTAGATTTGAGAATTAATTGATAACAAGTTCGCTTATTTAATCATCTCCATAGTGTTTCTTTCTCAGCAATTTCATTGTTTAGATGTTCCAAATTCTATTTTTAGACTTATTGCTAGAAACAATGAAGTAATTATTGTTATTTGTTTTGATGTTTATGTTCCCGTGTTACACATTAAAGAAAGTCCTCTTAATTATTTTGAGATTTCTTCTAAGTAATAGGATATTAATTTCAGCAGTATCATGATGACAATCGATAGTGCATATTTGTTCTTTATTTTTTAGAGTAGTTAGAGAGACGAATTGTAACTCAATTTATTTTTATATCGATTTAGTTTAATAGTTGATTACACTTATATGGGATAATCCCATCATTAAAGCCTCATGATTTTGAGATGAATTAAACTGCATAATCTTTTGATATAAATAATGTGATGAAACTATTTCTTCGTATTCCATGTTAGACAATTTATAGATATAAATTTTCTTTGGATTTTGTTTTGATCTAATAAGTTAGTATTAACCGTCTGCTGAGTACAAGATCTACATGGGAATAAAGGAGAGTTGATGGCATTGTAATTTGAAGCAATTTACAAAGTCCCAAAAGATTAGACTCTTATTAGTATATCCAACACAAATAATTTTGCGACATGGTGAAATATCATAACATTGTGGTTTCATTTTAGAAATACGAAATATCTAAGACTTTCCTTATTGGTTTTCTTGATTCTACCACTTTTTCAATTCATTATTTGTCTTTATCATTAATATCAAAGATTAATTATTGACTAAATAAAAGCATTCTTTTTTTTTCTTAATATTATTTATTAATAATATATATATATTTTATACTTATCTCATATATTAATGATATTTCTTACATTATAAAATGATTTAAATTGGACTCTATTTAGTTTGATTTTTCAAATTTGTTAATAAGATTTATTTATTTTCATTTTGCTCATTTGAATTAATTTGTATTTTCTAATTAATCTAAAATATATTTTACTTAGTTTTTATGATCGATCTATTGATTATAGTTTAATTTCAGAAAGATATTTTAAGGATTAATTGTTTATATTTTGTTATGATATAAATTTGTTATTAGCTAAGAAAGAGAGAATGGGAAGGCATATGTTTTGTTTATTTATTTATGAATATTTCATTCCGTTTGCAATTTATAATTGTAAAGGTCACAACTTTATAATTTATTATTTTCTATGCTATGGACCACTCTGTAACCACGATTAAAATAATAAATAGGATAATCTTATGGAGGAGATGTAAAAGTGTCTACTGGATCATAAGTTGTGGCTGATAATGTATTTTCATTTTGGGCTACAGGGATTAGGATATTAAAAACATTAAAAATGCTTTGCTTTAATATATTTCTACGAAGGATTCCTTGTAGATTTGCAAATTTAATTGGTGGGCCCCAAGATGCCCAAGGACCATTAAGATTATAATTGTGAGTAATTGTTGTTGTTGATGTTGTAACATATACTGCCTTAATAGATATATCAGTATAATCCATACCAAATACAGTAAAAGTAATGTAGGAAGCATTTTAGGTTGTGGAATGAATTACTGCTGAATTATATTATAAACTAGAAACGAATACATTCGGCATATTAATAAGTCCATTTCTAAATGGAGTGATGATATTATTTTTGATTAAAGTATCAACCCAAAATGCTCCAAGTTTAAATTCTACTACAATCAATTTATAATATTATAAGTTATCTTATGAATAAGGTTCATAAGCAATATCAGTAATATTGATTTCAGCTGTTCTAGCGAAATAATTTTTATCAAAAACATTTTGAGTAGTCTTAATACTCCAATCTGATGCTGACCATACTAAAGTGAATAAGGTGACTTTCTTCGACTATATAGTAAATAGTGTATTTTGAATTCCGGTTACCCTGATTACAGTTTCATTAATATTCGGGAAGTACACAATATTACCGAATTAAGAGTAATGGGTTTCATTGATACTTTTATAAGCAATTAAATAAGGTGCTTCTCCATTTTTTTGACATCCGACAAAGAATACTTCAGAACTTTGTTTGAAAATCCATAGACAGTCATGAGTCTAAGTCTTCGGAATAGAAAGGGAACTTAATAAATTAAGATCCTCATCGACAATAAGCACTCTTTTTTCTGCCAAGATGGCATCTGTAGTATTTGAAAGTTTGGCATTTGATATAAATTTTCCAAAATAGTCCAAATCAAATTCAATGTACTCATCACAAAAAGCAAGACTTTTTTAAGCATTACTTAGAATAACTATGAATGATAGGATGTATAACAATATCATTAAAAATTAATTATTGATTTCATATTTAGATCTGTTGCCCTTTTAAATTATGATATTCTATAATTACCAATTATAATATATTAATATAAACCTTGGTAGTTTTAATATAAATTATTAAGGTTTCAATAAAAATAAGTTCTAAAGAATAGTAGCGATTTAGTAACTCAAATCTTTGGATTAGTTCTTAAAATGAAAACACATTTACTATTTCTAAACAATCATCCAATTTATTCGAATTGACATATCAACTTAAACTAATACTTAAGTTTTAAATCAAAATATCTTAGTTTATCTTAACCTTTAACTCCTTTGTATATCTTTGAAAATTCTTTATATTATTTATAATAAAGAAAAGCAATCCTAAGTTTCTATAAAATTTTTTAAAAGTTCCCCTTCATTATTTTGTATCTACTATTATCTTTTTTCTTTTTTTTTAGATATTAATAACTCCCTTGATAAGTGCTTTACAATTATATTTATTGTTATGTTGGAATTCCCATCAAAGAAGTACATTTTCCAAGAAAATATAGATCTAGCTTATTAGTTTAAATGTCAAACGAGATAAACCAATGTAATTCCAAAAGAAAATTATATCATTGGCTTTATTAAATAAAAATAAAACTTATATTTGTAAACGAGATAATTTCATCATTCTCAATCAAATATATATCAAAATTGAATATAATTCTTCCTTAAAGTCGTTTAAGTTGATTAGAGTGTTGATTTAGTTGATTGGAAAGGAGATGTCATAAGAGTAGCTTGCTTCTTTTTGATCAAAAATCTTCCAGAAGTTAATCTGGGAGAGTGTTACTGGAAGTTGAGTGTCTTCAAGGATATTATAGAATTTTGATTGTTGGTTGTTGTTGAGTGATTCGATAATAAATTAGGTCTTCTTTGGATTGGAGTAAGATATTTTAATTCAGGTTATGTCTTCTTTTTCATGAAAGGTCTAAGTGGGAACAATTGATCTTGATTTTGATTTTATGGTTTTGTAAATTGTTGATTAACTTTGAATAAGTCAGAAACTAATTTGGATCTCATTTCAAAAGATATTCGAGCATTCTTATATTAATAATAGTGTACTTTGATTTGAAAAATAAGATCAGTTCTATTAGAACAGTAACACAAATATCTTAAGAGATTCACAAAGTCTGTGGAATAATAATTGTCGTCTCCTATTTCTCTCATCTTTCTCATCATCATCCTAAAAGCTAATCAGTGTAATTTGACATCATTACTTTGAGATGTCGACTCATCTTTGATTACTTATTTAAACTCATCCAAATCGATGCATTCTATCTTTGATATAAAAACTTACTATTCCCATCTCTATCTGTTTTATCAAAAAATGCCTTAAGTAGACTCATATTTACAGGATAATTATTTTTCTTTAACATAGAATACAGTTCGTCCAACTCAATAGAATCTTGCATTTTTATTAAGATTCAACACTTACTCGAATGATCCCTGTCTATCAAATGGAAGGTTTCTGTTACTATAACATCATCAAACAATTCCTTCTCTGTCTTTAGATATCTCTCCTTTGTTTTGCTAGCATGTCTTGAATTGAACCAGTTCTTGCTTTCACAATAGTGAAGGACTCTCTCTGCAGGCGGCAATATTTGCATTAAAAAATATATTATTTTTATTGTTTTTGATAATGGAATTGCAATATGCAAATGTTATTTAAGCATAAATTAAGTACATCTTAGATTCTTCATTCAAACTCATATCCGAAAAAATATTATGCAGAAATGTGACTCTCCTAACTGAATGGCAGACTTTTACAACCTCCCATAGTATAACATAACTATAATTTCAAAAACATGATTTTGACAAAGATATCATAGAAGATCTGGAAATCAAGCCAACATCTTAGGAGAACTTTTAAGCTTATAAAATCAATCTCAATGAAAAAGTACAATCAACTTCCAGAATGAATACTGCTGCTTAAAAAAGTCACAAAGCTCATTTCAAGCCTCACGCAACATAATTCAATTGGGATAAAGAGTATCATTATTCATTAATTCATATTCCTGAACCTGAAGTAGTTATTTCAACTGCAGATGAATAGCTTAGAAGAATGAAAATTTAATAAATTAATGAATCCAATAAATAAAAAGAGTTATAGCAAAAATAACTCAAAGAAAAGAAGAGGATGAATGAAATGAATCTTAGATTAAAGCAATAATTGAGTAATAAGGAATATACCTACGATTATAATTGTTAACTTATTATAAATAAACACTCATAATTACAAACAGATATTGTTCCTCAACTCAAGTTTGAAATTTTAAAGGAAGAGTAAGGAAATTAAATGAAAAAGAATTAAAAAAAGAAGAAAGAAGAAATACAATAACAAGTAATTAAGAAAAGGTCAAAAGAACCTTTGATATCATAAAACACTATGAATTTTGGAGAATCAAAATCCTTTTTCCTTAATAATGAGGATGAAAATTTTGACAGACAGACATCTAATATTCCATTTATCAAACTTAGTAGAGGTGTTAGATTAACAGAAGATAATCATGAATTGCAATTTGATGCTCCATCACAACCAATATAGCTATAACTCTAAAGAAAAGAATCTATTCATTTAGATTCCTAACATTAAAATTAATCAACTTATTTAAGATTCAATATCTTAGACAAATCGAAAGAAAAAGTTATTAAGAGTAATAAGTCTTGTATCAAAACTGAAAGAAACTATGACTATTTAAAGGTAGAGAAAGAAGATAGCACTTACCGATTCAAAACTTCTGCTCATTAAAATATAAATAAATCCCAATAAGCTCATCAATTAATTATTGATAATACTATTCTTAGGCAAGACATAGTAAAATTGCCCAAAGTTCGATCCAGATCAATTAATATTAGAAGCAAAAAAGATAGATAAATAGCAATTCATTCTAAGGATCAAATAACTAACTAGAATATTTGATAATTTTTCAATTGAGAATTTACATGCATTTTATTTCTTCTTAATACATCAATTTCCTAAAATATTAATAAATGCAACGCAACACCAGTATTACATTAATAATTTTTTCAAAATATGGAGCAAAAATTGCAATTATTAAATTCAAGCATTCAAGTCGACCCCCATAATCCTCAGATTCCTTAAACCTTAAGGCATTTGAAAGTATTCTAATATTGTCTAAACTGTAGCTTGAAATTTTTAATGAATTAGCTGTAAATAGATTGGGAACAGAAAAATTAGCGTGTAAACTATTTTTAATATCATTAGTACATTTCTGTGAATTGGAAGTCACCTATTTATTAATTTCAAAACAAATTGAAAATTTTGAATTAGCAATAGAAAGATTAATGAAATTTTATAATTAAGGTCTTGAAAGTAAGGATAAAGCTCACTACACTGGTATCTACTTAATTTATTTACTATCCTTTAATAAGTATTAAATTTACCTAAATAATTGACTAGATTTGCGTAATATTATTCTTAGATTGAATTATTGCCGAAAGAGACATTCTAACATCCTTTTGTTCATTTTGTACTCTAATTAGAGTACAAATTGAGCATAGGAAGTTATTCTGATCTTTTGGGGGATTACCATCCAACAGGAATTGAGAATGTATTCTTAGAAAGAATTATGGACACTATCAGGTAAAGCAAATTGTTAAAATTAGATTATAAACAGCTTTAAGTGCCAATGCATCTTACAAATATTTAACTATAGAAAATGCTATTAAATTATTTAATGTTAAAAGTATTCAAGAATTATAATCATTTGCTTAAAAATAACATTTCAAATGGAAATTTGACAATCATCATGTTTATTTTGACAATGTAAGTAATCTAAAATAAATTGATAGATTCAAAACATAGAGAATCCCTTAAATTCAGAATTTTTGATAGCAAATTCCTTAAGATATGTTCATGAGTTTGATAAAATTATATGAAAAGTAGTAGTTACCAATGTTTAATAAATATAATTTTTAAAACCTTCCATTTCCTGTATCTAATTTAAAAAATACTGTTTAGAAAAAAATTTTCAAAGTTTTTAAAAACTATCTTTGTTTTTAGATTGGTATTTATAAAAGTTTCATGTTGTTGATAAGTGCTATTATTTAGCTCTGAAATCTCATAGAACATTAAAGATAAAAATCTAAATTTTTTAATAAGATCAAAAAAACTCAAATATTAATACTTAAATCATTATCATTATCATCATATTACACTTTGATTATTTCTATATCTGAACTATTGTTTAAAACTTATTTATGATATCTTTTAAGATGCTTTTTTAATAAGATATATGATTAAAAATCTCTGTAGCATAAGAAGCAACTGAAAATATAATAGTTTTAACAATGCTTCTTCAGAATATGAGGAAAGTAAACTCCAGAGAATCCTTGAAAATCACATGAAGGGCATTAAATAACCTTTTATCCGTTAGCTTTCGAGATTACAATCTTCTTATTTTCCATGTTGTTTACTACGAGCTTTATCATATTTCTAAGTTCCTTAAACTTCCCTTTGCTATGATAGTTCTTTATATACTCAAAATCACAACTTTGAGGTTTTATTGTCAATTTATTTCTCTATCTAAAATCTTAAATAATGTAATTAAGCTTTTAATAACACTCTTATGGAGTTAATTTTAAATGAGAATTAATATCCAAGATTACACATTGATGATGTTCCTAATTTATTTTATTTGCTATTTCTCCCGCTTTATCATGATTCAGTTGTTTCTTTTTTTGTTTTTTATCTCCTAACTCAATTTAATTCTTTTGCTCTTCCAATGCTATTTTTGCTTTATGTAATTCTTCATCTTTGTAAGAATCATCATTTTTAAAAAGGATTGTGGTTAGCATTTAAGTACAATCAAGTTGCATTTCCAATATTTTTTTCAATATGCTCCTAATTTCCTCGTTCATATTATAGATAATTAACGAATATTCACTAATTATTCATTGATAACTGTTCATTAAATGCAAAATATAATAGAACATTTTATTATCAAATTATTATAAACCATAAAAGAATAAATAAATTCAAGATTATAATTTCTATATCATTTAGTTTCTTTATATAACTTTATTTAACATTATTTCTTTTTTGTATTTCTCAAGAAATTCTAAATCCTATTTGTTTTTATCATTTTTTTGAGAAATCTCAAGATTTTTTTCTAAAATTTTATTTTATTTATGTATTTTCTCCAGCATATTTTCCATTTATTTTTATTTAGCTAATTTAAAACGATGCTCATTTTTTTCACATAGATTCTACTTTCTTAAATCTAATAAGGATTAATGTCTAATTAGGATATCATCTGCAATACCTTTTCAAACCACCCACAAGTTTATCATCAGCTTCTTGAAGTTTTGAAATAAGAGAATCAGATCTTTTTTAATCCAAGGAAACCTAATACTACTCATATTTTTTCATAATCCTACTGTTTTTCATAGATAAGCTTTTTTATTGTTTGATTTGAGAAATTTCATGCTTATTAAGTTAGATCTTAAGTTTTTAAATTTAAAATTACTTATCTTTATGTTGATTTACTAAAATACATTTGAACATTTTTATTTTCCTTTTAAGTATAAGATTCTTATAATTTTTTCTATTTCTCTTCAAACATCTTTAAACTTTATTATTATTTTTTTCGATCCTCCATTTATTTTCTCTGTAAATAATCATTTAAATAATCCGATTTCTTTTTCATAGAATCCATCACTTATTCAATCATGCTCTATTCTTAGCTTATTTACATTTATCTCTTCAATTATCTTTCTCTTTCCTTTTCTTCTTTCTTTTTTAATAACTCCACTTATACATCTTATGATTATAAGAGCTACTTTTATTTTCTTTCAAAATGTATATTCAGATCTTTTTCTAATTCCTAAATTACCTTCTTATGTTCTCTATACTATAATTACTCTTCATATTTATTTTTTTGGCATATCTAATCTACTTTTAAATTCTTCCTTCTTAATTTCTTTCTTATTTAATCCAATTACTTTTATTTGTTTTGCTCTGCTTTTTAGTAGATTTCAGGGGCTGTCTTACTATAATATTCTTCCTACTTATTTATTTAATCCTAAACAATATTTAGAAATCTAAAACTACTAATTATAATAATTACTTATTATAATTTTCAGATTCCTTATTAACTTTTTTATTGAATAATTCCTTTCTTTGGTTGGCACTAAGAATAACAGATGTTTATTGATCTTCTCTCTGAGTTTTCCTTGATTCAGATTACTCGGCAATCAAAGATTCATCTTTAAATTTAATATTCTTTGAATTTATTTGTTTTGTAACTTAAGATTAAATATGCTTTATCTGATTCCTTCTTTTTAGAAGATCATTCAATATTTTATATTTGTTTGTAACGTATAGTAAATATTAGATAAGATTCTAAAGAGGATTTTGCTTCTTTTAATAAAAATCTGCATACTCTTCAACATTGAGATCATCAGCTTCTATTTTAAGCATTTCCATAGCAGCTTGAGTTCTTGGAGAGTAAATATCAAATTGCATCTGAAATACTGTTAATAAATTAGGATTTCTAATGATATTGTGCTTTTGATCTGGTTCCAAATAATTCGATTCAATGGCAGATTTTAATTAAGCATTCGAAATGGTTGGAAATCTTTATCTCTTTTTGTTCCCCAATAAATTTTTTGGACTAGATTCACTACTTTAATAAACTGAATTCATTGATTATTATTTTGTAATGATGATATCACTCTTTTCTTTGATATAATCAAGCATATTATTTTAGTTTTAATTTTTATTGATAATGGCATTCTTAAATTAAGTATTATATTTTGCAATGACAATAAATATTGAATTAGTTTTCTTAATTGTATTACTAATCATTATAATAAGATTCTTAAACTCATGAAGCACCATTAATGTTTCATATAATAATTAAATTAAGTTAGCATAATTTTCTATAAGTTATATGAAAATATATAAAACTTAAGGATTCTCAATGATAGACTGACAGCACTTATTTTCTGGCTCCAATAATTTATCTCTTCCACAACTTCTCAGGAATACATTTCCATCTTCTAGTTAGTACTTTGCTTAAGATGTAGATTGGTAATGAAAGAAAAATCAAAATAAAAGTCACTAATAATAGGCCTGATGATAAATCACTACATTTAATCTTAAATAAATTACCTAAGGACTCCAGAAGCTACTAATTTCAACATCATTGAGCTCATATTTAAACATAGACATATTTTAAGCTTCTTATCCTTGTTGATTAAGGTATAAAAGAAAAATGCTTTTTCCAAAGCAATTATTACGTCAGATAAGATAAAGAGTTGAAGTGAAACTCTAAATTCTGGACTCCATTTATAGTAAATGGTCATATAGATCAGAGTACATCCAAAAACAATGAAGACCATTTCAAACAAATTAGAAATAATGAGAGCATTGGCTAATTTTAGGGTCTTATAGTCATTTTCACTCAAATTGTATTCAGTTGAACAAGGATTATGATCATTTAGTTCATTGATATATATTTGGTGATCATTTGAACCTGTATTTGTTTTAGTTTGACAATCTAGGACGATAGATGTAACTTTGTTGATTTATTTCATTTCGAATTGCTTCTAGCTTAATGGATGTAATTATAAATATTGGTTTGAATCTAAAAAGTCCTGCTGAATTTGAACCCCATTTTGATTTAAACATATTAGGTAATAGATATTAGATGTATGAATTAAAGAAAGATACTTTGATTTTATTTTTTAATAATTTGTCATTTTAAGAGAATGAGAGAGTTTAAATTAAACGAGTTAAATTGAATAATATGTATTAAACATTATGTAATATAAATTAATCATAATGCTATAAGCATTAATATCATTAAGAGAGAAAAAAGAGAGCATGAAAAAATAAAGGATTGTGCTAGAGAAAGAGTTGAATTAACTGTTAAGCTATTTAGAATAGGGTTCAAAGAAAATAAGTCATGCTTATAATGTACAATACTAGAGTATAGAATTTTGAGATAAAGAAGAAAAAAATTAAAAAGCAATTGGAAAAAGAGAGTTTAGAAATAGTAAAGAATTAGCAATATTGCATTGATTAATAACGAGTCTATAAAGAGAGAGCCAATTTGATTGATAAATTGAATGATTAATTAAAGGAAGATTAGTCATGTTAAAAAAAAGAGTGAGTGAATATATCTTAAGGGAAACAAAATAGATTAGAAGCACAGTAGCAAAAGAAATAAAAGGTTGTTTCTATTGTAATTATGTACAATATTTTTTGACAAGGAAAACTAGAGACTCTTGTGGGAATTGCACAAGATCAAATATCTGAATGATGTTAATAAAATATGTCGAGTTAAGATGAGGATCAATTGGTTACTTCTTTGGGTTATTTAAGACTACTATTTTATTAGATAGCAAAGATTAAGGGTGTAAAATTGAAATATGAGTTTAAATTTAAGGGAAGCAAGAGTTATATCTAATCATAAAATGACTACATATAATTAAATTTTTTATATAGTACTTTGTATTTATTTAGTTAAAGACCCTCTAATTTAAAAATATTAAAATAAAGTTATGGATTACTAATTCAAAATTCATATATAATAATGGAGGGGTTGAGGGTATAAAAATAATGGAGAACTTAATCAATACCAGCCATCATAGGTAAGATAAGATAGATGTTATGGGTGGATGCTTGATAATTATGATAATTAAGATAGTTTTGTAATTTAATAGATATATTATTAAATTTGTTTCTATGAAATCATACACATTTTAAGTAATCTTCTCCATAATTCAGAATAGGTTTGAAATGGCACAATTCATCTACCATCCATTCGATGCTATTTCTAATCATCATCCTCCTCTCTCCTCTCATCATATTCCTCATCAAAAATGGTTGTTTCCAAGAAGTGCATTTCTCTTAATTATGACCTCCATAACCAGGTAACATTGATATAAAACATACTTTATGCCAACATGCAATCTAATTATATAAATAAATCAATCTTACTCTATAGATAGGTTTCTTCTCTGGTTTACAATTTTAAAGTGCTTCATGTAATCTTAATAGCATCTCTTCTTCCTTTAGATTCTAAAATTGATAATAAACTTCTGCTTCCAAATCAGATACTTTGATTCCTTCCCCATTGACTATACCTGAAACCACTTAAAAGTATTTATCGATGTCTCCATTGAAAGAAGCCGCCTTTTCAAAATAGTTTGTTGTCACTGGATCTGAAGCACAAATTGCCAACTATTTAGCTGCATCATGTAGCACTTTTTCTAAGGTTGAAAATATAAATCCCTAGTCTTATTACTATAATTACATGTTTTCCAAATAAGCTTCTTAAGTGATCTTCATATTTAAAGTCTTTAGCTTTTAGAGAAAGGAACAAAACTGATTTAAATAAATTATATCTTTTATCTTTTCCTAGATTATTCTGCTTACTAATTATATAGGCCATCTCTAATCTCTAGTATATGGTATGCAGAAATCGCAATAAAATGTATAAACTTTATGTAACATATGTTGTTGACTTCACTCTAGGCTATAAATTTAAAAAGTGTCCAGGAGGCTCATTTTCTATCTTCGGAATCGAGACTGTAGTTTCTTCTGGATTATAATGAATATCATATATTTCTAAATCAACTATTTCTGCCTTTAATTTAATATCGTTTAATGTTAACTCAGATATTTACATAGGTTTCATAGGAACTTGGAAAAAGTGATTGATTAATTTAATCATAAAGAATGTACCATTTTTTTTATCTAATGAGTTATTTCCTCCCATAATTTAAAGATAATGGATAACAAATTATCCACATTCTTACAGTATTTGTTCGTTACCCATCCAAAGAGAAATAAGTGGGCAAAAACGGACATTTTCTTTTGTTGGAGCAGCCAAAGCCATTTGTTTCGGTAGAAATGGTTTGATATTTGTCATTTAAGCTAAAGAATTTAAGAAAGTATCATCAAAAGTGAATTAAATATTATCTGCTTTTCTTTTAAGGAATACATGATCTTTAGTTCCTAAAAATTTAATTAAAACATTTTTAGCATATTCTTCAATCTCTCTAACAAATCTTTATCCGTTGATTACTAATTTATCATTCTTTTTAAAATAGAAAGATCTATGATCTAAAGATCGATGAAAATTAATTTAAGAAACAGTTTCCCAAATTTATTTAGCTTTGGTGTTTCGCGCTGATATCAATTCATTTAATTTTTACTTGACTCTTTTAATTAAAATTTTAGCACTTTCAACAGGCTTGGTTTAAAACAATTATATGATTTCATTCTGATCCTAAGTTTGATTTCTATATAATTGCTGCAATATTCTCATATCAATAACCTTGGTCACGAGAACTTTCTCATCCTTATTTCCGTCTATGATTTCTTGAAGTAGATTGATAGTTCTTTTAATCTATTAGATATTGACATCAAATTCAAATCTTTCATCCTCACTTTTAAACAATTATTCCTCAAAAGTATTTTTCCTCATAATCAAGAATGATTAATCCTCAGAACCAAATGGAACAGAAACCCAAGAATGATTTAGAATCTCTGGATTGTTATTTGCCTTAGCATATCCTATTGGCATTCTGACATATGATCTAGTCACTCTGTCAACTTAAGCAAAATCAGTATCTTTCAGAGGCTTGAATAATGGAGTTTATATTCTCCTTGCTATGACTCTAGTTGTCAGCATTGATCTTATATCATCAATATATTCTCTTTCTAACCAGCCTTATTGGTTAATCAATTCCATAACTTCCATCTACGTGATTATGCATTCAGAATACAGATGGATAATCTTTAGAAACTCATTCATAAACTGTTAATAATCACTAGGAAAATACTGAATCACCCTCAATCGAAATTTATCCCAAAATAGTAATTCATTCTATTTTGATTAATCAAATTTACCATATCAATAACAACTATTCCACTTTTATCTAATAATCTTTAGAAATAATTTTTATTCTCTTCAACCTTCTTTTTTGGAGGATTCTACTCATGCTTCTTTTTGAAACTCTGCAAGAATTACTATTATAATTGAGGATCATTGCTAAATAAATCCAATATGTGATCTTTATTTTGATGCCCATCTAATTACCCATTCTAGATTTATTTTAATATTGTCTCCATTGCCTTACTCTAATTGCCTTCATTATTTACGAATTCAGTCAATTTTTCTTTTTGTGTCTTAAATTTAACATCATCATCCAATAAACTATTCACCTCCTTTAATAGTTCTGGTTCTTCACCTAACATTTATCCTAATTGCTCCTTAGCTATACAAAAATTTTAACTAACAATATTTGAAAATTGCCTATAATTGTATCAAAATAAAACTTGTAGAGCTATTAATTTGTGCGTCTCAACTTCTAACAAATTTGCTCGCATCTCTCATATTATTATTAATCTATATCCTATATTAAAACCCTATTTCAAAAATTACTTCGCCAAATTCCCCTATATTACTCTTGCTTAATATATCATCACTCATTTTTTAATTATCTTGAATTAATATAATTAAAAAAATTATAAATTAAAGAATAATTATTCATATTTCGGATTCTTTATTATCTCTTTTCAAATATCATTCATACTTTCATATTAATTAATTAAATAATATAAAATATAATCTAAAACTTTCAGATTTATAACGAAGATCCAGAATGATTTTTGAACCCTCAAAGAACCTTGTAGTTGAGATAGAAAATAGTACAAAAAGTTTTAGGATTATATTTCAGCTGAAATTTCAATTTCAAAATAACTATAAACTGTAAAATTTTTCATTAAGCAGTAGGATGTATTGAAAAAATAATTATAAGTAAAAGAATATAACACAATAAATACTAAAAACAAAACTTAAAAAAATACAAAAATCAAGATCACACATTTTGTATTAATTTAAATTTATTAAAGATTTGATGAAGTATAGAATTAATTGAACAAACTCAAGTATATTAATTTTTAGTTTTAAGTTCTTAGAATTAATTTAATTCACAAATTTGATATACTAATAAACAATTTAAGAAGGATGATGATAATATCTATTTTAATAAATTAAATCTAAAAATTGAATTTTGTTTTATACAACCGAAATGAAAAATTTTTATTGGATTATTAACTAATTTAATGACTTTTAACTGTTATATCTGTGCTTGTAATATTTTGGAGATTGTTCTTTTTCCGATAATTTATGCTCTGCTAGTTTTCAAGTAAACAAGTAAAATGAGCATAAAATTCTTTATTCCATTATTTTTCAGTAATTTCTTTCAAATTTCTGATTTAACATTTTATCAAAAAAAATATTAGTTTAAATAACTCTCTCATTTTATTTTTGTTTTCCTCCTCAACTCATATCATTTAGAATTTCAATAGGGGCTTGGATCTATACGTTCAATAAGTACTATTACTTCTAAATTAATGGCTTAGCCATTCAACTAAAATGATACCATACTACTTCAGCTCTAATAATTTAAAAAATTAGTGAATTGCCATGGTCAAGTTTAATTAAGAAATTTTCAAATAATTGTCTTTTTAATCAGTCTGCTTAAGGAAGTTTATCATTGTTAATAAATAAATGAACTAAATTACTTTATTCTTGCTAAAATGTCTCTTTGTTACAGTGGCAATTCAAATTCGAATATCTAAATATGCTATTTTTCTTGTTCCTAGATGGATACAACCCAATTCCGTTATAACCAAAATTATCATCAAGATGTATATATGATTAAAATGAACATTCTTTGATTGATATTTTTTCATGCTAACAACTGTTATATTACTGCCTCTGTAATTTAGGATGCCAAATTTAAACTTTATTAACTCAAATTTAGCTATATTAGAATGAAATCTCATTTAGTGATATTTTAAAGCCTTTTTAATCATTCCAAAATCTCTTCTTATGTTGCTTTTATAAAAAAAAATCAAAATTATATTTAATGATTCAAATAATATTAATGAAATTAAAATTTTATTATAATTACTGGTCTGATGAATTAAAAGGGATTATTTGAATTGTATGCTTAAGGCGAAGTGTAAACATCTTTGATAATTAATTATCTATAAATATCATAGTTTATAATAAGAGTTTAGAGATAAATTATGTTCTTTATCAGATTAATGGCGATATTGCTCTTCTTTTTAAAATAGTGTTTTTACTACAGTCTAATTGCATTTCTATCCTCATAGCATTCCTCAGCTTTATCTTACTAAGTGCATTTCGTTGATTCTTTTTATACCTTCCAAATCCATTAGGTAAATTTAATGGAAATATGATGGGAGAGTCTTGACAACTAGTATTTTATTTTGAGGTTGCTCTTTATGAGGATTTTCTTTCAATTATTGGTTCATAAATCTCACTTGTTCGATTGACTACTTATGCACAACCCATTGAGTATTTTTATATAAATTAAAAATTCTTTTAAGATAGTTTTTATAACAAATTTAAATTGTAATTTGGCTATTTGATGCAATATGAAGCTAATGCAAATATTGAGATACCTTGCTTTGAATAGCTATATAATTCAGATAAACATAAATAAGATTAATTGAATAATATACTAATAATTATTTTGATTTATACTTTCATTATTTTTTTAACAAAGGTGCAAATTCAATATTATCCTCCATAAAATTGATATTAGAGATGAAATCTTTTATTTTACAGTTTTATAGAATTCATGATTATGGTTTGCAATCAAAATTTAAGGCACTTTTTTTATTTGAATTAATTATTTAGTAATTCTAAACAATATTTAGGGTAAAACTATAAAATATTGTTCACCATAATCGATTTTTCAGATTCATTTTTTTAGATTTTATTAATTAATTTATAATAATGAAGGGTAGTTCTTTCAAAATTTGATATAAACAAATAGTAGGTTTTAATTATTCTAAATGATTAAAATAATTTTCAAAGATTGATAAAAGGAGTTAAAGATTAAAGATAAACTATGATATCAGATTAAAAAATAAATATTAGTACAATGTGATATGTTAATTTGAATAATTTGTATGTTTGTTTAGAAATAGTAAATGTGTTTTCATTTTTAGAACTAATCTAAAGATTTGAGTTGCTAAATAGCTACTATTCTTTATAAAGTATTTTAATTGAAGGTTTAATAATTTATATTAAAACTACAACCTATCAAGGTTTATATTAATATATTATAATTGGTAATTATATAATATCATAATTTAATAGGTCAACATATATATATATTGAATTCGATTTTAACAATTTTCGAAAATTAAGAACAAATGCCAAACTTTCAAATAGTAATGATGCCATCTTGGCAGAAAAAGAGTGCTTATTGTCGATGATGATCTTAATTTATTAAGTTCCCTTTCTATTCCGAAGACTTAGACTCATGACTGTCTATGGATATTCAAATAAAAATTCTGAAGTATTCTTTGTCATATGTCAAATTTATAAAAAACTTATTTGAATTATACTTCCCGAATATTAATGAATCTGTAATCAGGGTAACCGTAATTCAATTAAACTATTTACTATATAGTTTAAGAAGGTCACCTTATTCACTTTAGTATGGTAGCATCAGATTGGAGTCTAAGATAGATGATTTATTGCGGGTTAGAGAAAAAAATAAAAAGAAGATTTAAACAATGAAATAAATAAATATAATAGATCCAAGATTTAGAAAAGTTGCTCAACTAATATCATGAATAAATTAAGCATTCTCCTAACCTATCCTCTTTGTAAATGAAAAATAGATTTTGATTACCCATCCATTAATTTTTGAATTTAATTAAAAATGTCTAATTTTTATTTCAAAAAGAAAATAGAATAATATTCTTATCACAAGGGTACAAAAAAAAATTGAGAGTATGTTTTGACTTATGTTAATCCAATTCTAACATCTTTGTATAGACGCAGATCACCTAAAAAGGGTTACAAATCTTATAATGCATGATCTCCTGGCTCGCCATGCCAAGATCTTATTTATATACCATTTTGAGGACTAAGGAGAAAATTAAATGGGTCATTATCCACTATAATATACTTATTTGGAGGTCTCCCCAGCAATGTTAAATCTTTAATTAATACTTTTTCATATTTCATTAAATGATTTTTATTAAGTTGATGTTTGATGATTGAATTTTCGTCTATTTTTGGAATAATTCTAAATAAAGATAGCTAAATACTTTTCCATTTCTAATTATGGCAGGTGACCAAAAACAACTATTTCGTAATATCGACTCAGTTCTTCAAGAAACTCTTACAAAAATGGTCTCTTCTTTATTTAAGCGTTATCGTCTATGTGAATCAAGGTATCTTCTAAATCTAGTATTAGTGTGTATTCTTTTTCATTTTTAGGTAGAAAATAAAGATGCTCCTGGATTGACTCTATAATTTTTTTCAGTTTGTCTATAAAATCGCTTGTTTTTTATTCAATCTTCATAAATAAGAATTCTCTAATTTATTGCTTTAATTAATAATTAACAATAGTTCTTCATAAATGAATTACTTAGTACTTAATTAAATCATCAATAGTTTTATCAATGTATTTATTGAGTAAATCTATCTACTTAGGAATTAATGGATTGGCTTATTGAAGTTGATAGAACAAATGCATGTAGGTCTTAAATCCTGGGACATGAATTTACAGCTTATGAATGACATTACAGGCATTTTATTAATGTTAATACAAGATTAGTTTTTCCAATCTGCTTAATTCATCTTTTTTGATCAAATTATATTTGATTAAGAAATACAATATGATACACAAGAATTCTGTCAAAATGAATTGCTTATATTAAATATCAAATTCCTAGAAAAAAATGAAATAAAATGATTACTGCTACATAGTCAATGGTATTTGAATTTTAGTCATTCAGATATTAATAAATAGATTTAATGCTTATAAATTGAAGTAATTCTTATAATTTAAAGAATCTTTTTTGTAATTTTTGACAGCTAAAGTATAATCTAATTTTCTATGGGATATTCAATTGTTTATCTAAATCATACTCCAGATCAGTTTTAGTGTTTTTTAATATGATACAATTTTTCTCTTGTTTCCGAATCGGACTATTGTTAAAAGTAGTAGGTTCTGTGATTATTTTGTTAAATTATAATGAAATTTTTCTAGGAGTTGGTAAGAAGTAACCTTAAACAATATTATTAAACTGACTCTCTTCTTAATAGGCGCTATGTTTAATAATCTTAGGTGAATAACCAATGTTTTTGATTTATCTGGGAGTATAGAGTTAGGAAATGATGTTCTCGTAGCCATCTATTCTGGTTAGATTGACTCTTTTTTTGATGGGAGTAAGATTAGTTTGGGGGTGTTTAAATATAGTTTACTAATTGTAGTTATCTTCATTTCTAGTGCTTAGACTTCTTTTATAAAATTTACTTGGCATCATAATAGTTTTATAAGTTAATTAATAAATTAATTTAATGTAACATTTTGTAACAGGAATATTATAATCATTTGGTTTATGCGGACTAAGGAACAAGTTGGTTCATTTGATAGCTTTCAGGCCTCCAGAAGCCTCATACGAGTTAAGGTTGAGGAAATCAAACAATTAAAAGACTCATACGAAATAGAGATACACATCATCAGATGATAACTAAATTGCAGATTAATCTTAACGAAATGAATCATTGACTCATAGAAAGACTTAATCCCAATATATCCAAAGAAGAAGGAGATAGATACGAAATACTGAGTAATATTGAATAATATCATAAAAATAAGAGAGTATCCTGAATATGATTTTATCAAACTTTCAGATAAATCAGGAGATCAAAATGAAGATTTTGTTGTTACTTCCGATATTTGCAGTGTTACAGCCTATTTTTTAAATTAAAAGAAGGACAAACAAATGGCGTGTGTCTACCTAAATAGAAATAGTGAGTAAATCATATTATTCAGTCACGGCAATGCCTGTGATTTGGGTATGATGATTGACAAACTTATAAGTAATCGCATCCATAATAACTATTTTAAGAATTGGTCTAGTAGACAAACACCAGTGTTTTTGCTTATGAGTACAGTGGTTATGGATAAAGCGATGGAGTTAGTAATGATATCAATGTCATTCGTAATGTTTATACTGCCTACAATTTTTTGATTCATTAATTAGGTTATAAGGCAACTTAAATCATTGTTTATGGATACAGTATAGGATCTGGACCAAGTGTGACCTTGGCTTCCAATCCTTAATATCCAGTTGGGGGACTTATCATATAAAGTGGGTTTAGTTCTGGCTTAAGGGTAATATCTAATAAGATTGAAGAAACTCCCTTTTATGATATGTTCCCTAATATTGATAGAATATAGTTAGTTACATGTCCAGTGTTCATTATGCATGGGGCTAATGATAAAATTATATCTGATGACCATGCAAGACAGCTAGCTAGCAAGACAAACAATTTATATGAACTTTGGATTCCTGAAAATGTTGGTCATTGTGGAATAGAAACAGACATCCAAAACCGTTAATAATATTTTCAGAAGCTCTCTAGATTTATTAAATGTAATAGTTATCATTTATATAGATATATAAATGTTAAATGAGAGTATTCCAGATTTGTTAAAGAAAAACACAGCAATTTCTGATGGAAAAACCCCATGTAAATCACATTTATACTAAACTAAAATTTTTTGAACTATTATATTTAGTTATCATATCATTTATAGTTATTAATATAGTAATTTTTACTTTTTAAAATATAAATTACAGGTACTAAATTATCAGATTCTCCAATATTATTAACGTAATCAAAAATGTATAAATCTTGGGATTATGGTTAATTGATTTGTAAAATGCATTGATCAAAGTGTCAGGAACATAATGTTAATATTATAAAGAAATTACCAAGCATGATTTGTTTAAATTAAAAAATAAATATAACTGGAATATATTAACAAAATCATATTCTGACTTAATTTTATAAAATTATTAAGAATTACTAATGATCTTAATAAGAAACCACTATAAGAAATATATCGCCAACCATCTATAAATAGAATTATAATCTTCATAACTTTTTATTTATTCAAATTGCTATCAACTAAAAAATCAATGGAGACGTATATTATGAAAATATATTAATTGATTTAGGATTGGCTAAATTTATTTAATAACATTATAATTAATCTTTCATTTTTTCAAACCTGGCGAATTCGAGGTTTAACTAATAGATTTAGCTATATAATAATTACTTCATTATTTTTGCTTTATTCAATGTTTATGCCTAATCTTAATCGCCTTTTTCTGCCTTGTTCTTGTCAGCTAAATATTAATATTAATATTTTACCCTCACTCATGGGTCCTAATTGTAGATCTTTCAATCTCTTTTCTATGTTGACTTCTGCTGCAATTTACTTAACTTAATTCCAAATAGGAGAATCTTTTCCTAGACTAATTAACCAATTTTATTTTTGCTATGATAATAATCAAAATGAATAAGCTACTAATAAAAAGATTTGTTAGGGTCCCAAAATACTTCCTGGTCTACAAATACGGATCCAACCTATAAAATCGGGAGCAGGGAATCTATTCGATAATAGATAAATGGTATTACCTATAATGTTTGATCACATATGCTGCAATCAATGTTCCTGTTCTACCCAGTCCTGCTTTACAATGTACAGCGACCACATTCTCTTTTTCAGCAATTTCGAGGAATCTCAATATCTTATCATCTCCTGGGACTGAACCATCTAAGAAATAGATTTCTTCATGTTTAATGCCATTTTTTTAAAATCTTTATTCCTCATAAGCCTTCTTATTCAATCTGACAACACAAGTCACTCCAAATTACTTGAAGATGGGGACATATTCTTCAGGAGTGAATGTACGATTCTAATTAGAGAGGGATTACTTACTCCATCAGCATCTTTTTAGTTTGCAGATGGTCCTGAGAAGGCTATGAATTTATTTGGAACAATCCAATTTAAATCTCCATTTTCGACTCTTTCATAAAATTCATAATCTCTAAGATTGAATTTTCTAACATCAAACCATTTCAACTTGATTGCGTATTCTAAGCCTCTCAAACAATGTAAAATCTAATGAATATAGTCAGCCAAATATACCGTGCATTTGTAAGTACATTGTCCATAACTTGCATCCCTGAAATCTTAGAATGCAGGCTTCACTGATTGGAATGGTTTCCAAGCATCATCTGCACTTATTTTCAAGATGATCACTTGAAATGCTCCCATCAAATAGGCAGCATTGGCTCTTTTGGCACTATCCAAACTAGTATAGTGATAGATGGCATATTGTTAATATGTCTTATCACTAAGCAATTTCTCCAATTCAGTCACAAATCTGTAAGTGTGGCCTAAATTCAATGGACCGAAATCTGCGAAAAAAGGCTCATACACAAGATCCTGAAAACAAATTAGACTCTATCCTATACCTGGTCGATGCAAAAATAGAATGCATTTGGCTGGTTTCTGGGAGGTTGTCGATCAGAAATCCAATAGAGTTTGTCTCAGAATACAAGAGAGATGTTACCTTTAATTATCTCGACTGATCCTGGAATCGGAGATTGACTTTGATTAGACTACATAAATATAATATAATCTCAATATTTTTATGCTTATTATAATTATAAACTCATCATTTAAATAGACTCCATCCTTATTTAATTAACTATCAAATAAACCTCATTATTGATATTCAAACTAAACTCGTCAAACATCAACAAAATAGTGTCAGCTATTCTAAATAATCTTTTGTTTTATAAACCTATGAACTTCTCGAATAGTAAAATCTTTAGAATGAGCCCAATTATTCCTGTAATGCTTCACTTCGAATAATAGATTCCTCAAAAATTTAGAATTGCTATGAGTTTGCTCTTTATATCACCATAGAATCGATAAATACCCTAAATGAAGTCATAATTGCTAATATAGAAGCTTATAGCCCCCATTAAATCTTTATTTATTTAAATGATGTTTTCTGGAGAAACCTCATCATGTTGAATAGCTTGTTCCAAAAAGGCCTTTAGAACTTCATAGCAATTATCGAGTAGCTAGCCGACAATTTGTCTCAAAGAATGAGTTTGTAAGACACTTTTCATCATTTTTATTAATTTATTAATAAAGAATTAATAAGTGATTCACATGCTTATCTTTAATTTTAAATAGCCTTCTTGTTTAAAAGGCTATCATTCTCTACAATTCTAACATCGTCACTCTTATAGAAATGTATAATAATAAATAACATATATATATATCTACTATGCAAATTATATCTATCACTTCCGTATAATATGAATTGGAAAATTGAGAGTAATTTTGAACCCATCATACATTATCACAAGTAGGTTTACTTCGAAATCAACTATAAAATAATCACTATTATTTTACCACTGAACTCTTTGAAATGAAAATTGGAACATGAAAAGAATTTCGGAAAGATCATATTAAATGGCACTTGGATTCCTTTCGTTATGTTTCCATCCACTATCTATATCAATTGTATTTCTGTGGCTTCTAGTACCTTCCCATTTCTATTTTCGAATTTCTCAACTCGAATCATCTGCAAATCTATTGTTCTGATTTCTGATTCGCATTCCTCAACACAAACACTTCCATTGAATCCTTCTTAGAATTAACAGGTGGTGGAATCAATTATTCCATTAATCTTGAATTTTGCATTCTGCTTATTTTGAACACTCGAATTTCCAAGAAGTCTGTCAGGAGTGATCATAAATTATTCTTATTTTAAATGAAGCTCCTTAAAATTGATATACTCTCCACCTTTATCAACCCCTATACATTAAACATAAAAAGGCGAAGAATTTCGAACTGCAACACCATTATTCAATATTAATTCCACTTAAATTTCGTAGGCAATTGCTACATAAACGCCAACGTAGGTTTCCAATATTCTACTATCTCCATAAGGGGTCAATTAATATTTGAATTAGAAACTGTTTTTCTCTTGTAAACTAAAATTAAATTATAATCAAACATATATTTTTCCTGTGTGAATTCCCCTTGACTCAAATGAAGCAATTGAGGATTTTAGTTTTGCATAATCTTTTACAATTCTTTATGTGAATCCTTATTCTAACAAGATATTGCACCTTCAGATCTCCATTTCAATGATGAAATCTCCAACCTTTTCTAATTGGGGTCTGAAAAAGTAACAGTGGCTTGCCCAGATATGAAATCCTGATTGTAACATCAAAACTTACGTTGGGTCTGTATGTATTATTAGCTTTATCAAATTTTATGACTATGCAGTATTGGGCTTACATAAAATAATTAAATTAAATACAATAAAGTTTTATATAAATGAAAAAAGAGTATTAAAAATTGTATTAGAAACAATATGATATTTTTATACAATAACTAATAATTGGATTAGATTTTCTATAAATCGGAACATTACATTAATGTTCTGAGAAATAGTATGTTGTCTTTCCAATTTAAAGTGAGGATTTATGAAAAACAACTCAAATTCTTAAGTTAATACTTAAATATTAGAAGCCAAGGTATTCAAAGTAGATAAGAAGCAAAATAACTTCATTTGAATAAATCAATGATCATGCCATATATCCAAATTTATAGGTATATGTTAAGGAAAATTAATTTGATATTTAAATTATTATGGACATCCATTTGCTCTGATAAAGAGAGGGATGACTTTTTTTATATGTTCAGACAATATTTATTTAATTTTAAAAGAGAAATAAAATGATAGATTCACTTATAAGTAAAATGAAAGTTGTTTAAAATATCGAAAAAGTTAAAAAGACATTTAATAAGATCGATAGGACTGGCTGTATTTTTTGATGAGTAGATAAGATTATATAAATGCTTGAATTGATATAAAATTGGATATATATCAATGTTTGGTTTCTTATGGTTTTGGTGTGCTACTTCCACCTCCAGTGGTTTATAATCCTACGGCTGTTTTGAAACTGTCATAAATCCACCATTACAAACCGGTGAGTGTACCAATCATAATAATTCTGGTGACTAATCCTCTCCATAATCCTGAGAATCCAATTTCCTTGTAGATTTTGCCTACGTTTTCACCCAAAGATCCTAAAATAATTAGATGTCGATACCTCCTGTTTAGATTGAGTTCAATTTTGAGACAATAGTGTCGGCAGGATGTGAAACAATAGCGCAGAAAATACCAGCCAAATATCCTGATGCAAATGTCACTGACAATTATGTGAATTTAGAGTATGAGTCCTTTGGTTTAGTGAACACATTTTCATAGAATAATGCAACAATTTATTCAAAAGCAACGAACTTGACGATTGTGTATGGAACTTGTCTGGCCCAAAGTGGTCCCAAACCTTTGTAGAGTCCATTGATGCCTTAAATTACTTATTGATTATAAATACCTTCATTGGTTTTGACTTAATTGAATGCTTGAACTCCACTTGTTGTGAATGAACCTGGTTTAGAAGTTTACATTCTGACCTTGATTGCTTCCATTGGGCATAAGAGAGTATCGGCTATGATTTCAGCACTTCCTGAAGCAATAGACCAACCAATTCTTCTATATTTATTGGCGTTTTCTTCTCCAACAACCGATTTGTAAACATCCTTGAAGATTTCATAGAATCCGAATTTGCCTAATCCTTAAAGTGAGTATCCAATCAAAGTTGGTCCCCAGGCCAATGTAAGTCCTCCGAATCCTTCAGTTTTACTAATTGTGCCTAATCCATCACCCAAAGATTTGTACAAAGTTGGGAAAACCTACACAAAAATTAACAGGATAATGTACTTATCTTCTACACTTGACAACATCTAATGGGACAATTGCAGTATGTGTAAGACCACAGGCCAAGGTGCCACCAATCATACATTTAACATAATAACTCAAATCGTGTTTATCTCCACCCATTAAAAATATAAAATATCTTTAATTTAATAAAACAGAGATTCGTTATTCTTAAATATCACAAACACACTTAGTATTGTATATATTTCCTTAGTTTCCATTTCGATTCAATTAAAATACAATATATCAAATTATTTGTGTAATTTACAATCTTGATTTAATCATAATATTCTCATCTAACATCTAATCATTTAAAAGTCCATTGCTTTGTGATTTCAGGTAAAGAGTCTCTTTTAATTGTAAAACTAGCAAATGTCTTCGATCTATACAAATAGCTTCTAGCATCATCATGCTTCTTTTTAGAAGGTATCATTAGAATTGTGTTAACCAATTAACATCGAATAGGATAGAGTTCTTCTTCAGGTTCTATATAAAATAAATAAGCTTTTCAAATACCATATTCTTAGGTGATTGTGACTTGTTTATCTAGAAATTGGGAAGAGTTAATGGGGAGTTCTTATTCTTCCATGATGGTTGAAAGAAAAGCTTTAGGCATGGATTATTTAGATTCAATTTTTAGGTTCTATCTTATGTTCACAAACCATTAATGAATCAAAGCCATCTCTACTGTCATTTTAGAAGAAAGTAATTGATTTAATAAATCAAGCTAACTAACACGATACAGAAATCTATATTTAGTTCTTTAAGAATTGGGTTCTGACCATTGATTCATTAAAGATTAAATTAAGTTTAGATTAACATCTTTAACAATTTCCCCTTTCTAACTATGAAATGTGATTTAATAGATTAGTTTTCCGAGACTATAAATATCCTTCTCTATATTCTTGGCATTATTCTCCATATATTTTGGAAAGAGTAAAGTGATTTGAAGAGTTTAGGAGTCAGTATTGACATAGATATTCGATAGATTGATGTTACCGTGGTAGATAGCTTTGGCTTGATATTTTTGAATGGTTTACAGGATCATGTAAATAATGGACACAAACGGTACTTCTTTAAAGTCGAATCCATTTAATAAGAGCGATTCCAAAGACTATAATTTCATGTTTTCTCCGAGTATATAATATCTTGAAGCATCTTCACAAAGCCTAAAGACATTAGGCATCAATTAGAAAGCATGCATGATAGTTAATTGATTATGAAATATTTGTAGTTCTCGATTATCCTCAAGCTATTTCTTCTCGAATTTGATTGTTGAGAAATATTGATTATTTTTCTAATTTTATGTATATATTTTAATACTTTATATGATTGGGAAAGAGGTAGACAATTTTGTTGTTCAATAAATCTGTACCTTCCACTGTAATTTTTGTGAACGCAAAATTTTTTCAGATAGATCTTCAATCTGAGACACTGTTGAGAATTTGAAGTGATTAGGAATTCTTTACCAGCAGTACTCTTGATAATAATGATATTAATTCCTTCGCTATATTTAGGCTTGCTTAATTTCTACTCGAATTAGCATTTGCTCAATTCTATGAACTAATTCTCTATTATCAGAGTGTTGAAAGATATCACTATTTCCTTTTGGATAAATTCCTTTGATTTTTAGACATAGATTATGACTTATTCTTTAAGTAATTCCTTTACACATAATTTCTCAGCCAATGTTCCCTCCACTTTCTAAAATAAACTCTTGGAATCCTGCATTTTATACTCATCTATCAACTAAGAATAGTGCTATTAAATTTACATAATATTAAATAATTTGATATTTCCACCTTTCAATTTATGCACAGAAAGAAACGACTACTTTGGTAATTGTATATCGTATTAATCATTATAATTCTACGCTTTTGAATTCATATGTCAATTCTTCAGTATTATGCTATAGAAATAGCCAAACAAATTTATTGGGCACTCAAACATATCAGCTATTTTTCATTTACTCAAATTGTCTATATATTTTTGCAGTAAACCTTAAAGAAACCAACTTTTATGATGAAAAACATTTTTGTCATAGAATGTTAATTTACAAAACTGTCTCCTTTAGTGTGTTGATCTCACACAATAAAGGAACTATGAAGAATAAGAAGAACTAATTACTAATTTGAATTAATATATTATTTTGCAATATTTATTATGTAGAATTTAAAAGTTTTATAAAATCGTGATTTATTATTATAATAATACTATTCTTAACTCTATCTCATATTAGTTTGTTTGAAAATGAATAAATCTTATCTTATTACTAATACTAAATCCTTTAAACATTCAATTTGATTAATGTTATCTATTTTTAGAATAGTTCATATATAAATTATAAATATGCCATATTTTTATGCTAATTATATGATTTTTAATAATCCTAATCCTTCTAGATTTGAATAGCCTTCTAAAAAAACCATCTAATTGCATAATCTTTCCAATATTCATGGAAGTCGTATTTTATTAATTCATAACTATAATTCAATTATATTTAATCATATAATAACTCTATTATCATTAAATTACTCTATTTAATTTTAAATATATTTTAATCATTCTATTTGATTAGATAGATTCTTGTTTAAATGCGTTCTCTAAAATTTATTTTTATTAATTATTATCAAAAATGAGCCAAAATCCGGAAAATTTCTTCTAACGTATGTATTCCAAAGCTGGAAAATCAAGTGCCCAAATATTTGCTCATCTATTGGGAAAAACAATCACATCTTATTCAGCATCAAAATCATAAGATTCCCAATCTATAACTAATACACCCAATAAAAGATCTAAAAAGCCGTTAAAATAATAACCCTTTAGTCAGGGATTATCCAGAGAATATCTGCATAAATTATAAAATTAAGGAAAACCTAATTTACCAATTGGAATTTATAATCCAAAATATACTGCTGTATAGAAGTAAAAATTAAAACTATTAAGAAAGTCTGATTTAGGTGGTAAATTTGCAGTTGAACACAAGATTACCATAAAGTAAGGGAGTGATTCTTAGGCTTCTAGTGAATTGAGAAATCTAAAATCTAAAAGAACAAAGGGATAATCGGATCTCAGGAGGTAGGTAACTAGATAATATGATGGATAACAAAATTGTTTATCGAATACAATAATGAATGAGTTTTTATCAATTAATACCAATTCAATCAGAGGGTATAATTTTATTCTATCAAAATTAACAGATCTCAAAGTGCTCATCTTAAAGGATCTGGCTATTCATTTAATTATAACAAAAATAATTTTTTTAAAACTCTTTGTGATACTGATTGTGAAGCTGGGAAACGAAAGAGGAATTGTTTTTGGGCTACTTTTGACAAATAGACAGTCAGGGATTGCTTTATGAATAAATCAGTTTGTTTAAGAGATTAATCAATTTATCAATATGATCAATTTTCAAATACAAATTCAATTGTTAGTCCAATAACTACGAAAATATTTAATGATATCAACAAGGTATTTGGAAGGACACTCAGTCTTAAAAGGAAAGCAGTTACGATAACAACACATAATTACAAGATATTAGACCTTATCCATGATGATGGATGAAGATGGGATAAGTTAATATAATGATTATAAAAGCAATTAGAGGCTAAAATTCATTTTATAAATATTAAATTATGATCAAATAAATATGTTATTTCAAACATCCAATAATCGTTATCTAAATTTGATTAATGGTGTATTTAAATAAAAGGGAAAGAACATTATAAAGTCCATCCACATAGAATTATAATAATAATCAATTATATAATTTTAGTTGTTTATATCTTAAAATGTTTTTAAATAAAATTAATAATGTTACAATTATGAGTATAAAATATTCAATCCTATAATTTTTCTGAACTTTATTAGTCTTAAGGTTCTTGATTTTATTATTCAAAATCAATAGTTTGAATATTTTGATGATTCTATTGAGGACTATTAGATTCCTAGTTCTGTTGCTCTTAGTTTTCTTCTGAATTGGCAATCAAGCTATTGACTTCATGTTACTATTATTAGTCTTATTGTTGCTCAATATTCTGATCTTCTTCTTAGTCTTTGCTTTACTGATTATTGGTTGCCACAATTTCTGGATTTTCTTATTGAATTGGTTAGTCTTGATGATTTTGATCATCAGCAACTTACACTTCTTCTTTTTTAACTTCTTATTCTTATTCTTATTATTGTTAAGGCTTTTCAATGATCTCATTAACTATTTTGCTCACTTTGTCTTGATAGGGCTCGTAAGGTTAGAAATCAGATTCAAAGAGACTTCTAGTTGTATTATATTATGATTATACTACCTTTGTTAATTTTCTTAATTGGTCAAGAGTTATCTGGAATCTGTATTGTTGTTGTCTTGCCTGGCTCTTTATCTGAATAGATTAATAATAGTTGATACTTAGTTTATTGGCTTTTGAGATCTAAGGGATCCAATTTCTTGTTGTTAAGATTATCTCTTTCTATAAATATAACTTATGAATTGTTACTTTATAATTAGGACTCGCTGATTCTTGAGTTGGTCCAATATTGTACTAGAGTTTTGGTGGGTTTGAAATCCTTATAGGGATACTCGCATATATTGGAGATATATTTTTCAACCCATTTTCGCTCTTGATTCCAATCTTTGACATTGTATTAGGATTTCTAATCTTGGATTCTTTTTAAGAGTTGCTGATTCTCCATGACGATCTTAATTAATTCTTTTTTCCTGTAATCTTTGTTGAGTGACTTCTTTTGGGCAATACTCATGGTGGCAGATTTCTTAATTGCCAGAGTGGAGATAGAATTATCTGAATTAGCGTAAGATGATTACTTGTTTATGATTGCATAATAGTGGTAAGTTTGGATATAAGGTTTTAATTTTCTCTGTCTATTTCTTATTGCTTCTGTGATTTGATAGCCTCCTTGATCTTTTTGTTTTTAAGGAAATCATATTGTTTAGGCGCACTTGTATTGATTTATGGTCTCATAGTCAAGAGATGAGTATTAAGAATGACTTGGTTCTAGAATATTTCTTTTGTTGCACATATTTTATTGCCAATCGGGATGTTTCGATTCATTTAATAATATTTATATTATTCTCACAAAGTTCTTATAAATAAATCATGATTTTCCATATAATTCTTGGTACACCCTCTCGTCGAGTAAATACTTCATAATTTTCTATTAAAATAGTCACCAACTCATACCTTGACTCTCTCGTAACTGTAGAACTTGTTCAGAAAAGTGAACATGGCAAATTGCACCATTAACGAATAGACTACGTAATTCAAGACAAAGCTGGTCAAATAGGCCAAAGCCCAATATTGCGACTCTTGAATCGACTTATAGTTAGCCAGGCTTCCCAACAAAATAAAGTAGAAAAACGAAACAACTAGTAATATCAATGTCAATCCAATGATCTTTAGGAACTTGACTTTATTGTGAATAAGGAAAGAAAATATCTTACAAAAAAGTAACCCAAATAGCGATTGCAATATCGACAATGCTAGAATTGTGTTTAAACTTATAATCTAAAATTAAATTCAATTAATTTACTTCTCCAAAGAATGTCAAAATGCAAATCTCACCAATAATCGACATGTAAACAATAATGGTTCTGTAGACTCGGGACTACTACTCATTATAAAGGTAATAGAGACTCATCAAAACATGATTAATCTAAAAAATACAATTAAAATCTACTTTGAAATAAAGGAAGAATCCTTAATGAAATTTAACTTATGATTTATGAATTGAGTTGAAGATTGAATCCTCCCTTTTTGGGGAATTCTGATCCTTTTGTTCATCCAAAATTGGAGTACCTGAAAGTTGATTCCCTTCTGTTTCTTCAATTGCCTTTCCAGAGCGACCATTTGAATCGAGTGCCATACTACGCTTACTAGAACATGCTGAATCAATTTATCGATTTTAATTGTCTTCTGAAATGGGCTTGTTATTTTACATCTTGATGCTATTTCTATGACTATGTTAATTATTTAACTTCCCTTATTGTCTTCCTGCCTACTGTTCCAATTATGCCATCTCATCAATACTGCCAGCTCTTTCCTTTTCTGGGAATTCCTCCCAAGATTGTGGCATAACTTTGGCTGATAAGAAGGATCCAGAATTAAGTTACTTTAAATCCAATTTATGTCCTTTGTAGAGAGATAAAAAGAAAATTATTGTGAACAAGATTACTATGTACAAGAACAGCATCTACTCATAATGACATTGATTTATTTTGTTAATTGTATCTTCTGAAAAGAAGGAAGCTAATTGATCAGCTAATTATTGCACTGCATCAATTAGAGTAATTATTGAGATCTTCTAGCATTCACAGATCATTTTGGATTCTTCTTAAGTAGTAGTGCACGCATCCAGACTCCATGAATCTTCTATTTTCATAACACATTCATAAAATTTCTCATTCTCAGGCTTCGGAAATTCATAAGTTAAAGTTGTCTTTGAATCCGTGAGTTGAGTTTAGTTTTCTTCAAAAGTTACCTTTGGATCATACAGTACAGCATTAGTTTGATTTTTGTTGATCTCCATGAAGTCTGAATCGTAAAGATAAGGATTAGAGGCATACTTGATCAGCTTATACTCAAAACGAGCTGAGTTGTTATCTGATTAATAATCGGTCTCTTCATCACTTACATGTTATTTCTAGGATGTCAATACATTCCCTAATGCTTATTGTAATAACTTTGATGTGACTCTCTATGTCGATATATTAAACCAATTGGTCTAAATCGATAATTTCTTACTGTTGATCATCTACTAACTCAATTGTATCTGTGTAATTACATTAAGTGAATCTATGATTTGCTAATTGTTTATTTTAACTTAATTTTAATTTTCAATTAGTTGTCTCCTAAACTTACTTGATATCTAATTTTTGTTGAACAACTCTGCTATATATTAGGCATATCCTAACATTTCTTCATGCAGAAACACATTTGAAAACAGTTGTTTGGATCTGTCGAAACTATTTTCCATTAGACTAGTTTATCGTTTGAATTACTATTCGATTTCATTAAGTCTGGCTTTTGATTTATCCAATTCCGAATTAATTTACTCATAAGATAAAGATTAACTCTATTGCACCAATAACTTTTTCAGGAATAATTATTAATTCACATCGTATTCACAATCACATTGGCTTTATTGTAGAGTGTTCTAGAAGGTTTTCTCAGTAACTAATTGAGGTGTTGATTGATTGTTATTTTCTGAATTCAACATGAATAAAATTGAAGATTTCAAGTCTGACTGAGTTGACATCATTGATTAAACTTACTCTGACTAAGTAGATGTTACATTCACTACTAGAGTATAGTTACTTATCCCATTCAATGTATCCTTCACTTAGACAACCACATATGTTTCACCCTTACCAACCAACTTAGTTTTATAAACAGGATCATATTGATATGGATTCAGCACTACTCCTTTATACAATTATCCAATAGAATAATCGTAACTTAAATCTGATTGATTCTAGTACAATAGTATTCTATACTATAAGGATTGGTTAATGTCAATACAATTCTTGGTGGATATTGTGAAATCTGTCAATAATGATTCCCCAGAAGTGGGTTCGATGCCTACTACGCATTATTTGGGAGGTAAATTGAGGTAGATATTCATAATTATGGTGGATGGTTAAAAGTAATTTGGATTGTGAATAGAGATTTTCAATGTTAATTTCTCTGACAATTCCTCTAATTTCAAGTAATCCCAGATTTGTAATTTCAACTCCAAATAATCAAAATTAAATTGAGCTATAATTCTTTCATTTGTATACAACAATCCTATGTATTGTAAAGTGTCTGGATTTACATTCAAATCCATGAATTTCAGTTTGATGTTTATCTGATCATAGAAATTGATAAATCCAGAATAGATATCTGGAGTTGTTTCAAAGTCAACCTTTGGTACATTAGTTTCAACTATCTGTAATTGTATCTACTCCTTCATACTTTTATACACCACAGATATAATGATGGTCTGAAATGGGTTAAAAGTATCTCCAGGAATAGTGATACTTCCTTCATACCCTAAATTCAAAGTCTGATTGTTCCTCATGCATAATTCATTCTCAATAACATCAAAACATTCCCAGCTGAATCTTTCATTTCCTTAGCTGTTTGTTACATAAGCCTATAGATTGATAGATTGTCTATAATTAAAGGAAGTGCTTGTTGATTTTAATACTAATCTTTAGATGTTATCAACTACTTTCAAATTAATTGACTACTCATTCACTAACTTATCTTAATAGAGAGTTTTGATGTTTAGATTATACACTCCTATTTTTAAAGACAGTGGTTTGAGTGCAAATATGTAGTATTACCCAACCAAATTCTCTTGTTAATATAATTGGCCATCAATTGAAATTAGATAATTGACTCTATCGTAATTCGAAAATATTGGGCTTGGACAATTCTATGAAATTACTGATATTGAAATTTCTTAGGAAATCTAATATGGAGTTTATTAGAAGGCTATTTCAGTTGTGATTTTGCCAAACTCTTGGACAACCACCAATTGTGATGAATATACTTCATTTACCACACTAGAATATTTCAATTCAATTATGATTTCATTCTCCTCATCTAATATATTCCCTGAAAATTCAAAGTATTAAGTTATTGGATTTGCTTAGATCTATTAATTTAAAAATCTCATAAAATTATCCAATTTAGGATCCTATTATTTCTACTATATCAGATTCCATTATAACAACTGGATATTTTCCTGGTTCAGAAATGATAGTAATAGATTCTATTTTTAACAGCGAGATAGGTAAATCTTACTTTAAACAAACTGCAGCTTATCTTTTGGCTAATTAGCCGATCCCAAAATATTCAACTCATTATTATAAAAATCCTAAATAACGCTTGGGCATTTTTCGAATTAAATAATATTTGGATAAAATACTATTAGATCTCCTTGCTTAAGACTTGCTTTGGGTCCCAACTTCACTTAAATCTTATTTGCATCTTTAAAACACAAAGGATTTTCACCTAATAATTCAATAGTTTATGGCTTAAAAATATGATTGCAATTGGTATACAAATCTTTGATATTCCACTTAAAATTGATTATTAAGATGGTAAAATTATAATTCAATGAAATGCTTAAACTAGCAATTGTGCAAGCTTGAATATTATACATAAAATAAATTACTTGTACACCAAAGAGAATTCTCAATCTCAACTGAATTATTTGGACAAGAACAGTCAGGTAGTGAAATCCTATTTCCGGAACAAGAAGTACATTTATCGGCATATTAAGTACAAGTCTTACATTATGAACTACACTTCTAACATAAATGGGTTGCAGTTTCGTAATACCCTGTTAAAGATAAAAATGAAATAAATACCATCTTAACATTAGCATGTAGGAGGATTAACGAATCCATCAGCACATTAGACACACACATTAAAAGTTGAGCATGTATTACAGTTGTATTAACATTTCAAGCACATTGCATCATCATAATAATACCCATTTTCACAAGATTGACATAAAGGCAGTGAAATTAAATGGGATCCAGTCTTACATTCATTACATGTAAGACCATCTATGCATTTCTGGCATTCTGCTTTGCATTTTAGACATTCCGCCTTGTTATCTTCGTAATAACCTTCCAAACAACTGCAATCTGAATTCCTATTATAAGTTATGTCACATTAAGCACATTTATTGTTTATTAATTAAAACCCTAATTCACATAATGAGCACTAAGTGTTGGCACATTAAGCACAATTAAAATCACAATAATCAATTATCATATGCAAATTTGTAATTCCTACACTACCTTCGAAGGAAGACCTCATCATATTTGAAACAAATCTAATATTTACTCCATCTGATGTATGTGCAATATCCAATTCTATTTTTTCGATTGAATCAGGAAAGGAGCCATAGAATAAATTTGAAGCAGTGTTTTTGACGTTTTTTTCATACACAATTGATCCATCAACAATTATTTAAAATAAATCATTTGACCATTTGTCTATGAACCATACCTCCAAATAGAGTCTTAGATGATTATGTGGATTTAAACCATAATAAGTAGCACTAAAGTAGCCCTCACTCCAAACTCCATGTCCTCCCAAGAGCAATTTGTCTTGATATATTGAATATTTCTAGTCAGTCTTTAGGGAGAAGGTGGAGGATTGCGAAAATTCGAACTTGTTCACCTACTACTAATAGTTACTATCTAAACTGTAAAAATAACTGCCCAAATATTCAGACCCTTGAATTATATAAATATAATATACCATATTCTTTCATCTCTTTATAATCAATACACTTGCTTGTACCATCGAATTAACTACTGCTTGGACATTGCTTAACACAATTACCTAAATGTAGAAGGTATCCTTCCTCACATTTATTGCATGAATTATTTCCACAAATTTAACAATTTAATGAACATTCTAATATACATTAATTGTCAAGATTGCCAATATAGTATTTTGGACATGTTAACACACATTTATTAACATATTGGTAGAGTCCCGATTAACAGTAACATTTACCAGAATTTAAAACACCATATGGACAACTTAAACATTAATCAATTTTTGGCCCACTACAGGTTTTGCAACTGAAATGGCACAATGTTGGAATTATGACTAAATTCTTAATCGAGATCATTTAGCAGACACCAATACCTCCGATATCACATGTGAATGACCCTTTTATTTCCATTAGAGGATTTCTTTTAGAATGAGACATAGACTAATAAACTGTTATTAACTTTTATTAGGTAGGCACGGCACTTCATATATATTAAATACATACTTTATTTTGTTCAACTTACAGTATGTACTCGATGTTTTGAAGGTACTTGAAGATAGACCACTTTCAGAAAATATGTTGGTAGAGTCAATATCAATTTTGAGGTAAGTCGAACCTTCCCATCTACCAGTGTATAATAAATCAAAAGATATCTGTATTTCACTGTGGGCACCCAAATCAGATAGTTATTTATGGAGATTTTTGTCGATTAAACCAAGATATGGTCCGTTAAGATCATCGCAAATGTGTTATGTTTCGAATACGGATTGATCGTCAGCAATCCAGTTTTCTGGAATCCAAGGTTCTCCCTCTTAAAGTTCTGTGATTGTAGTAGATTTTGTCACTAAATTTAGTGAAAGGAAGAGTAAAAACATCTCGAGTTTATATAATAATTCTTAAGCATTATACAGATGACTTTAAATAATTTATGTCTATCATATTTCATCAGATGTTAATCGTCATTTTAATAAATCTTCTAGATTATTTCATTGCTTTTATTTAATGTTGATAAGATGAACAATTATTATATAATATTTAATATGCTTTAATTAATAAGAACTAAGGTTTATGATATAAAATAGTAATTAGAGATATAAAGCTAAATATTTGGTTTCTCAGAATTGGTCTTGTTATACACTTTTGGTATTTTATTATAAATAATAATATGATCAAAAAATATACATTAACATTTAATTCATCTGAACTTGAATAATCTTTCAAGCTATGGGTAATTGATTAAAATCAAATCATGTATGAAATTACATTGTCCACCCTCTCAATATACCTGATCCTCAACCTCATCAACTACACCTCAAACATTATTTATTTGATTACCACATCAGTGACTCTCTGCTTGGAATTGACAATGCTTTTCTTTTTCAGAAGATACCCTATGCAAAGAGAAAATATCAAAAGTTTAAATTTGATTGTCATTAACATACTAATAGACATTTATATATGGCTAAACTTTGCCTAAAACATATATTTAGAAGTCGGAGCAGTTAGATTATGTAAACCCCTATTTCTTATTATTCCCAAGGTCTATATCTGCAAGGCAACAAATTTACTACCCAATCCTTTATATTTCTCTTCAGTTAGGCAGCTGAAATGTCGATCCTCCAATCCCAAATCATACCCCTCATCACCTATAGTCTATTTTGTCTTTTCTTTATATTCCTTCGCTATCAGACCGAAATGAAGCGTCGTCAACATTACTTAGCTTTCAGATCCTAAATCCTATATGAGAATTTAATCGAAGAACAACTGCCAGCATGGGTTGTACTGGTCAAGTACGACAGTAAGCAAGCTTAATTAAAAATGGACAAAATAAATAGGGTTATGAAAGACACATTTAACTTGAATTCAGATCAGAAATTTAGAGAATTCTTAAGAGATTCAAACATTTAACCATTAGAAGGCATTAATCAAAAAGCATTTAATTTTGAAGATGTTCTCATTAAAGATTTACTCCAAAAACAACAAAATGATAAGATTACTAAATTTGTAGGTAGATTCATAAACAACGATAAAAAGTGGTAGTTTCAAATCACAAAAATCTATTTTAATACTCTGGAACCTACAATATTGTTGTTGTTCATAGAGGAAGGTGGTGACTTATTTGATTTTTTTACTCATTAATTGAAATGGAGAGATTAATAACTTGTTAATCATAGCAAAATGTGTTTAAATTATATCAAAGATTAGATTAATCTTCTGAAATACTTTAAACAATCAGCTAATGCTTAATAATTATATTATATCAATACTTAAATCAGTAATAGTTACATTATTTTCAATCAGAGTTTAAATATTTTGAACATCACTAAAATCATATATAATAAATTAAAATATAACATCAACTAATTCAATTTATTGGAATTAATCAATTAATTAAAAGAGGATTTAAAATTCTCAAACAAATAGTTATTATTCGATCTACAATTGAAGACTGATAGATCCAAAATGATCTCAGTTATACTAAGCATCTCAGAATTCATTAGATTAATGCTTGCAATCAATACAAATGATGAAAAACAACTTTATGAAATTCATCCATTGGGTTTCCCTATCTAAATCAGCTTTAAAAGACTTCATTCTAACCCAGGATGTCTTTTAATTACTATGAAACACCAACTCTTAAATATTCCTGCCCCAATTCAAGACGCTTTGTAAAAAGCAGCTTCTTTTACTGACCATAAAAAAAGAAACTGGGGTGTAAACCACTATTACGAAAACATATAAAATTTAAGCGATCAATTTCATAAAATCAACGTTACTACTCAAAAAGTTACCTAAAGTTAAATGCCTTATCTGGAACTAGATCAAAATCTATAACAACAACAATAAAAGATAGGAGTCTATTTGGATGGAAGTACTGAGCCTTTCAGTACTTTAGGTCTTCCATTGGCTTAATATTTAATTTCATAAATTGGCCCTAATAATCAAATAGAATTTAAAGATAAAAAATTAAAACATGATCCTGACCCGCTTTCTTTTCGAAATGCAACAACCAAAACAAAAATATAGTTCAAAGTATATGAGGACTTAAATTAATTTATAATCCAACTAAATGAATAGGATCCTAATCCTTATTTGGACTTTTTCATTTACAATAACAGTTAGAAATCCGGCTTCAAAACTTATTGCAGCATGTCTCCACAACATGCTCGAAGAAGTGGTATGACAACGTTATTGATTAGTGGAAAAATTAATTGACCCCAATTATATTTCATCATATTTGTATTAAAATTTATTTAAAAAATTTTAACTTCTGATTACAAATGCTCAATTCTTTATATACTAATTAAATACTACTCTTATTATGGATATTGATATCTATTATTATTAACATTTATGAATCCTAACGTATCCGACAAATTAATAAACATAATGAAATATCTTTAAATCTAATATCAAAAAATAACAAAATTAAAGAAAGAGTTTTAATTAGCATATATTACTATATTATTGCTTTAAAAAATTTATCTTAATTTTGTGCTTAAAATTATAGGAGATTGGAATCGAAGTGGCTAATTTTTAGTTATTTTCATAACATGAATGAAACTAAATCAATAAGGCGCAGAAAAGCCTTATGGAGGCAATCCAGAGTTGGGATCAGTTCCTTTAGGCCTTCTGAATAATAATATATGTGGTTCTGGTCTATGACATTCATAATGAACCCATCCTCTAGATTACTAAACTCCTAATCCTCGCCATTCCATCTCATTCAATAATTTACCTGAATGTATTGATTAATTTTAATACCTTTTGTCAATTTTTTGAATATATGTTTAGGCAAAATGACATGTCTATATTCATAGAACTCGTCCTGATATTTATCTGAGTATTCAATGTCTTCTGGATAATGAGGCATAAAATAGTAGTTAATTAATTAAATTTAAAATTATTTTTTTAAGGCTTTATATTTTGTTTTATATACTATATTTAATAAATCATCTTCTAATGGCTAATAAGGCTAACGACATTATTGAAGAAAGCCCAAAAAATAATGAATATGCTTGATGTGTTTGTGGAGTAGGCAAAGGTTTATCAAAGTTGTCTTTAGTAGCAGGAATCGGATATAAGTTAGCTGATTCCTCATCATATTCTTGCACCAATCTTTCAATGTATGCAGATGAGCAATCTGTCTACAATATTAGCTTTCATCATCATACCAAATTGAATGATCTGTATAATCTTGACATAAACCACAAATCAATATAATTGTACACTCCCTCTCTTGGCCAATTTCTACGTCCCTTCAAAATATCCTCCTCTTCTCCTCTTCTTACCATTCCTACAAATTCTACAAAGGGCATTTAATAATCCTCTTCCATATTTAAGACATTTCTATTGAATCCTGTCAATTAATCGTCATCTTCATTATGAGGAACATTTTCATAGGTCTAATATATATCTCAATTCGATTACTGTTGTTCCGATAGGCTCTTATCCCATTTGAATATCACTGATATTATCTTTTGGCACCCAACCTAAATTAACCATCACTTGAGATTTGGTAGTTTGTTCTGGATCTTATTCTGTGTCATTGAATTATAAAGCTGTTACAAATGGAGCAAAAACTAAGAATCCATCTCTTCCTTCTCTTTCTCTTCTGACGAAAAACCTTTCATCCTATGAAAAATGGCAATTAATATTGTACTCTGAAATATCCATATAATTTCACTAATTTATACTCCCATTATCTTATATTGCGTGCCCATGGGTATCGATTAGCATTGAGACCATTTATAGTTATTGGTTTCCATTCAGTAATCTCATTTTCTACTTTCTCATATAATTATTTTTATTAAGCGCCCTTCCATTGATGCCAAGCACAACCATAAGCTCCTCCAAAGAAGACTCCGTACGCCAATAACTTAATGATACCGTTACTTTGTCTTTAAGCGAACGAGTTGAATACTTGTGTTGAAAGCATAAAAGATTAAAAATATTAATATAAAAATCAATAAATAAAGCTTATATATAATTCTTATAGTAAGTAAATTCACGTGATTTTTGGAGAAAAGATAAAATACTATATTAGAATGGATATTTCAGATTTCTGTTAATGCTAAAATTAATTGATTAATCAAACAACGGTCTTTTCTAAATCATAAACTTCTTGCTCTTTTATTGTTTTCAAAATTGCTTTGTTTTGTAGGAGTTCTGGAATGCTCATTTTTTCTCCCCTTTCAGGTTTGATTTTGTCTTGCATTTATTATTATAATATTTTTTTATGTTCTACTTTTACTTTTTTAATTTAATCTTATTTATTCTATTCTTCTTAAAAGAATCTTTCTGTGTCTTCCTTCCATATTTTTCCTTGAAGATCATCTAACTCCTTTTCTTATAATTTCTTTATTTATTTAAGTTTTATCGATTATTCCAAGGATTAAATTGTCTTTTACTTTAATTCATTTACTCTATTTTTCTTCTTCTACTCTTCTTCCAAAAACTTCTGTTCTTCTATTGTCTTCCAATATTATAATTTATCATCATCCTCTTTTTCCAATTTATATCTTAGCAACTATGATTCACTCCAAGCATTATTTTTATCTACCTTTTCCTTCTTTTTTCTATTTTCTTCGACTCTTCTTTATTCAATCTAATCAAGCAATTCTCCATATCTATTTATCAATATATTAATATGATTACTTCTCACAATTTGCTTATTCTAATTTCTCTTATTCTTTTTATTTCTACTAAATAACCATTTTATCAGCTTCCGATTATTTCATTACCTTAAACATATATTCTCTTTTCTTTAATTTTATTCTATTTTCCTCATCAATCTGCTTTTATAATTCCTCTTGATATCTTCTGCTTATTTCCTACTTGTAATTACGCAATTCTCTATCCTCGCTATGCATTTTCTTTTTCTTGTTATTTAATTAAACATCTCTTTCTGATTACAATTACAATAATTTATTTTTCACAGATGCCTATTTTTCTTATTCTTACTCATTTTTCTTCTGTAATAATTCACTTTGAAATCTGTCATATTTTACTTCTAAATCCTTCTCCCTTTTCTTTCTATCTTCTTTTATTTTCAACTACATATCCAACTCCTTCTTCATTTAGGCTTTCTTTTATAAAAGCAATTCTTTCTTTCTTTCCTATTCCTTTTAGTACAGTTACGCATCAAATTTCATTAAAGCAGCCCATTCATCTTCCTTTAATTATGTAAGAATATTACATCCTGTCTATCTACATAGTATACTGATTTGGGAGGTTTTTCAGAAGTTTCAGACACTTAATCGTATGATTTTAAGAAAGTCCTTTAGAATGGTTGAACACGTTTAGTAAATGGTTCAATTGTTTTCCTTTGCGAATCTGCAGGAGTCTTAGAAGGTAATGCTGATTCTCCATTTCCCAAAGTTGGGAAAAATTGTTATTGCGATTGAGATTAACCAAGTTTCGATCTTAATTTTGTTACAACCGAAGAATTAGCCCCCTCTTTAAGCAAAACCTTCTGAATAGATTGCTGTAATAGCTAATTCTTTTGGGCATCTGTTGATCCATATTTTTATACAAACAAATTAACAATATCCTCTGTCATTTATATTTTGATAAACTTACTTCCTCAAATATTATAAATATTAATTTTTGCAAATGAAAGACTAACTCTTTTTGCTTAGCAACAATTAATATTTAAAGAAATTATAAGATAATTATCAAGGCTAAATCGGTTATTTACGTTCTATAAATATTAACAGTGAAATTAATTAAACATAAGATAGCAGAAGAGTATAAATAATCAATTATATTCCTGAATTTTATTCTTTATTTAAAAATTAGCATGCCTTTAAAGATAAAATGTTTGGGAAAATTTATTTTTAAATTTTCATTCTAATTTTTATTATTTTAAATGTTAAGATTGAATTTTATCATCCATTATTCATAGGATCTTTCAATTAAATTATTTTAATAATATATTAGTATTTTTAATTATTATTTGCAAATTTTTAATTTTTGAGAAATAAATATTTTTTTGTCCTAAATTGATTACAATCAGAGTGTGTTTATTATTATTTTTGCATTAATATCATGGAAACATCTCCTACAGTGAAATGAAATTATTGCAAAAATATTCTTCTTATAATCACATTAAAAAATCAGAACTACTAATCAATTTAATAATGTTTAAAAAGTAGACTTAGAATTTTATTATTCTTAGACATCCATTCATTAATGCTTATTTTATAGAAACATAAAAAGACTATTTGTAATACCATTCCTTATTTTTATAGATTACCTCATATTGTTAAGAAGAAATAAACTTAAATAACAGTTTTTAAATTATTTTTTCATAATAATAAATAAAAAATTAATAAGAGTCATTTTCTTTTGTTAATTTCGGTTCCTAACAGTTTTATCTAGTCTCTAAGCTACAAATTTTCAATGAGGGTTTTCTATTTTTAAAAATTTTTGATACTTCTAATATGTCTTGAATGTTAACTTTCTTTTTTAATTGTTGTATCATTTTTACGTCCTCCTTATCCAATAGATCCTATTCTTATAAAGAAGGAATTTATTTTGATATTTAATGAGCAATTTAATTGATATAGTTTGTTTTCTGTTCTAATTCATTCTACAATTAAACTATTTTAGCACATAGGCTGTCTCTTGTTTTTCTGTTCTCCAATTCAAGCTCTTATACTCTTAATGAAAGAGATTCAACTACAATCCTTTCTTTTTTGGTTAGAGGAGCTTCAGGTGCTTTTTATCTGAATTATAATTCTCTTATGGCCAGAAGATCATTAGTTAAGCATTTGTTAGATTCTTCTAGTGCTGATATTTATTTTTATTTTTAAAGACAATCATCCTTCAATTATTCTGTTTCCTAATATTATGATAAGTATGTTACATGAGAGTATTTTTTTTCCAATATTTTAACCTAGCTTTACATATCCTCGTAATTAATTTATGAATCTTTGTATTTTTATTCTAGTAGCGAATATTCTTGGAATTAAGATTACAATAATTTTTCTAAGTCCTTTAACTTTGTCATTTTTTAATCCCGCTCTTGTTTAACATTTATTAATTCTTATGAAACTTTCTAATATTATGTAGTAATTTCATCAAATTTAATTTATAACTATCATAAATGAAAAAATATACATTGTTTCTTAATTATTCACTCTATCTCAATGTTTTTTTGGTTGTTTCTAGTTATTCCTCTTTATTTTCATAGTTAGACGATAGTTCACTTAATTTCTATTTTTTATATATTTATTGATTACTTTCATCAAATCCTTGTTTTCTGAAATTTAGATATAAGCAGAGGCTAGTTCTCCTTCTAATCGAAATTTATCTTACGCTATCACTCTTAATTCTTTTAATTCTTGCTAAATATTTTGTAAGTCATCCTTAAGCTATTGATTTTATAGTTTGTAAGTATTCAACTCTGATGTAATTTTTGAGTTTTGTTAACTAGTCTCATCAATAATTTGTTATAATGCTGCACATTTTTAAACCATCCCTTCCAAAGAAAGATTAGATTTCATTTATTTGGAGTTTTGTAGTTTTTATTATTCTTCTTGTTAATTCTTTAATAATTATATTTCATTTGACAATGCCTTGATTTAGTGTTATTGATCCTTAGACCTTTTATCCCAACTTAAAAGTTCTTTCATTGGAATTGTAACCATTTTTTCTGCTGCATTATTGTTTTGCCCTTATAAATTATTATTATTTTAATTTGGTTATTGAGTCTATTTTTACTATTAAGTTTGCTATTGTTATTATTATTGTTATTGTAATTGTTATTGTTGTTACTATTATTGTTATTATTATTGTTATTATTGCTATTATTATTATTATTGCTATTGCAATTATAATTATTATTATTATTGTTATTCCAATTGTTATTTGATATCTTCTAATTATTGAGTAAGTGTTTAGCAACTCTCATTTTTATGGAACAACTCCTACTAAAGCGTAGTTAATTCTTAAAGTTAATTTTCATTTTTTTTTTGTAATTCAAGAATTTGTGCATTTAAGTTTATTATATCATCTTGCAATTTTTTCATTTTTCCTTCTTGAGTTTCAAATTGTTTCATGTATTATTATTCCTACTCTAAAATATATTAGTTTAATTCTTCAACTTTTAATTCAAATGTATTAGCTTATCCTTTTTCATACAATGCTTTATTTAAATCATCAATTTCATTCTGCAATTATTTGACAATTAATTCCCATTCATTGTCTTTTTCTTATTTTGTCTATTCAATTTGACTATTAAGTTAGTCAATCTCGATTTTGTAATTTTTAAGATTAGCATTAACTTTTTCTTCTAAATCGTTGAGTTTTTCATTCAATAAATCAATTTCACTTTATTTACCATTAACAATCAATTAATAATCATCATTGATTTCATTTATTTTCTCCTTTTCAATCAACAATTAATCAGCAAGTGTTTTAATTTCAATTTCATGTCTACTTTGAATTTCTTAAAGCTTTTGAAAAGCCTCATCACATTGAATGGTGACTTTCTTTAAATCTTCATTAAGGAGTGTTATCTATTGCTCATAAGATTCTATTTAAATCTGTGACTTTTGAATTTATTCATCACAAGATTTTCTCTCCTTATGCAGCTCAATAAGTTCAGCTTCATAATTGGCAATATTGCTTTTTTATCTGGCAATTTCTTTTTCTAATGCAATCTGGTTAGTTTGTAATTCATTGGCATTTTATATCAACATATTTCTCTCCTCCTCCAGTTATTTGATTGTTTGATCTTTTTAAGCCAATTCTTCTTGTAAATCCATTAGTAATTTAATTATATTTATTTTATTGTTCCATATGGATGTAGTAATTTTATCTGATGAATTTATGAGTCTTAGAAATCAACTCAAAACTAGTACCCAATAAGTAAAAACAATTATTGAAAGTCAGATCTATTAAAGTCTACTGATTCCCAGATGAAATTTGAGATGGTATCATTAATTTGAAAATACACAATTAGAATTAGCTTTAAAAATAATATATTATAGAGTAAAATGAAAATGAGCTAACGCAAAAGTTATTTTAATAAAAGGACATTTAATCATGATGGAAACACAACTCTTATAATGTTCTTGTAAATATCACAGATAAAAGGATCAATGCATAATAATAACATACCAAATTTATTCAAACTTTAATTAAGAAAACCAATTTAAAATTCTGAGATTTAGAGAAGCAGATAGAACTTTCGTTAAAACGCATTAGCCAAAAATGAACTAAAACTGAAGACCAAAATATATCTAAGATCTTGACAAGGAATAAATCTCAATCTCATTAGCTATCTATTTAAATTTTGTTTCAATAAAAAGAGTCAATATTTATGGAGAAAAGCAACATCAAAAATAAGATTAAAAAATAGAATTATAGAGTAAAACTTATCACGGATATAATAATATATAAAGATGGTGGACATAATAATTTCACATAAAAGTTTAAGCCATATCTAGGGGTGTACCTGGCTAATAACATTTAATTGGAGTGTTTAGCACTGGAGTAATCTGTCTATTTAGCTAATTTCATGATTTGGTTAGAACCTTCTTATGAATTCATATGCTGTCCAAATTAATACTTTTTTACCTATTCGAATGCAACCTGGGTATTCTTATGTTTATAATATTTTTAATTAAGTTATTCTATAAATGCAAATTTCACTATGTTTTTTAATATATTAATAGTGTTTATTTTTGTTCGTAGATTTTGATGACAGATTGTGGAGATTGCGGAGATTGTGGAGATTGTGGAGGCTTTGGTGGGATTTGTGAAGATTGTGGAGAATGTGGAGATTGCAATCACATGTATGGAGACTGTAAGAATTGTTGTTAAGACTGTTGTGATTGTAATAATATTGATTGTGATTGTGATACTCCATTATGTAAAGATTGCACTTCATAGTTTTGTCGAAACCCAATATCCAATCAATCAAGAATAAGAAGGTTTGTGGCATCATTAATTATTTTTGTGTTATTGGTAGTATAATGGGTAACATCTGTTTCTAAAATATAAGAATATTAGTATAAAAAGGTTCAGATAATGAATATTTAGAATATGCTTAAAATAGGTTTAATCAATGACCTAATGCTATTGACATAATGTCCTTCGAATACAATAGTGGTATCTAATTATGTGATTCCTTCAACTGTGGCTGGATGCTATTGTCCAAATTAAAACCAGAGACTTTACTTGGAAATTTGCAATTAAACATAAACTGAATGTTCGATATTAAGTGCTTCAAATGAGATTTAAACGAGTAATTGGGGATATAATTAATCTATGAACAGCTTTTAATTATGCGCTACAAGAACGAGCACCAGTCCTGAAAAACTTAGATAATTAAAAATAAAGGAGCCCAATGACTGCAAAGCTAATGATTATAAGTTATGTCAAGATTAGAATAATGAGTAAAACTTTTTTTGTGTTGAGAAAACAGAAAAATGCCCAATAAAGGACATTTAAAGAAGTAGTGAGATTATAAATAATTATGAAAAAATAGATTAAGCACAAATAGTTGACGATTAATATTTAATTGTTACTAGAAACTCATCCAATAATTATTTGATAAATTTCAACATCACAAGGGGATAAGGGATTTGTGAAGATAGGAGTTTATTATCATTAGGCACAGGTGAAGATTATTACATGAATGCTCAACAATGGGAGGATTGTACTCTTGATCTTTCTTTTAATGTACTATTTACATAAAAATTTGAAGACTTTTTAGAATTTAATGACTTAACAAATTAATTCAAACAATCAAGACCTCTATTTAATACAACATAAAATATTAAATTACTTTACTAAAAATCGATTCCCACAATGAATCTAATTAGCTTTTGCACTCTTTTTGATGATATTGAATTTGCAATCAATTTGTTATCATTAATTGTTCTGATTAGTATATCATATTGGATATACATGATAATAATTATTATAAATGAGATATGCAGATGCATTTTTAGAGCAGCAGAGAAATGTGGTTAGAAATGCAAACAACATGTTACTGCATTTCTATTTTATTATGTTAGATTTTCAATTTAAATTACTTTGATAGTACTTTCATTAATTGGATTTCTAGTTGTGATGTCGACTGATCGCACAACCAAAACTGTTCAAGCAGAATATGTCAAGGATGCGCTATCAGAGGGAATCCTAACTTTCACTTAAATTATTTCTAAAAGCATCTTAGATTAATATAAGTTACTATAAGGGTTGGTGTTTGCATCGTTCCTGGTGGATAGTATCATAAGCATATGGGCTTATTTTGAAGAACATAAAAGGAAGAGGGAAAAATAATATTAGCTTTATAATATAAATCAAATAGTTTCACCTTAATACCTTCAACAAACTAATCAAAGACCTAGCTAAGTTTAAACCTACAATGATGCAGTTACAAAGATTGTTCGCAACATGAAGTGAATAAATACTATTTTTTAATTTAATTATAAACAATATTATCGAAGATAAAGACAAATCTAAAAAACCAATGACTTTTAGTCATAGAATAACAATGGACTTGTCTCGATAACCAGAAGAATAGAAACCTATACAAGGACCTAATTAATAAAGCAAAAGCCCTTCAGTTATGACGAAGAGACAGGATAATTGTATTCTTTCTATTCAAGTGCTGTAAATCAAATCTCAGCAATTTCTTTCGAATATTTTCCAGGAACATATATTCCTCAATATTAATTTGGTTTAACGTATAAACACATTTCATAAATGCATTTTAAAAACCATTGATATTGCCGAATTAGTAAGAATAGAAATTAGAAAGAGTCAATATATGAAATGGATTTAAATGAATTGCTTCAATTATAAAATCAAATGTTGCTAGTAGCTTAATTGGCTGATTGTAGAAATAGAATAGGGATCAATGCTTAGTGATGGGCAATCTTTTTATGTTATTGTAAATCTCAATCTGGAAGAAAGGGAATATGGCTAAGAGTTTATTTCATCTCTTTGGAAGTTATGTAATCAAGCAAACATAGACAGAGTGTTTGATAAAGTATACTAGTTTTATATCTCTGATTTTGGAACAACATAAAAAAGAAAGAGAAAATATCGCAAAGGGTTAAATTAAGCAAAGTAAATTTGATAGAGGTTTGAGGGGTGTAAAATATTTGCATTTATATAATTTATCTAGAAAAGACTAAGAAAGCTTTGCGAGAAATAAGTAAATAATAATAATGAGTTTTAATTTTATTATATAATTATGGATATAATTAAAAACTGCTTCAAAAAATGTGTGTATGCTTTCAATAGTAGCAAGTTCATCAATAGTGAAGAGGAGTGTACAAAAGAGTGTGTGGAGTAATACAAAAAAAGAATTAATTTATGTGAAGATGCAAAACAATAGAAATGAGTTATTAATTTCATCAATGAGTAAAGACTAAAACAATCTACTATAAAGAAAAAATCTATTAAAAGCCACAATGAAAGATTAGAAAAGAAAATCTTTATTTAAGATGGCAGTACAGCATAAATCCTACAATAACCATAATATTCAATTTTGAATATTCAAATTATATTGTCAAATTGCGATGTATTAAATTTTTACATAGTCTTTTGTTTTTACTTAGGTTAGCTTTGATTTTGTATCTTCTCTGTGGTGACAAATGATCCTTAGTAATCTTATATTTCTTGGTCTTAATTAAATTCAACGGTATGTTATTTGGACTACAAAAATCCTTGTTTCTTTTGGTAGACATTATATTTTTGGATGTTCTTAAAGAACTCATGATTCAAACACTCAATAGCTGTAGGTCTCAACTTAGGATCTCTTGATAGCATTCTTTGAACAAGATTCCTCAATAAAACAAATGCGTACTGTCAAATTAGCAGGCAATTATTAGAGAGTTAAATGAGAGAAATCTATATTGCATTTTTTGTTGAGTTCCAAAACATAGGTAAACCCAGATCCTGGAAAAACATCTCTGCCTGTTAGCAATTTGTAGAAGATTACTCCACAACTGAAGATGTCACAAACTTTGTCATAAGTTTGATTACTATTTTGTAAGTTAACGACTTCTGGAGCCACAAATCCTGGAGTACCACACTTAGGATATCTGAATCTTTCTAAATGTTATTTTAATAATGTTACTCAAAGTACTGTAAGTAGCCAATCCAAAATCCACTATCTTGAGTCGAACTTGTCCGGCTTTTATTTCTAGTATGATGTTTTCTGGTTTAATATCTCTATGCATAATGTTCTTAGAATGCATGTATTCTACTCCCTCCAATAAGGCCTCTAATATTTATTGATCTTCATACATGCATTATAGATTTCGTTTGTTCTAAGGGTAAAGGTTTGTGATGTCCGAGAAACGATTATAAATTTTTACCTGACAATAGATCCATCACTATATAATAACTGGTCTCTCCTTAATACACTTCCTTGACCTTAATGAAAGCAGAATGCTATAATTAATTATTGATTTCAATCTCCTGAAATTGCATTTCTTCCTTCTATACACATTTTGCAGCAAAGAATTCCCCACTATCGATTTCTTTCACCAACAATACTTTTGAGGAACTTCCCTTTCCTAATGTTTGTAGAGGTATAAAAAAATCTTGAACTCTAGAAAAAAATAATCTTCCTGCCAAGATTTGTTTTAGTTTTTTAAGTAAATCGCCTTGATGACTTGTAAATTCAAATCCCTTTATTGAAAACCCAATCAACAAATTTTTGATAACATGCCATTGGATTACATTTGGAAAGCAGATTGAAAAATAAATAAATGGTTCATCTTCCTTGTATATGTGCAAGTATTCCTTCTTTAAAATCAATCGATATGGATCCTGCAGTTTGATTTAGAGTATTGGATCAGTATCTAGAAATTAGAGTTGAGTTTACAGAACCATCTAATACACTTTTTCAAGACATGGAAGCATAATAATTTATTGATAATTTTATTATTTTATGAAAGAAATCGTTTAAGATCTCCTACTACTATTACATAAACCTCTAACACAATCCAAAATCCTCTCTTATGTTTTCATTTGAATTCTGAATGTAAAAAGAAAACTTGCCATTTTCAAAGATATCTAATCTCTCCAATCCTTCATTCTATGAATTAAAATAAACCTCTTCTGAGTTTATTTATCATTAAAAGATTTCGATCAATATAATACAAAGGTTTCTCTTCTTTTAAGGGTTATTTATAATCTATATATTTAATCAAATAGTATTTGATTTTCTAATTTAATTTTTAGAGAATAATTTCAATTTTTTAATATTTCTAATTAGAATTCTTTCAGAATTTTTATCAGGATATTTAATATTCAGTTTATTGTAGAATTGTTACAGAGAAAAATAAAAGATGATTGTCTTTATTTGAAAAAATTTCTTAAACTGCAATATAGGAAAAATAAAATTGTGGAAATGCACTTATACTCAACTAACCAAAGGGACATTTACAAATTGGATAAACTTGATTTGATTGATGAAATGGTAATTAAAGTGAAATAACATACTTGATTTATTTTATAAGCACTTTAAGGGATTAGATAAGGTAATTTATGATGATGTGAAATATAGGGGATAATAAACGAGGAGTGAGCAACTATGATTATTCAGAAAGAACATAATATTATGAGAAAGTATTTATTAAATTTAATTTAATTGAGTTGATTAATTGAATTAGCAAAATAAAGAAGTAAATAGGAGTCGTCATGAATTGGCATAGTTATTATATTGAATTTAAATTAATCAAACTCTTCCTCCAATTTCCAATTGATTTTCTTATAATTTTTTGTTAATGAAGTCTTATATTAATTGTGTTCTCACTTGCAATCCATTATACCAGAAATATCCTATTCCTGGGATGTAAATACAAAAAAAGATGACCATAAAGCAAATGACTGTGGCTTCAAAATTGTTATGTATACCAGCCATACCTAAGATTAAAAGTCACATTACACACAATCCAAATGAATATAATAACCATATATGTTAACATTATCAATCCAACAATGGCCAACCATTCCATTAAGGTTGTTTTTTACTCCTAGGATTCATTTTTGTTTTATGGGACATCATCATAATATCCATTTTGTTACTATAAGAATCCTTGTTACATAATTTAATTATTTAAGATTCCATATTTTGCTGTAAATAAATTTCATTGCTTTATGATGTAATAAATAGAGGCAATTAATAATGAGGATTAATTTGTTCATTTTATAATTTATCAATCAATCATTTTTGCTGAACCTGACAGTCTTAAATTTCTTATCCAGATATCTCGAATCTCTGCATTGGCCAATAGCAACTAAAGGACATTGCTATCTTTTTTCTACCATTCCCTAAATGATACATTAAGTGCAAAATAGGAAGTGTTAACATGGGAAATGGATAATTTCTCTCGTGTTCTTTTAACATTTGATACATAAATCCTATATGATTCTCTATCTCCTTCTTGTCTTATTTTTCATTCTTTCCTATTCATCTTGCCGTAGTTTCTCCCCCAAATTAGTGATTTAAGCCTTTAGATCCTGAGTTTCATAATGAATTTTATTTCTTTTGTCTGCATAGATCTCAACTCTTTAGAGTAATTTTTATTTCTCTTTCGCAAAAGAATCAGCTAATTTGAAGTGCTCGGATTGATTAGTCATATCATTTTATATTTTCACTCTTTAGACTTAATAATAATGGTCTAGTTTGTTGCTGCGATCTTGGAGATCTAGAATCGACTATTCCTTCAATTATTACTTTACTGATTCAAAGTCATTCAGTTACTTATTTTAAGTGGTCAATTGAATTCTTAATTGTGTTTCTAGGTTTTCAAGTTTTAGAATCTTTTATTCTAAGACTTTGCTTTCTTCAATTTTCTTTTGGTCAAATTTAGATTTTTCTAACTCAATTTATTTTGCGATTTCTAATTACTCATTCAATTACCTTTGCAATTCTAATAAATCTGTATTGTATGAAGGTTTATGGAGAGAGAGATTCAACAATTGTTCAGAGGAAGTTGGTATGGCAAAGATAACCCAAGGCTCTTGAAATTGAACTCCAGGAAATGGGTTGGCATCTTCATGAATCAAAATCCATAGATAAAAGAACTTATTGATAGCTCTCCTATTCATATACATTACATGATCCTCAGGATTGGTGAGAGCAGTCTCCATAAATTCACACACTTTAGTTTGATCATACAATTTTTGACTCAGATTGATATTGTGTTTAACCATTAATTGGTGAAAGGAATCTTTTGTTAGTTTATAAGGGTACTCTTTATTGATCATGGATAGATCTTTATAATGATTGAATAATTTATGATAGGCTGACTCTAAAACTTTGGATTGTAACAAGTACAATTACAATTTCTCTTTTTTCTCAACTTATAGATTCTTGATTTTTGCAATTGTGTCTCTTGGAGTATTCAAACGAGGATCGGCTTTGTTTGGAGGAAACAAATTATCAGTATCTGAATCCTTACCAGTGAGATAATGGTCTTTGTAATTTTCAATAAGTTGGATGATTTCCCATTTTCCCTTCTTCGATAGATGTATAGAATGTCCTGGTAATTTATCGAATACCTTTTAAAAAGTCTTTGTTTCTTCAGAGTCTTTGTGATCTAATAATTGCTGGAACTCCTCAAAGACCTTGAGACAGTTATGACACATGTAGTACTCTGAAGATTATCTGATTTCTGATCTCTGATTTAGAAGATGGCACTTTTAAAGATGCACCAAGTAATCCCATACATTGTTGAATACAATAGTGTGAAGTTGAACAGAATTGTAAGGACATTCTTAATTAAAGAGCGGTTATTGAATTGATTCTGGATTTTGCATAGATAATATTAAGGAGCCACTTCGATGAGTACTTGATGGTTCGAAAAGCCTCTTTATTTTTTGTTGGAATGATTAATATTTTTCAATTAATTTATCATGGGAAATCAAATCATGGGCAAATTCAGGAAAAACAGATTCCAAGGTTTTTCTGACAATCAAATTGATTATTTAAGGTATTAGTAACAATTTAATTTTCAGTGACAAATGGCTGTAAATTGAAAGCAACGGAGTGATAGATCCAAACAAGTTTGCGGATCAATACAATGTTACTCACAAAGAGGCTATTAAAGTAATGATGGATTGTCAATATTAACTAGATTATTAAGTTGATGGACTTTGATGACAGTGGTCGAGTCGACTACTATAAATTTAAAGTAGGAGTTGCATCATTATGTTAAAATCCAATGACTGTAATCTAAAGATATTTATGAACTTCTAGACAACAGCAAAATCTATTTTCGATCTCTATGATGAGGATAGAGATAACAAATTGGGACCTAAAGAAGTGGGAATCTTTTTAACTAGCATATTCAATAATCTACACTATTACGAAGGCTTAGAGGACCCCACACCCAAAGAACTTGAAGAAAAGCTCTAGCAATATTTGGTGAAGTGGGATTTGGATAGAGACGGAGGATTTGAATATGAAGAATACTTAAAATTGATGCAAAAAGATCCTGATGTGTTGAAAGTACTATTCAATATGGGATTGGCTAATAAAGATGAAATGACAATTGAAGAGACTTGTTATAATGACATTGATAGTGACATCGAAATTGAGATGGAGAGAAGATTGTTGCCTAGAGACGAGAGAGTCGAACGTATCAAAAATGGAATTGAACATACAATATCGGCAGAAGCAAGCGATGAATTTGGACTAGAAGAAGAGGAAGTAGTTATGGAATGGAAGGAATAAGCAAAGAAACTGGAACCAAGTAAGAAAC